CAATATTACGCTCATAATCAGTCACTAAATCATTGGTGCAATGTTCTTTTTGCTTCATTTCATGGCTTGCAGCGAACCGGAATTTACCGATGAGTCTCATGTACTGTACATGTACATGTACATGTACCGTACATTGTACATGTACATGTATACATGTACCCACAGAGTGTACAGCATGTATACATGTACATTATACCGTACATGTACATGTCCACATTTATGAAGGTCTTCCTTTTTTTCTTCAAAAAAAGGTCGTAACTGCCCAATTCTCATTGGTAAATTCACCCCATAATGTTCCTGTATAATGCTTACCCTCTTAAAAACTTATTAGAATTCATTTAAAACAGCTTTAAATGTCAGTTTAAATGTTCATGTACATGTAACCATGGTAACAGAGAACAACTGAGTACAGTGTACATGTACATGTATGTACCTGTATCCGGTATATGTACATGTGCTGTAGTTGCTTGCCCATTTGCTTTGAGTCACAGCATTTTCCGGGATCTCTGCGTTAGAGAACACAGGGTTCTTGCGGCCTGGAAAAGTCATGGACATTTTTTTTTTGTTTCCCAGGCCTGGAAAAGTCGTGGAATGTGGTAAAAATTACTAGAGTCATGGAAAAGTCATGGAATTTTGTATAATTTCTGTTATCAGGAATAAGTTCAAAAATGTGTGATTTTATTTGCAACTTTAAAAGTCTGAAGAATCCAAGAAATTTTAGTATTTGGTCATCATGGTCATGGGTTTTCTTAATTTGGTCGTGGAAAAGTCATGCAATTTAATTGTTCCCAGGAACCCTGAGAACAGTTTACTGTAAAATTGACAGATTTGAATGCACGCATCTCCACGAGCAGCTCCTTGTCGCCTGTAATCTCTCACCAGCCCCGGAAATCTCCCCCACAAGAACCCAGGCCATGCCACAATTTCTTTATTTATACATTTTTATGAAAACATTAACTGTTATTCCGTGTTATCGCTGGAGTCATTTCAGCGCAGTTTCGGCCCCGTGAAAATGAAGTGCCAATTTGCCCCCGAGATATTTGTGAGGACTGATGGAGAAGACAAGGGGGAAAAAAAAAGCGGACTCCATCCGTTGTCTGACGGAGGAGAGGTCTAAATGCGTTGATCCCATGCCAGCAGGCATGACGAGAACAGCCAACTGCTGTTTCAAGTCTTGTTTCTTCACAGCACTGGAGCCTGCACATTAATTTGTTTTTGGCACAGTTGAAATTAGCCAGTTTGGTACCGGTATTTCACGAAGACAAGACCATTTGAGGGCAAAGAACCGGTTATAGTCAGCCATGTTGAATGGGCAGACCTCACACATGCTTTAATGAGAGGCTTTAATGTGTGGTGGCCATCTTGCAAGGGACCTCCTTTGTGCCTACATGTACCGGTACATGTACTTGTACTCAATGGTACAAAAGCACAGACCTGCAACATGCCAGCCATGCAAACCCTCTATTGCTGTTTCTGAATGACCTGGACTATGCTTCATTTTGGGCTTGCACTTTCAGTACACATAATGTGCTCTTACATGTAATCCCCTCCCCCTACCAATACCAGCCCTACTTGTACGGGGGTAATTCCAGAAATTAGGGTCCTTTGTTCATGTCCCTGTCACGTCTGACATACACATGTATGATTTTTTAAGTTTAGAATACATTTTCTAAATTTCATGAGCGATGAATTAATGCAAATTACCTACCAAATAAATCTGCCGGAAGGACATGTAATAGTTTGAAATCAATTCTGGTGATATTTCCATGTTTTACATGTTTTATAACAAAGGTCAGATGCAATGTTAGGGACACGAAAATGTCACACTTTTGGACCGCAAATTTCTGGAATTACCCATAGATATGTAAAAACCCTGGCCAGTATCACGCACCGGTAATACGAAGAAAGTTCCTCAGTGACTCTTACAAAACCAGTTCTTGGCCACTTGTGCATGTACATGTAAACGTGGCAGGTACTTTTACATGTACATGTACCGGTACCAAGCAGTTTTTGTATTTTGTCTTGTTTTGAATTGAAAAATAAAATATTGTCCAAGGTTGAAGTTCATGTACATATATGGGAATTTTGCCGTTTATCCAGTCATCTTAGTCAGTGGCGCCAGAAGTTCCTTCGGTTCAGTTGTTCAGGCCTTCTCTTTCCTTAATCTTTTTTTGTCCCCTGCCGGGCCTGTGCCAACCGTAAAGGAAATCATTAAATACCTGAGAATGCAATACACCCGTGAGCAAGTCTAGTTACAGCGGCCCTCGACTCTCTTTCCCCCTTGGCTTGAGTGAGGAGGACGAGGATGAATGAGACGAGACAGCTTAGCGACGGGATGCGATCCCTGCCTCTTGCAGGTCATTGCTCAGAGCAGACAGAGAGGCACTGGAGAAAACGGGGCTTCACTCTCAATTTCAGTGTCTTGGAAACAGCCTTTAGATTCAGTCTTTCAGGAAGTTAATGTACTGGCAGTTACACATGTTAAAGTAAAGATACTAATATAAAGATGCAGTTGCTAACGTTTCCCTTTTAGCAGGTTTAGAGTGTAGATGAATCAGTAATGTGAACATGTAGGCGGATCATGTTAAGGTGCATGTGTGTTCTACAAATTTTGTGTTTGTTCATATATTTCAGTGTCAATATCGGTACATGAATCAATATCAGGAGTGTAGAGTTAGTGTAAAGTGCACCTCCATATAATACATGTACATGCACCGTACATACAGGGCCGGTACAAGTACGTTCACGTACATGACATGTACTGTACATACACATATCGGTACATTATACATGTTTTCTGGTTACGTGTACATGTCTGCATTATGCTCGCCGTTAACTTTATAGGTTCCAACAGCATGGACCATCAGATGAACCAGTTTTTGGTCGTACATGTACAGTGTACACGTGTCTATTTGTACATGTACCTTTTTTATTTGGCTGTCAAAACCTCTTTTTATTATTTCATGGATTTTTTCTTTATTCCTCCAATTTCACCCTGATGTACATGTGTGCATTGTGCATGGTCATGTGTGCTGTACACCGGTGTACAGAACACCGGTGACACGTGCTGTGGCATTCACCCATTTTATTGACTTTCTGGTTCCCATTATAATTGATGAGCTAATCAAAACCCACTTTAGTACCACATGTAATCGCACTCACTAAACGTCAAGGATTCACCACTTGCCAGTCCAATTTACTCGTATGCAGTGTCTTCTGCCGTGATGCTTGTATTCCGTCCCGCTTCCTTTTGCCTTTGTTTTTAATCGTTTCTAGCTTGCAGCACTTGATAAATGACCCCCCTACTGGGAACAAAACAGTGCATGTCATTAATACTTGATTAGCAAGTCACTTTGAGTGTACCAGTACGCTGTTTACCAGGGCCCGGACCGTAGACCTGCTACAAGGCGTCTTTCTGGTAGACTTACAACCCCCTGTGGGGACATTTAGGGTCGAGTTTGAGGGGAGCGTCCGGCCCCTGACATGGCTTTTTTCGTGGTTATGCGATGCACAGGCCTGACTTCACTTGTCTGTCTGATTTTCATCCGAAGCGTGTAACGATTAGTCGAGAGAGGCCATTTGGAAATTTACAGTAATCTGTCTGGCTTTGTGTTTTTAATCTGCTTCGCTCCTCTGGAGTCACCATGGGGAAACCACTGTCTGTAGCAGCAAGTCCCGGTATGCTGGAAGTTTTTTTTTTGAGTTTTCTTTTGATAATGATTGTACACGTGTGTGTACGTGTACCTGGGTACATCGGTGCTCGTACCTGCCATCTTACACCTCAATTTTGTGGCGATACCAGACAAAGACTCTGCTGGCCATCGCTGCAGGTCCTAGGAAGGTTTTTCAGTGTTTCCGGTACAGTTTGAAATGTCTGGAGTAGAGTTACGGGAAGAGTTTTGATGTACATGTATTAGTACAGTGTTTGTTTCAGTAGCTGTGACAGCATTGAAGTCAGGGTTAACCTGCATGTACATGTACAGTACATGTAGGCATTGGCACTGTCTCTTGTTGTTGAGCTGAGGGGCACTCACCCTCGTATTGTGGGTTGCTGATGACACTAGAAGACGTGGGAAATCAGCCCCACCGTTAGTGTGTGGCACGCTGCTTAGATGCTTCCAAGTCTGTGCTTTATATGAACATGTATGTCCTCAGTGAACTCTCCTAGAGTCCCAGATTTGAATGGAGAGGAGTCGATTGACGAACTTTGATTTTCAGAAAATTCACCTGAGTATCCATGTATATTGAACCAGGAGGAGGCTATTTTGGTACGTTTACATGTACATGTAACTTACCCACTGCCCAGAGTTATACTGTACCGTGAAGTGAGCGGGAAAGGAATTGACATCTCCAAGTTTGGAAGTTGAGGAATGAACCACTGAAATCAACCTGATTCCCCACCCTTAAGAAGAGGAAATCTGCTAGTTCACAACATGTACATTGTATTAATATTTAAACCTGATGTGCACACAATGTACTTGTATTTGAGGATTGTTTTTGAGCATTGGGACTCGAAGCGATTACTGTGGTGACACAATGCCTAGTGGACTAGTAGGGTGCTATGACTTGCCAAATGTACATGTACATGTATGCGTGTGTCAAGCTTACATGTACCTGAGAAAATGGACAGGTAAAGGCAGTGTCACTGCAGTTATGATGCCTCCCTGGGTTAGTCGTGGAGGAAGGAATTCCTCCATCTGGTTAGCCTGTAGCCCGCATACCGTACTCTTGTACATGTACGTGGACTTCTGTACACCTGTACATGTACTGATATCAGTCAAAGAGGCACATGTAATGAATGTACATTTATGTACATGTATGCAAGTGTGTTACCACTGCAGTGATGGTATCCGAATTTTGGACACCAGTTTTGTCAGCTGAGACAGGGGAGGGACCGAATTCGAACCTGAAGCAACAAAGGTGATAGGTGAGTTTGGTGAGAAAGGAGTACGGTGGCCAACCTCACTCAAGGATCAACATGTCTGTTATTTGTGTTGCAGGGGCTCCACCTGCCTTGGACGAGAGCGCATCACTACAGGCATTGGACGAGGCGACAGCACAACACAAGGCCATGGCGGACAGGAGACAACTCATCACTGAAATGAGTAAGCTCGCATTCATTATTTATCTGTTTGTGGTTACGTCTGTAAATTTAAGCACATTCTTATCGGTATTTGTTGGCATGTATGGATAAAATCTCTAAAGTGTGATGTACATGTACGTGTGTAGATGACCACGGACGATATTGGTTTCAGTCCATGGGTGAAAATGTTAAGCACGTCTGCTGAATTCCTTTTGAAAAATTGTTTTTCCCAAGGTATCTAAAATGCAGGTCTTGCATCTCTCTACTCACTTTGACAGGTTCAGAGTTTTGCTCTGGCAACAGTTTTGTTCTAGGGCGATTGAGCTGTGTTACTTATGAGAATTCCATTTTTGGCTTTCCCAGGGAGTCAGAACTTCGATGTGATCCGTTTTGCGACCTACAGGGCCAGCTGTAAGCTGCGTTTCATTCAGCGAAGATGCAATCGTAAGTGTCACCAGCCATTCCGTCAACCCGTACACGCACGTGTGTGCTTGTTTCACATACATGTATAATACATTTACATGTACCGGTATGTTGTGCCGTCATTCCTTTGTTCTCCAGTGGCTTAGAAAACTTGGGAGAAAGTGCTCCTTTCTCTCCCGCTAGGATAACTCCTTTGAGCTGGATGTTTGAGGAGGGTTTCCTGGACTGTCCTTCTTCATTTTGTCACAAATAACCCTGACCCCAAATTCCTTCTGAAGCCATTTTCAGAGAGGGCAAAACACTGTGTGGACGCATGAGGCCACATGTCTTCTAACCGTACATTCTGTGGACTTCTTTTTGCTTGGAGGTCCACACTGTACATGCTGTACACTGTACATGTCTGTCACCCTTGTGAAGTACCCCCGGATTGGGTTTATCTCTCGGCACCCTACCAGATACCGGTAATGTCCCCTGATAGCTAAGACTTGTTCAGGGAAGTGCGCAGCCTGCTTAATCACAATAAACAGCGCAGTCGCTTCTGAAATCAGAAAAGTTTTCCCAAATCACCAATTCTGTTGCTCATGCAATGTAGTTCTCCCGAGTTAATTCGCACATTACATAATTGAATTTTACATCTTTGATCTGTACAACCCAGCTTTTATTTTTCCAGCTCTGAATCCGAGAAAGGATCCTCTCTGAACTGCTTTTGAAATTTAATAGCTTTGCCCTTTATTTCCAAATGATCAATAACATACGGAACCAATACAGAACAAAACATTCAACTCTTCACACTTGAAAACATTTCAGTCCAAATTTAACTCAAAATCATATTATGTGGAATCAAAGCAAATATCCTTTTTTTAAAAAATCTTCAACAAATGGAACAAAGTGGGGCATGTTCCGAATTCCAAATGACATTTGAAATTGATTCCCCTTGAGAAGTTCCCCCTCCCCCGTGAGTGCTCGACTTTTTGTCTCGTTCCTGTTTTTTTTAGCCCCGGTGTTTATGGAGTCGTCTTTGTATCGCCCATGAAAGCTTAACAGCACTTTGTTCAGTCTCATTGCGCTCAAGCAGTGAATCCACAAGAAGTTTTTGCAATTCCTTCTCCCTCAACTGTGCTGTTATCCTGTGAAAGCGTTGCCTTGGTGACAAAGCAGCAGTGCAGGGCATAAACGGACAGTGGCATTACAGTCAGGTGATTTGTTATTCCAAGCAAAAGGAAAGTGCCCTTTTATGGGACAGACCCGAGAAAGCGGTGTGTAGCGCATGTGACGGACAGGTCTCGTGTGTTGACTTGATATTTAGCAACTCTGAAATAGTGCCAATTTTACAAGGAATCCTCGGTTGACGTGTGTTTTAGTGAGCTTTTTAAGTATGATGCTAACTGAGTCTGACTCTAATTGGGATTCATTAACCCTCCTTTAGTTTTACAGCACAAATATGCACCAGTGCCCAAGGTCACTCTCTTGCATGTTGGTGCAGTGCACAACACGACACAGCTGTGCTTCTTTGAGGTGTTTACCAAGTGACCCAAAGAGTGACTTCAGCATAGGAGGGTTAATGATGCAGCAGATACATGAATTTGTCTCTGTACCAGCTCCTCAGAAACAGTTGTCCTCCGTAGCTCCTTTTGCTGTAATAGTCACAGACAGGCCTTCCATTTCTCCCTGTACATACCTTGACTGATTTTGACTGGCAGGACAACTGTGTCAAGAATGCATCTTTGCATTGAAGGGTCATGTGCTAATGTACCGTACATGTACACACTGAGGGACTGTTACTTTGTACATACAGTACATGTAGACACCAGTACTGGTATTGTAAGTCAGCTGATTCATGTATATGGTATATGTATGTACAAGTACATGTAATTTCATTAAGCCTGGTCCCTTTGATGTTGGCCAAGCCACACCAATTCTGTCAATTTCAGATTATCTTTTCTTTTATCCACTTGCCATAAAAAAGTACCTGGAGACATGATTAATTAACTCAACGGAGATCAACACTGGTAAAGCTCTGGCCAGAAGGAAAAGAAATTCTGTTTTCTCTCCTGGCAGGAAATTTTATTTCAAGGATTCTACTGTACATGTGTACATGTGATAATGAAATGTACGTATATTTAAGTGTCTGGATAAGAGAGACAAGTTATAAATTCTTGTTTGTGCTTCCCAAAAAATGTTTTTGCAAGTTTGAAGCTGTTCGTGTACATGTATGCACAGATTCATGGTACACATTCTAGCACTTTCCGTGTTCCGGTTGTACCTTTAAGTCCCTTTTTGCCAGTCACTTATGGAACTGTGCCAGGAATACGGGGAACACATACTGTATACCGGTGACTTGGAAGTGGTTTCACAGTGATACTCAAAGATCCAACTCGGGTCCCTGTTCTCCCTCTTTGTACAGGACATTTTCATGGCAAGGTTGCAAAATGAACTATTGGTAATCGATGCTTGACTGCACAGGAAGACGTTGTTAGAATTTGCTGGTCTTTGTCTCACAAGGACTTTTTATGTTGTCTCAAAAATAAATTCAACTACATGTACATGTATCTCAGTTCACAAATTACATGTATAAGATCACATTGGTGCTAAAGCACAAGATTTAGAGTCTTGGTCACATTTTCTGGGAATTGCAATTGATGACAAATAAAAATATATGTCAAGGGAGCCACTTTGACTTCCAAAGACATTGAAGGTTCTCCCAAAACTTTGTATGTCAGATTTTATTCAGACTGACCAACTGGGATTTTTTTTTGTTATTGTAAAAGTGCCATACTATACCATAGGAATGCAGATTGTTTTTGACTGGGTAGCCCTGTTCTCGAGGGCCAAGTGCCCGTCTTGTTTTGGAGCAAAATTCAAAACTAAATTAACGTGTACCGATTCATTTAACCAGAAAAAAACTCTCACAACTGGAAGCAAAAAAGCTGACTCTCCCCGCTCAAGTCGGAGTAAATTTCCAATCCTGAGGGTAGCAGAGAGCAAATCATTCCAATTTGCTGGGCCAGAACCGATCTAATTGTATGTTGATGTGGTTCATTTGATTGTCTCCCTTCCCTCCAGCGTTTATGAATCAGCCCGTTAGGGAGGCCTGACTGGTATTATTCACGACCGCTTTGAGGCCCTTCTGAGCACGCTCCCTGAATGAGCAATGAGGGTTGGGGACCCGCTTGACATTGTGGATATCAAGTTACTGGGATTATGTATTGAAGGCAAAGTACATGTATTGTGATTTTTCCAAAGCAGTTTTGGATTGGATGTGAGCTTTTCTTTTTTTTTTTTTTTTTAAATCATTCTGTTGTCACTACCATGTATCCCAGTATTTGGCAGAAATTTCCAAAATGAATATATCCATGTATATTTGTTTGTAGTGCTGGGTTTTTCCCTGACACCAACTTACATGTACATACATGTACATGTACCAGGTACCGGTTCATGCATGTACATTCATACTGATTTCTCACTGTGGTCAGAGACTGAGAGTTGTGGAATAATCACAAGCTCACTTGGGTGGGATTCGAACCCACAACTTCCTAGCAGAGAAAACAAGTATCATTGATTCATAAAGTTTACTGATTTTGAAGTTGAACAGCAATCTTTCCCCCTGGAAAAGCACTTCGTTCATTTGAACTTTCCTTAGGTGGTGTTTAAACTTTTGGCATTAGCCGTAACTGTTTAGTCTTTGTTTTCATGTTCACAGTGTATAATTGTTTGTTGCATTTCAGGAATTTAAAAGATGTTTGAAATGTGCACTCCAACACCTATGTAGCTACTGCAGTTTGGCCCATTTTGTTTTCATAAACTCACCAACGTACCCACACCTCTAATCGTTGTCCTTCGTCCCAAATAACCTACCCACAATGCAGTGCACCTGGTGGACATCTGGAACATGATCGAGGCCTTCCGGGAGAACGGACTGAATACGCTAAGCGCCGTGGATGAGCTAAGCGTCAACCGGGTGGAAACGGTCCTGACCAGCATCTACTACCAGCTCAACAAGCGCCTCCCGTCCACCCACCAGATCAACGTGGACCAGTCCATCACACTGCTGTCAAACTTTATTCAGATGGCATTTGACGAGTAAGTCCACTTTAGGATGGGGGGAGGGAGGGACGGAGGGAGGGACGGAGGAGTGAGTTGAAGAGGAGACAGTGAGAAGCAGAACTTTACAGTTTTATTTGTGATAGGATATCTCCCAGAAGAATCTTCTGGGTAAAACCCACGTAATCAGGCAGGGACTGAAAACCCAATTCATGTGTGGACCATTGCGATGCTTTACAATTTACCATTCTACAATTGTGAAAAGACATCTCGCACATCAGGCCCTATACATACATGTATGAATGTCAGTGAGCAATATGGAAATATGGTGTACACCCTTAGATATTGTGCAGGTCCTTTGTGGGCCAATGCGAGACGGTTATTTTTTTATCAAGATAGACAGAAATCATGACGGTCAGCCACTACAAGGCTGGAACATGCATTAACCCAACACCAAGGGGAACATTCACTCCAAAGAAAAAAAAAGAGGAAGACGAGACGGCTCATTCAGGAGGCCATTGGCGAGGCAGCTGAAACAACAGCGCAGTCAATGCAACGGTGGTTGGCATTTGCAAAACCAGATCGGCGGGAAATGGCAGATGAGCAGAAAAGACGGGGGGGCGGGACAGGGAGAGAAATTCAGAGGCGATCGTTGGATGGCTGTTTAGACGGGGCAGGTGTTTCCATGGTGCATTGTACATGTTCATGTACAGCAAATGTCAGTCATATTACAGGAAAAAACAAGAACACTTTACTGTCTTGAGAGATACTTTCACAGATTCACGTGCATTCACATGTACATATACATGTAATGTGCAGAATTTTCTAGTTGATGCCAGAAATGTGATACATATCTCGCAAAATGTGCCGTTACCAAAGGGCACATTTTCCACATGCCCATTCTTTGGACTTTTAACGTTTAACTTCAGATATTGGTACTTGAAAAAACTGGCTGCACAAATGAAAATCTGTCAAAATACTAAAAAACTGGGTGTCAGTTTTAGTGGATCAGTTGGGAATACATGTAAAGGGCCTGCCCTTTTGACGTCATAGTCGTGCGTTTCCTCCAAGTGGCTGCTAAAACTATAGTTGGCTGTCGGTATGAAGTCCAAGAGTAATACACAAAATGTTAAAAATCCCACGCAGCTATCAGCCCACCAGATAATACGCGTACTGCTAAATTCTTTATGAAAAGACAACCTTGTTTAAAATTAATGGGACAAATGTTCATTTAGAATCAATTGGAGGTCTAATCCAATACCAAGCTAAAGGTGATATTTCTGCAAACTTTGGCCACCCATATAAGTTGTTGGCAAAATGAGAGTATTCTGTAATGGAATTGTAAATTATACAACGCACTTCTATGATGTAAATACCCATGGAGGAGAGATCACATACATGTACATGTACCTATCAAGCGATAGTTATTGTGGGGACGAATTCTTCACAGGGGAAAATTTTGTCCCCACGACTCTGTCCTGAATTTCCTGACAAAAGAAATTCTCCCCTCAAAGTGAAACTGGCCTGAGTATTTTTGTATTCTTACGTGGCTGGTCTTATGCCGGTATGCTCCCTGTTTGGCACCAGTTACGTTGTACATGCATGATTTAGAGTCAAAACTATATGGCAATCATCTCGTCATGTATCCGAGGCAGTTGGCACAGATGAAGTCATGCCTGAGTTTTGAACCTTTTTTTCCCTTTTTAGCGGAGCTACTGGGAAGATCACCGTTTTTGCACTGAAAGTTGCCCTGTCGACACTCTGCGCTGGAAAGATCATGGACAAACTCAGATGTGAGTGCAATTTTTCTTTTTTCAGTTTAATTTATCTTCACAGAATTCTGTTGTGTAAATGTTTCTTGAAGATACATGTACCTTTTTGTTTCCCTTTTGTTTTGTTTTTCGGTTTATTGAATTGCGATTATTTGCTCATAATACAAATGCATGTTGCTTCCTTTTGTTCAGCAGTGCTTATATTGCCCTTTGATCCCAACTGTTCATGGGCATAGCCGGGGGGCTGGGAAGCACCTGCCCCCCCCCATAAATCCCCAGGTGCCCCCCACTAAAAAAAAGGATACCGTTACATGTAAATGGATGAATGGATATTAAACAAGGCTAACAAAAACTTGCCCCCCCCAAAAAAAAACCACACCACTGAAAGCAAGTGCCCCCCTTAAGATGCTGGTTCCCCTTGTGCCCCCCTCCCCACCGGTAGTAAAATCCTAGCTACACGTTCGCCACTGCAACTGTTCCTTCACTTTATAAACTGAATTCATAAACCATGAGTTTATCATTAACAGAAGTCAGTCGTAAATTTGAAAAATGGCCACATCAGCCAAAGGGCCAGGAGCCATCGACGCCAGCATACACGTATGAAATTGGAGCATTGAAATGGGTGAATTGAATACTACTGCATCATACTTGTACATGTACCTTTCGGGTTTAACTTTTACTGGGTCATGACCAGTTACATACATCCATATATTCGAGCCAGTACACGTGATTTCAAGGATGACACGGGAACTCAAGCTTTGCATCCTGTTTGCCATTTTAATGTCTTCATATTCATTTCTCTGCTTTTTGTTATTATTATCTGATTTCAACAATTTGCACAACCCAAATCAAACAGATGTAGAGGAAGATCTTTGCTTGCATTAAGCACACGCACGTACTGCAGTTATTCGTACAGATATGCAGCTGACCAAAGCTTTCTATCACTGTCTTCTTGGCAAGAAAAATGTGACAACGGTTTTGGGTAAAAAAAAACCCTTAACTTCCAAATTTCATGCATGGAATTTTGCCTTACTGCAAAATCAACCCTTGATGCAAGCCACATGCAAATTACGTACCTACATACATGACAGATGGCACTTACATGTATGAGCTAAAAACGTGCAAATGTACCATACATGCACGGGTACATGTATATTACCAGCATCTTGGACCAAAGTCATTGAAATGAAAACCTTGTGCTATTTATCTATGCATACTTTTGTAAAATTGGTGCAGTCTAATCATAAGTCCATGTACATTGTTCATGTACTTGCACTTGAATTATATAAATTATCTTTTATTGTGACCCAATTGGAAATGTACAGTGTGTATCTTACTGGAACACATTCATTTTGAATGTACATGTACATATATGTACATGCATTTATCCTAGCCAAAGTTTTTAAATGTTTTAAATTAAACCATTTGGCGACGATGATGACGGGCTCACATTCTGCTGAAGCAGCTTTACAGTAAATTGATTGATTATTATTGAACTGTAGAGTTGCTATTGTGACTTTTTGTGCTGTTAAAATCATACCAAGGAATGTGGCCAGCAGTAACATACATTTGTACATATACATGTACATGATACAATCACATGCATACGTGTACATTTGCATTATGTGTGCTGATGTTGCTGTCTACATGCATTTCGCTTAAAAGTTACATGTATAACATGTGTAATGAACTCTCTTGGTTTCTACCTGCACATGTACATGGACATGTATGTGCGTGTGCCAACATGATCAGCCTATCGGTACATGTAAAGTCACACACATACATGAACATAGAACAAACCGTTCCACACAAGGTACGCTACATGTACATGTATTAAATTTGAAAGTTAGCTGGCCTTGTTCATCATTTGCAGAATTGTTTTTCACTTTTCAAAATTCTTAAGCTGTTTTTTGTGTTCTGTTATGATGGCCTTCTCAGATCGTGTTGTAAGTACAACATCCGCAAAAGTTCTCCTTATTCAACAGGGTTACACCCTAAAGAAAACAAGTTTCCAAAATGGCGTTCTTTGTTGTTTTTGTTTTTTGTAAGTCAGAGGGAGAGCAGATCAGATTTCAGGATAGTAATCCTTTTCAGAGGGCAGATATTGTTGGTTTGCAGCTGTCATTTCGCACATTGACTGCCGACTACATGCTTGAGTATACATACACATGTGGGAAATTAAAGGCTGTTGTAATGTACCTGTAAGTTGAATACACCGGCATGACCTGAAAGGTAAATATGCGAGCATGCGTACAATGCTTGGCAAATAGGAATGCCCTGTGAGATCAACTCTAAGACAAGAACTTGGAGACTATCAGACTAGTACATGTAGATGTACATGTACTGTGAGTCATTCTCCGGCACACACAGTCTCCCAAGCGCTATCTTTCTTATGTAGATACAGGGATCGTTTCAAGTCCAGGTGACTGCCTCTCTCTAAATGTCACTACGATGTAGGATAGCTTTATTGTGCAAGTCTTGATGACGTTCAACAGTTGTTACAGGGTGGGACAGTGGCATCTTTGGTGAAAGAAAGGGTCAAGTGGGTGTCCAATAGACAAGCATCAAGATGGGATGCGCTCAGATCTTGAGACGGTGTTCATACATCTTCTCGTAGTAAGGCATGCTGAGGTCGATGCACCGCTGGACGTCAGGCGTTATCTTGGCGTAATGGCCCTCCTCCACTTCGGGCTTTTGGAACCTGGTGCTGTTGCGGAACACATCCATGGTCTTGGCGTTCTTGAGGATGAACTTGTGGCGCTGGCTGATGATCCAGTCGGCAGCCAGCTCTGACCCGCTCTCCCAGCCCAGGAGAGACGAGGAGTACGGCAAGCCCATCCTACTGCAGAAGGCTGATAAGACCCCTTCGGGATTAGCAACCAGGTCCTCTGCATCAATGACAATTGGTTCCGGGTCCATGTTATTCTCCTTGATGTACTGGTACATCTCATAGGTTTCCTTGAACCCTAGGCCAGCAGGCATGATGTCAAGTGGCTGCCTGTCCAGGATTAGGTCATCTAAGGCGATGACCTCCCCGTGCTTGACCATCCGCATCTCCTGGACAATCTTCTTCCAGGAGGGGAAGACGATGCTGGGGTCCCGGATCAGGAAGACGTGCCGGTAGCCCTTCGGCAGGTAGTTGTACTTGGGGATGAGAAAGGAGGCCATCTCCTTGTTGAGGACCAGCCGCTTGCCGGGATACGCAGCCTCCAGCTGCTTCTTGCAGAAGTCGAAGGTGCAGACTGAGCTGTGGAATCCGGATTGTGAGTCTTTCTCCAGCAGGCCGGCCTCCGTCATGTTGGTGACCACGTCAGGCTCTTTGGGGAAAGTGGAGGCGACCGTCAGGTCCCTCTCAGGTCCAAAGTGCCAGGCCGTGGTGTAGAGCTCAAAGATGATCTGGCAATCAGGCATCTTGTTCATGCTTTTCAAGAAGGATGAAGAGCAGGTGCGAGGACATGCCCACAGAGTGAACCTCACCTGGTCAGCCATATTGATGAAGAAGTCTGGGTGCTAGATGGTGCCAACAGCCAATGCAGAATTCAGATTCTGTATCGTAGAAAGCATGCAAAACACAACTTTGTTTTACATCGTGTATTGTTAATCGTATGCTTGCGCATTTCAGGCTATGGATTTCTACCAAAACCTTTGACCAGGTACTGTAATCAATGAAGTGGCATTATAGTGTTATTTTTTGTCAATCGGAAGGAATTTCCTGAGAGAAAAACAGTTAAAAGGTGGAACAGAGGAAAGCCCTCTAAACCCACATGTGACTGACCTTGAAAAATGGCACCTGTACAAATAGTTCAATTCCCAAAGACAAAAGGAAGAGAATATGCTGCATGTGTCTAAAAAAGTGGTTTGAGTCTTTTCAGCTGATTTTGACTCTGGATTTCATCTTTCTTTTGGTCCTGTTCTTTACAAAATTATGGGAACTTTGCATATTGTAGTTTTGCTCTTTATTATTTTCAGGTTTTTTGTATGAGGCCACTCACTCCCCTGCTTCAAGTGAATAATTTATCATCATTTTTATTTCCCTAAGTTTTTTATTGATAATGGTTATAACTTTTTTATAGTTTTTATTCTTTCCCCTAAGTGTATCCCAGTAAATGAAATGAAATCTACTGGTATATTTATGCAGGTCTGTATGTACAAACATCTACGGATGCTGGTACATGTACATGCCATCTTATTTGTTCTGAACTTTGATCATTATGTACACACATACGTGTTTATTCAATTAATACCCTCCTTTTGCTGTGACAGTCACAGACTGTCAAAAGTTCCTTCCACTTGATTTGCCAAACAGACACAGACATATAGGGGTCATTTGACTGCCTTGACTTTGTTGATAAGGCATCTTTGCATGGGGGGGTTTTATAGATTGTACAGTATTATATTTGCTTTATTGATTGTGAATGAAGGGATCGCTTACGTTGGTACGTGAGCTATGGTACTGCGCGGCAAGTCATAGAAATTACTGGCACAAGCAGACATGGCAGATCTGGCTCTGTGTCCAGACTGCTTGAATGTGTACATGTAGGTTGTCTGAACGTACAGCTTGTAAAATGCTGATAAAAGAAAAACCCAGAACGTTCGTCCCAAATGGCACATTTTATAGTAATCCTAAAGCCTTTGAAATGCAAATGACAGTTGCATATCATGAATATGGTGTAGGCAGAAATAAGACCTCAACAATTACCAGAGGGGGATCTAAGGGGGGCAGGGTTGGGGGTTGTAACACATTGTACCTGTGACAGGTATGTACATGTACATTCATTGTACATGTCCATGTTTGGGTTTATACTGTACACGAACATGTACTGTACAGGCCTTCCATGTTATGCACAAATCCGTATTTGTCTGTGTCACACATGTACACACTGGTACATGTATGTACATGCACTGTGGGCTTACATGTACGGTATGTAGGAAGAGATCATTATTCCATGCTGCAGTTATACCCATTACATGAACATCAGGCTCTGACTTAGTTGAAAAGCAATTTATTTCTGCTTACCTTTTGTCGTTGCTTCAGCTCTAACGTCCCTCGTTGTTGTTGTAGAATGGCTTTGTTCACAGACTGTTGTGTACGAGTACGTGTGCGTGTGCCTTGTGCCGCGTGCATGGCATTCTGCCTTCACAAGAGACAGGTTTAATGCCGTCTAGCCCTTCCACTCACCTATGACCTTGGCCTCTTGTTATCACAGTCCAGAGTTCATATGGAATGAGCTGCCTAGGGGCTGGTAATGTACATGTACACCATACATGTACATGTACATGTACTATGCCCCAGCAGCCTTTTAGGGGTTTGTTTGCAATCGGAGGAATGGAATGAAAAGCAATTGTCCCAGTACATTTCAATCATGTCAATAGGGCTTCGTCATTCATGACCAACTGGGCTTTTAGAAATAAGAATCCAGACGTGAACTGTGTACATGTACATTGTGTTCACGTGCGTTGTTGGCACTGGACGGGTTTGGTAGCAAAGACGTAGGGTTATTGTCCAAAAGGATGTTAAGCTTCTTACTTGGAACTTCAACAGGAACATTGGTCGTAGGTACTGACTTGCTGTCGTGGACAGCTTACCTTTAAGTGCTGTTCCAAAACTCTCTTAGTGCTCATGTTGAAATGCAGATATTTGCATTGTGTTCAAGTTGCATGTACATGTACAATGGGACTGCAATTACAGGTTGCATGCTGATGAATACAACACATACATGTACATTGTCAGTATGCATAATGTAGACGTCGTGTACGGTACGTGTACATACATGTACATGTACGTTCACTGCACATGTGCAGAGACAGCTTGTTCTGTCGATGTCCAGGATCACTGTCGTTTTCCCAGATCAATCAGCTTGAGATATAAAATTGCTTGCATTCCATGATTACATGTACATTGTTATTTTCTGGTGTACCTCGTTAGTGACCATATCCCTGAAGTACAGTGTACAGTGTACCGGTGTTTCCCTTTGTTTCCTTCTTGTTTTTACTTTATTTTTGACAGCTAAGCAGAGTGACGTCTTGGTGAAGAAAAACAAATCACCAAAATTGTGCTTGTAAACATTGTTTGTATTCATACAATAATCCTATCAGTCCAAAAGCCTACAATCGCAGTATAATTTTTATAAACTCCTCTATTGCTGTGTACACATTACATTGTACATGGATTCCATCTTTGCTGTCCAAATGAACTTTAAACACCGATACATGTACAGTACATGAAGGTCTCAGGGTTAATTCTGTTGATGTTGTGTCCACAGTAATGCACCCAGCAGAGTTTATATTGGAACTTGTAGTATTCACGCGGAACTGTTATTTTCAATTTTATACAGATGAAACTGCCACCAACTTCGCATTTGCACGCACGTGCACAGTGAAATAATGTAACTGACTGATTTTCCATGTCTCTCCCAGATATATTTTCACAGTTGTCCGACAGCAACGGCGTGCTGATCCACTCCAAGTTTGACGAGTACCTGAAGCTGGTGCTGCAGCTGCCCACAGCGGTCTTTGAAGGGCCCTCGTTTGGCTACAGCGAGACAGCCTCCCAGTCTGTCTTCGGACAAGGGCCGGTGAGAACACTGCCAGCAGTGGCCCTATGTGTTTGACCTGTCAAGTGCTTATATCTGGTGGGGTACCACAAAAAAGTTTAAGTAGATCGAAATATTTCAGTCTCAGAGTTTTTCTTTTCATGGGGGGGGGTCAAAATTGTTTCCTTGTCAGGGAAATTCCAGAAATTAGGGGTCCAAAAGTGTGACATTCGTGTGTCACATCTGACCTTTGTTATTTGACATTGAAATATCACCGGAACTGATTTCAAACTATTACTATTTGTTTGGCAGGTCATTTGGATTAATTCGTTGCTCTTGGAAATTAGAAAATGTGTTGTAAACTTATAAAATCATGTTATCAGATGTGACAGAGACCTCTAATTTCTGGAATTGCCCATTACTAAGTACCACAAACCATTTTCTCCCTTTTTCATGTCATCATTTTCTGTGGAATGTTTACTGCATTGCCTATTTTGAGATGGAAACAGTTTCAAACAAGTATCAGAGTTTGAACATGAAAAAAATATTGTCTTCGCATTTTCTGTTCATCACAAATAGTCAGAGTCTCAAGATTTTTCTTTTCAGAGAGTTTATTGAAACTGCCGTGCTTTTTTTCTCTGGAACGTGAAATAAGGTGAAATTTTGAACCTTGTAGGTGCATTTGCTACGTTTTTATTAGAGATTGCCGGTGAACATAAGCCCTGTTACCTTTCCAGGCAGTGCAGACATGCCTACCAGAGCTTGTCCTAAGGCAGATGATGTGATGCATAAGCTTGGTGTAATCTCTTTTAGTTTATTGGCTGAGATGGCCAGTTTAAGCAAACTCTCTTGTAAACCAGTTAGGACTTGTAATCCGCTTTTGTGCCTGGGCGTGCTAAAACTCAGCGGGCTTCATGCAGATGGAAGTGCATGTCACCTATGGTTCCCCCCCCCAGGAATTAGTTTTTATAGTAATCCTTATGCCATGGGCACTTTGCTGGGAACTTGCTTGAATCGTCCAAAATCCTCCACAGTTACACGTGTATGGAAACTAGCACCACGGTCTTTACACTTTTAACTTCAAGAGCAGCAAACTCCTCATGAAGTAGCGGTATACATGTATCAACAGTGGAAGGATCTACTCTCCTTAATCCTTTAAAATCCTATAACCTCTCCAGGTAGAATTTGAGGGATCTGGGCAGGTGAATTTATTGATTTCTTTCGTCTTCAGAACGCCAACCGTCGAGTGACGCTGAACGACTTTCTAGACACCCTTCTGGCCGACCCCGGGCCCCCCTGCCTGATGTGGTTTCCACTCATGCACCGCATGTGCAATGTCGAGAACGGTAAGATCTCGTCTCAATTTCAGTTGCGATTAAAGGTGGGATTAAAGATGTGCGGAGGTCTTGGGCCCAAGAAATGTCAACTACTCGAATATTGTCCATGAGTGAAGTAATTCAGAGAGAAGATCAAAGTGTGCAGAATTTTTTTCCCTTTAAATGTCTTTGGATTTCTTTGTAAAAGGATGGAAATGTACAGTTGGTATTATTGGAGGTCCTGCAGTTGGCCTGGGTTCAAATTCTAGCGTGTTTATCCATTCGTGGCAGTGCTACATGAACATGTATTTACATGCACTCCCAAGCGGGAACAATAGAGGGCGTGCTCTTCTATAGCAGTGATGGTCTTTTTTGTGGGAACCCAGCGCTAGCATACACAGGTTCACGTTCATTTGGTGCAAATGTGCTCAGCATGCGCAACCAGTTTTCGTTTGAATGTACCGGTACATGTTTGGCCTTTATGTGCGCGCGGGGCACGTGCACAAACCCCGTTGAAAACCTTCCTTCTAGCCTTGTCTCTTCGTTCAGCGGTGAGGGTGGATAGTTTCACGGCGTATCGTTTGAACGATTTTCCCCTTTTCTCTCCCCTTCCCCCAGTATTTCACCCTGTGGAGTGCAGCAATTGTAAGTCAGAGTCCATGATGGGGTACCGCTACAAGTGTAACCGTTGCTCCAACTACCAGCTGTGCCAGAACTGCTTCTGGAGGGGCTACACATCCGGCAGCCACACCGCCGACCACGAGATGAAGGAGTATTCGTCCTGGGTGAGTGTCGGAGTTACCGTTACCTCCAACCACGACGTTGCTCACAGTACTCTCGTCAGCTGTCCACCGGATCACTGTATGCCGTCAGCGTGGTCATTCAGTTTTGTGAAGTCAAAGTATAGTGTTTGAGCCTCTCGGGAAATATGAAAAACAATTTGACTGACACAGCACATAGGGAAAATGTCAGCTTGTCTTTTCTTTCAATGAGTTCAATTAGAAACTGATACTTGGTGTTGTCCACCATCACCGCATTTCTTCCGCAGACTCGGAACGTACCACAGAAAGACAAACCTTAAACCCTCTTCACCTTCCATACCAAGAGTCTTCAACATGAGGGAGTCCTTTTCGGTTTGAAAGAGGAAATCAGGGGAAGAACAATTTTGCCGGAGCCAAAAGAAACAGTTCTGGGTAGATTAGGCAAAAGCGGAAGGGATGACCGGAAGTGTGTCTGGTCTCTTGTTCAATCTTCTTTTGTTTGCTTTGCAACCAGAAATCCCCCGCCAAGAAAGTGGGCAAGGCCCTGAAGAAGCCGTTTCGGTCACCCTCCAAGCAGCAGCGCCTACCTCACTACCCTGACGAGCCTGAACGACCGCTGGACCTCTCACACATTGTGTAAGCTGCTCAAGTCTGGCTGCATCCTAAAGCATTGGCTAGGGCTGAGGGTGAACACACGTCTATGGGAAATAGGCTCTGGGGTTAGCCAGTGGCTTACATAGAGGCATGTGTTATTGCTATCCACAGTCAAAACTTTTGGACACAGCCATATCGTTGTTGTTGTTAGTCTTGATTCAAGCCTGCATATTCATATCTGTGTATCTGATCCAGGAACCCTCTGTAAAGGATGCTGCTTACTTAACTGAAGATTGCAGCTGCAGGGGCCGATTTCATAGAGCTGCTTATGCACAAAATTTGCTTAAGCGCAAAAAACTTGCTTAAAAAACAAAGGTTGCCAGCTTAAAATCTATGTGATTGTCATGCTAACCAAAAGACAGGTGAACACCATTCCAAAACAATATACATCACATGGAGATTTGGCTTGTAACCTGATTTGTCAAGCAAGGTTTTTCCACGCTTAAGCAAATTTTGTGCTTACACAGCTCTATGAAATTGGCTCCAGTTCACAACTTTTAACTGTCTTCGGCAAATTTCAGAGTCATTACTTGCCTTCATTCAAGTCTTTAATTTTGTACGAGCTGTGGAGGCATTTGCAGATTTGACCCGCCGGGAAAGTTTAAGACATTTCCAAGATCTCGGCCAGATTAGCATGCTCCTGTTAGTCTTAATTCAAGCCAACTGTTCCTGCAACTTTTTCCTTCTGCAATGTTTACATGAACTGCGCATAGAGGGTGCTGTTTATATAACCAATTAGCAACGGCTGGTCAGAAATTCTGAAAACTGCACGAGAAGCTGTTGATTCTCAGAAAGAGTATTTATAAATATTGATATAAATTCAACAAAAATAGTGCTATCCGCTAAAGGCTTAGAAAAAATGCAACTTTTTCCTGTAATTCTAATAAAAATGTACACATCTTAACCTCAGTCCTTCTTGAGCATCATTTTTCATTTGTCAGTTTAGCCATCCATCTCTCTGTTCAAATTAATGACCAATTTCACAATCCATTTTCAAAATTAGTCACATCTTTAAAACAGAGATCTCACTTGGTTGTAATTCTGTGCCGCTCAGATCTCTGATGACTTTGTTTTGGCTATAAGCAGCTCCCTCTTTCTGTATCTTCTTTTGAAACAAGCAGGACCCGTGCTTTTGCAGTTCAACTTCAGTGAAGTCCAGCGGATCTTGCCCATTGTTCTTTCCCTTTTGCTGTGCTCGCAAAATTGCCACTTTCTCCCCCCACGATGGCTGTTCTCTTGAAAACCCAGTCCCAAGCTTCCTTACTGAGACTGGCAGATTATTTGCGTCAGTTCCAATGATTCTTTTCTTTTTCTCTTTTTCCCCACCCTGGTCGTGCATACATGTACATGTACCAGTAGGAAAGGCAGTCTGTCTGACATGCAGATGTAAGGAATTTTTTTGGGGAGATGTTGCATTTTGAATTCATGTAGCAGTTTGTTCTGTTTGAAATTTTTTTTTTTTGAAATTGTTCTCCTCCTTTGTGCACTGTAACCATAGTAACAGGAAAGCAATATTTGATTGCTGTCTTAAACTCATCACTTGTACCCTCACTGTTTCCAGCTAGCCAGAGGCTCAGTTTACCAAAATTTTGGCAGAAGTGGTCATGGCTATAAGAGAGTTGACCTTGGGGGGGTCAGAGTGGAAATGTCTTGAAAACCAGATCAGATATCTGTCATTTCAGGGCTCACAGGACCCCCTAACTTCATCATAAATTGTAGCCGAAACTTCTCTGGGCCTCTGGCTAGTTTGTGTGACATTCACTCTCACGTCTGATGGTTACCGTGAAATCTCACAGCCTGTGTCCCAGACCTTTCCCCCACTGCTTGTTCTGACATTCTTCAGTGACATAACCGCCTTTTCGGAAAAGAATAGAAATACCATCGATATCTTCTATCAATCCGTGCATTATTAAGTCATGGCAGTAATTAATATGCATTCATGATTGTTAAAACATCATTAATCTTGCCTTGTTTTTCTTTTTCTTTCCAACTGTCCTTTGCTCTGTCGCTGAAACACCTCTTGTCAACTAACCTTCTCCTGAATCCATAACTTGTGCAATGTGGTCACTTCTTCATCTCTGCTCTTCCTGATCATGTCTATCACTGTGGTCATTCCCTCCCTCCTAATTCCCCTTTTCTGCTCAATTTGTCCCCTTTTTCCATCCATTTTCTCACCATCCTACTTTCCTCTGTCTTCCCAACTTATCTCCCCACCTTCCCTACTTCCTGACGTTAACCCCCCTTTTAATCCTCCCAATCCCCTCCCACCCACCATGAACCATTTAACCCCCCCCCTGAAATCCCCTTTTCCCTGGCCCCTTTTTTACCATTTGTTTTAACATTGTACAACCGGTATCCATCTTCTAAACCACACCTCTGGTGCGTGATGCTTGACCTCTAACCTCTCAGGCCTGCCACCCCAGTAACGGTACTGACCTATGATAGTCCTGACAATGCTAGAATCTTGCGCACCGACGACGATCTCAAAAGGTAGGCTATCTAGAAACCAGTGCTGGTCTGGTTCCCAGAATCATCCATTATTTTACAAACGGCAGTCAGTCTGTCAAAGCTTGCTCCAGAAATTGACTGTGGTAGGAGTAACATGTGCATCTACGTTAGTTACTCACTAAAGGCTGTGGCTATGTCACATAGGTGCATGTGTCCCTTGTAGCCATAGGCAAGACTTTTAGACATGGCCTAATAGAATTTGTTTGCGATGCATAGTTTGTTTAGCTGGTTCCCATCATATGCTACTGTCATGTACACTGTGCGTTGCGAAGTCGGAAAATGGTTTATAATTTAGGTATCAATTCTTAACGGGCATGATTTGTTATTGACTGAAAAACTATATTTTTAAGAGGACTTGTAAGACTGTGCGTATTTTAACCAAGAAATTTTTACTCAAGGGTCATTTTATAAATTCAGGGTCCAAAAGTGACATTTTTGTGTCCCTGTTACGCCTGACCTGTGGTATTTGACATGGAAATATCATTGAAATTGATTTCAAACTATTTACATTTGTTTGGCAGGTAATTTGCATTAATTCATTACTCTTGGGAAATTAGAGAATTGTTTTGAACTCACAGAATCATATTTCAGATGTCACAGGGACACAAGAAATCTGGATCCCAAATTTACAGAATGACCCTCAAGGAAACTGCTAATCTCGACTACGTGTAAAACCTCTCTTGTGTTGTTTCCTCCTTCAACGACAGTCTGGACAATTCCCGACTGGATGATGAGCATAGACTGATTGCACGTTATGCCGCCAGGCTGGCTGCAGCCTCCAACAACCCAGTGAGTATCTGATCATTGCAGAGCTCTAGTTGTCTGTTGGCGATTATTCTTGCGGACTCTAATCCTGAGGGGACTCGGATCGTGAAACCCATCTCCCTGCCTTGCAAAAGAATTGCGGCTCAATGGGGCTGCCATTTACTTCAGCCAAGTTTGTCTGCAGTGGTATTCACAATCGTCAAAATAACCACTAGATCTTCAGCTCAGTGCACACGATCCCAAGACCAGGACATTCAAGGAAAAAAGAAAGTCAGACGTAGACAAGGGAGATCGAGATGACCATGACAAATTAAACATTTGATTTGTTTCGCTGAAAAATATGTACTGATGTTTTCATTCGTCGTTATCCCTCCCCCCCCAAAAAAATTGATTCTATCACTCCTAAATCCAGAAAGTGTTAAAAAGAAGACAAAATTGCCACTGATAGAATAACTGGTTCTGTCAACCTGAAAAAAAATTATGTCTGTTACTGTCTTATTTAGCCAACCATGAGTGAAATCTCGGCTGATCTTGACGCCAATAAGGAGCAGCGAGCGCTCATCGCACAACTTGAGGCCAAAAATAGGTATGGACTTTCCTTATCCATAATCCGATTACTGCCAAGCAAAGGCATTATCATATGCCAGAAAACTGCATCGAAACATTGTTCAATGTGCCCTGTGAAAAGATGGCATCAGGGATTATACGAGCTCCTTTTTTTTTTTTTTTTTGCAAACAAATTTCGCTTTTGTGTACAGACTTCACGTTTGGTCATTGATTTTATCAGCTTTGAGTTTATCACTGTCAAACCAAAAATGAAATGATTTGCAGATGTTAACTTTCATTCTAAAATAGTCATTCTGAAACTACTGTCAAACCTTTCATTTCCTGTATTCACTCCACAGAAATAGGACATTTTTTATTCCATTGTTTTATGTGCCTGAACTTGTGCAAACTATTTTCATAAATATGCATAAATTGTTATTTTGTTTGTATTTTTTGCCATATTCACTGTGTTAGTATTTGCCTCGGTAGCTGTCATATGATTTTTGAAGACAAAGAGATCAGAACCACTTTAAAATCAAAGCAATGCCATCAAGTTTTTTTTTTTAATTCAGGGTTTTTCATTTTGAAGATGATTTTTGGCTCTTACATTTCAAATGCTCGCGTAATAGGCAAAACTGATGTGTCACCAATGTTTTCGTCAGGGAAATTATGCGGAGATCCAACGCCTCCGTCAGGAACACGATGAGGCTGTGCGCTCCCAGCCCCAGCGCAACCCAACCCTGCTGGCCGAGCTGCGGTTGCTGCGGCAACGCAAGGATGAGCTAGAGTTGAGGATGGCAGCACTGCAGGAGAGCCGTCGTGAGCTGATGGTCCAGCTGGAAGGCTTGATGAAGCTGCTCAAGGTATCCCCAAGGCCTTAGTTTGGTTTGAAGTGTCTTTTGGTGCATCAGTCTCGACTTCCGCAAGTTAATTGGTGACGAAAGAACTGCATTGTTTTCCAAGAGACCTCTTGTTTTTTTCGTTGCTTCAGAGTCATGGTTCGCCGCGCTCTAGCCCCAACCACACCTCCAAGAATAACAACGCCTCAACAACCACCCCTACCCATTCTGCGGCCATCCCTGGTGACATCGCGACATCCCGCAACGGCAAGCCAGCTGGCGGCGAGGGCTCCCGGAACCTGCGGAGTGACTTGCTAGTGGCAGCAGACTCTGTGACCAGCGCCATGTCCTCGCTAGTACGGGAGCTAAACTCAGGTATGGCAAACTTAACCGCAGTTGCCCTCCTTGTACCCCATCCAGTAGTGGGCCTTCATCATGATGCTGCCATGTTGGTCTTGTTCCCATTAGACCCATTGGCAAAAGTAATACAACTTCAGATATTGATAAAGGGAACAGACTGTTTTTCCTTCCAGCCTCAGTTTGGTTTCAATGCTTTGAATGGTAGAAAAGCAAGATGGCTGCCCCATGAAAGAGGTCAATGAGGGTAAAGGTCAGATTGCACAATCTCAAGCTATTTGTGGAGAATACTGCTCTCATGACCCAGTGAACAGGGATACTAATTGAAAAGCCTTTGATACTTCTGTGATGAAACACCTCATAAGTACTAAGTATCATTATAATGAGCCCAGCCTCCTTAGGCATTTTTGGCTTAGAACATTCCTTGGCCGTTTCCAATCCTCCACTGTGAAGGAAACAGTGGCACATTCTTGGCATTATAATCTCTTTCAGGAGGTCGAGCTCTACGTGAAGGTTACAAAACAGCTGAGCGCTGCCCTCCTCAATCTGGCAAAATCCTTTCCAATCACCCGTTGGATTTTGAAGGACCCAGTCAGCTGACTTGACATGGGCCATTGCCTAGAACTCTGAGGATACCAGAGACATTTTTTTCCACCTGCACATTTCCAGTTCACATTTTTACCTTCAAGCCGGTTTGTCCAGATCGAAAGGTCCACTGTGCTACTTGCAGTTAAGGATCTCACGTCGCTTGTTTTCTCTTTGCCCATTGCCAGAGGCTGATGACGATGACGATGACGACGATGATTTTGTGTCTGAGGGGGGCACCATCAAGAGTCCAGACACGCCCAGTAAAGACAGCAAAGCCAACACTCGGGGTACGTCAGCGCATGCATTGATTGACGTCAGGGGTGCCAGACTATGTTTGTGATACCCAACACACTGTGGTGATGGCAGACCATGGGATGTGTCAGCTGTAGTCCCTAAGCTCTGGTACCTACTGCATTCCCACTCCCCTAAAAATCTGAAAGGAATTCCTGAGATCACTGTGATACAAAAGAAGACATAAAAGAGGGGGCCCCCTGGGCCACATATCGCGCGTCATGTGATATTTGTCCTCTCTTTTGACTTGTACGGCCCTATTTAATCCATTTATGATTGATTTGCGACAGATGTACCATTGAGTCGCAGGGTGGGTCAGCGCTCAGGGCCAACCGGCGACAAGGGCAACAAGATGTCGGAGCAGGATTTTATCGCCGAGCTGACGGCACGGAAGGAGGGTCGGCCCAGGGAGCATGCGCGGCCTCCCTCGGGGCTAGACGTGTGAGTGTAAAACCACAGCCGGAACCAGACCGAGGCTAAGATGGGCACGCTACGGCAAAATCACTGCAGCCTCAGACCACAGTGCCATTTCAGACATTGTCTGAAAAGCCAGATTTTTAGTTCACAACACAAAGCCACGTCAACTTGACAGACGTATGGCCGACATGTGATTCTGTAGGTGTGGGTTATGAGGTGTAACATTTGTAAAGCAGAGAAGTGCACAGGTTTTGAAGAGACATTGGTGATGGTTTTTCAAACGGGAATTAGCCTTTCACCCCAGTTGTTTTTTAACAAAAGGCCTTGAGAAGGGTGCTATTCTCCATTTTGTTTATTATCAGCTCTGGTCAGAGTCAGACAGATGATGACAGTTACATCGCAACGGATGACGCCGAGTCCTACGTCCGCACGGACGATGACAGCTACATGAGGACAGACGATGAGTTACAGGGTCGAGTCACTGACGACGAACTCAAAGAAGCCAAGGTAGGAACCCCCCCCTCCACTTTTATGTCTCCTTTCTCCGCCCCTCCATAAGCGAGTTCAATCCAAAGTGATGACGTCGGACTGTAAAGGTGTTTATCAGTTGATAATGGGAACTTGCCATCCAGTAATTCGCCGGTGATTTTCCCTTTGCCGTCCCAGAAAGTGTATTTCGAAAAAATGAATTTGCATTGCTAAGATCTATTGTTTCTCACTGCTCATGAGGAAAATGGACTTTTAAAAGTCAAGCTTGCGGCCGATTTTATGCCAATTACAAGACGCAAAAGCCAACACAAATGCAGATTTTACATCACAATACGTACGTAGCAACATTTTTCGCAAATCAAGCTGGATGGGACTCTGTAAGCCTTCAATCAAACAGCCGACCTTTGAACCCTGTAAGGCTGGCCTGCCACCTTGCTCCCGGCTGAAATTTGGTGTTGGAAGGACAGTTGAAGGATATTTACTGGGTTTGTCTTTGACTTGTAGGAATTGTATCGCCGTCACACGGATGACGAAAGTTTCAATCGCACCACCACAGACGACGAAAGTTACATCCGTACCGACGACGACGAACCGCGAAACCCCCTGTGGGAGGACAACACGCGTCGATGGATCAATCGGTGATCAGCAATCAATAGCCAATATCCATTAGCTAGTAATCAATAGCCAATGTATTAATCAGCATTATTGTCCAGCAGTGGTAGAGCTAAGGTTAAAACAATTGCAGCCAGTGATTTCTGCAGGGCACCAGTCTTTGGTCGGGGAAGTTGTAAACGTCAGGCATTATTTGCTTGGGCATTGTTTGTGCTCAGCAACAGAAATGTACCTTTTCTGTGTACAGTTCCTTCCCTCTCGTGACAAGCGGAATGTAGATACCAGTGGTGCCCACACAAGTGACGCTACAGATTTGGCAAATAACCAGTGTGCAGTCCATGTCGGAAGCACGTTAGTACGTGTGCCGTGCGTTACGTCAAGGGGTATGGTTTCTGAATAAGATCTCTTGTTTACAAATGGAGCCCATAATAAGGCCTTCGTGTGTATTTTCTGTCATCAAAAGAGAGCTGTTCCCTTTGATGAATGACCGAATGAAACGGACCGTTACAAGTTTGACCGAGTACAAGTTTCAAAGTTTTCTAACCAACAAGCAGTGAATTGCATCTTTGTGTCTGCCCCTCTTGAATTGCCTTGTTCCTGGCACTAGTGGCTTGCCTTCTGAGGGCGGTGTGGAGATTTTCTTACAGGAGCTGTCCTATCCTGTCGGTACACGTAGATCTTCTGCCTGATTCTTCTTGGAAAGTCCCCAAACTGTTGCAGCTTGTTTAAAGCAGAAGAATACACTCAGGAAACACAACCTTAGGCCTTCCACTGCTGTGGTGAAATGTTTATTTAAAACCATATACACGTATACTTGTAATATAGTAGTAACGTCAGTGTATACGGCTTGGAAGCATTTAAGGCAGAGGGTTTTTTCTGTTTGAGGTCACCTCTTCCTGTTTTCATTTTTCATCACTTTTTACCTGGCAATCAATCTGTCCGTTAACAATCACTGCCTAATTGATGAGTCTGTGTTGATAGCCATTAATCGTCGTACTGAATGTGAAAAGCTTATCGTTGTAAGTTATTTGAAAGAGTCATTTTTGAGCTACTTTGAAATGCTGCCAATCATTGCATGGGTGTCGATCTGTGCAATTTGGAGTTGATTTTAAACAGTAGCAAAATTACCAGCCTCTCGTATTTAGAAACGGCAGCTGTTGGCTGAGGTAGAGAGTTTTGTACTTTGGCTTTGCCTTGGTAGTGTTTATTCATGAAACGGTAGTTGGTAGACCCAAGTCAATTCACCTATGGGCACTTTTGTTGGCAGAGGTTTGGTGGTTGCGCCATTCAGACTGCGATGAGTTTCAGCGTGGGTATTCACCAGTCACAAAACTCAACCTGTGTGTTTGTAGCAACACCAGATTCAGGATTTCGTTTTCCCTCTGACAAGTGCTTATTTACAGAAAACCAGGCTGGTCTCTGCTCGCGATTGATTTGGGGTAGGCGAAGTACAAAGACAGCCAGCTGGTTACAACTTCTTGTCTGCTTGAAAATCTTGTTGAAAGTGCACGCATCTCACATAAGGATCGGCACAGATTAGCTGTCACTGAAGCATTGCGTTGCTTCTTACCTGCAGATGTATACATGTGTTGGTTGTTCCCCACTTGGTGTTTGCCGAAGGTGGACTGTACAAGAAAGTACATGTAGTATGACATTGGGATTTGTTAGAAATGAAACTAGGGGCATCAAGTTTTCTCTTTTATCCTTTCAAAAATCCCTTTTTCCAAAGTCATTTTGAAGCATTCTTAACTTATGTTTTAAAGCACAGTCTCTTTTATTGTTTTACCTTGTAAAATGAAGTGTAAGTATGGACAGAAATTAGCCTTATTTTACCCCCTACTCATAATTCTCATGTTTTATAAGAAATTTCTCCCTTTTTTCCTGTTCATTCCGAGCCTGACACTCAGTACGTGAATTGGTCTGAGCTACTGATTTCCTCTCCCTCATTTGGACGGGGCAGTATATGAATACCGAAGAAAGGGGGTTAGCGCTGTAACCTGTCAGGTAACTAATCAGACCTAAAATAAATGGGTTTTTGTGCCAGAAACTTATTACTGATCCAATAATGTGTCAAGTTTGGAAGGCAATGTGTGCAGGGGATTACAGTATTCTTGCCATGAGCTTAAGTTTCATCAAGTAGCTTGAAGTACTCTCCTACAAAGCCTACTGTCAACATTCTCGGACATACAGCAAATCACTCACACATGTGGAAATTTCTCACCAATTTCTCCTTTGCGTAGACCCCTACAGCTTTCACAGGTATCACTTTATTTCTGGTTGCAGTCTCCAGATTATCACACATTTACATAGAGATACATACTTTGAATAACCACATGTGTCTTAAAACAAAAGCTAAGGAAACTAAGCACCTACTCGAAGAATTATGCATACAGCTTTTCGTTTTAAGCATATTGATGTTTACTCGACCGCGCAGATTAATTTACAGGGAAATAAGTTGTTCAGATTTCACCCTGAACAGAAGATGCTTTCATTTTAAAGACACTAGCCCTATAATGCATGTAGTGCTGGATTGAAACATTCATAAGACCACAGACTTTCACGGCTTGACTGCTGGGAAGCAGCGATGCAATGTTTCATCCACCCCCCCCCAAAAAAATAGGGAAAAAAATCGATAATGTAATTTCTAAGCCACCGAAGATGTCAGAAAGGGAGAAGCGTGTGACTATCGAAATGTTCAGTCCCACATATTTGAGTAGCTTCCTGTTTCCTTCAGCAGAAAGCAAACTGTAACGGCTCCATCCGAGTAGCTAATAAACAGAAAGTAAAACACTATCAACTTCAACTTTTACCTCGACAGAAGTGAATGGATACATTTCCGGATTTCAAATCCAGGGAAAACTGGCAAACATTCTCATCTTCACAACTATCTGTGAGGTTGGTCATTAAAAGCTTATTAACAGCTTCGCCAGAACCACCACAAAGCTAACATGTCTGTTCGAAACTGATAATAAATTATTTATTGGCAATGAAACGAGAAGCGTGGTGTTATTGAACCCCGAGACAGTTTCCTAAACAGCATACATCGCAGAATATATTTCCTAGAATGCCTTTCAAGCGATATGGGCCTAAGCTCCCAACTCTATAATCATTATATCAACTCTTGAGATATAGCCCTGAGCCTCGGTGTCCATTCAAAGCTTCCGTCTTTCGTCCCGGTGTCCATTCAAAGCTTCCGACTTTCTCCCAACTAGAGACACTTAGTCTCATAGCGGTTTGTAATCTACGATGAGCCACTCTCGTATATTATAATTGTTTGTCTCGAAATGAAATTACTGAAAGACTTAAAATAATCGTTTCCTATAGAGGGACGTCCTAAACATTCGAATACCGCGTATCGAATACCCTTACAAATATGTACGACACAAGGGATAAGAAACTTGCACTGTGTGTACTAAGTGTGTTCCGAAATTCTAGCTACGTTTGTATGTTGTAAGAGTTTCCGTTCATTTGTTAGGACTGTAATAAATCACCTTCACTCGTCGTTTACCGAATCACACCATATGTAAATATAGATGTAGACGCAGTGTACAATATTGGATTTTTATATTTTGTCAAGTTCAACAGGTATTAACAAGTGGCTTTAATAAGATTGTTTCTTGGGGGGGGGTTAGGGCCGGGTCCTTGGCGGTAGTATTCTGTGCATCTCCTGTGATGTGTCTTAACTCTAGTCGTACGTGCATTTCTCACCAGAGCTGTTACGCAGCAAACGTAACGATTAAAATGTTGGAGAAAAGCCAGTGGAGTTGTGTAAAGGTGAATTTGGATTTGAGTCTCGGGTTACGTTTGAAAGGCGGGTAAGATTTGGAGGAATGTGTTTTTATAATTCTTCGTGGCCTCTAGTTGTTTGTTCCAACCAAAAAAAAAAAAACTCAAAGACCTCATTAGTGAGAATTCATTGACAATGCACACTGCACCAACAGTTGTCATAACTTCCAAGTGCAGGGCCATCATGTCAAAGCTTATTTTGCCTTTTCTAATTCCCTTTTCGGGTCCAGTCGCCATTGCGTACCGGTGGTAATTGGGTAACATAGTACAGAAAGTGTTAACTTTTAATTTTTAAAACTTTTAATGCAGTATCATAACACACTGTTCTCAAGTCTTTGAACTCACCCACCCCGTGCTGAATTTTCCCCCGTTTGATGTGCGCCTGCGCGGACAGGTGTTCTTAATTAGAAATTCTCAACCTCGCCAACGTGCATGTTGCGTTTAGGTCCACGTACATGTAGGTCAGACGTAGCACGGGAATGGATCCTTCTTCGTCTTAATCCTCGTCATCATCACACCCACAGCACCCACAGCAGTCTCCGTCCTCGTCTTCCTCTTCCTCATCCTCCAAGCTCCGGACGATGCGCCGGAAGCAGGAGAAGAGCCGCCTCAGGTTTCGCCGTCTCTTCCGCCGCCCTTTGGGCGTGTCGTCCGCGACGAGCGCCACCGCAGCCTGCTTGGCCGTGACCTCCAGCCCCTCCGTCTCGTCTTTGGCTCGGGGCTGTGTGCCGTCCGTGGACTCTTTCTGTTCCCCACCGGTCCCTGCGCCCTTCTCGGCCTGCTTGTCTTGGCTGCTCTCCGTCTGGTCCTTGTCGTCCTTGTCAGTTGCACTGTTCATTTTGCCTCCGTCGGTACTCTAGGTCAATCTGTAATCAGAACAATCGATTGGAAAGAACTAATCGCAAAGTTGCCCATATGTTTTGGAGACCTCAGATTTGTAAGAAAAAGAACAGCTTTATTCCATTAGATTTCAGCAAACTGCAGAGCAGTTTCATTCAACTGCTAATTGGAACCTGCTTTCACTTTTTTGTCCACAAAGTTTAGTAGTTTTTTCAAAGTTATTTAATTTTTTTTAAATCAGCTGGTCCTATGCTTCGAACACGTTCGCCCTTACCGATCGAGGTGGCGATAATGCCGCTGTTGACAGGGTTTTTATACCGTAGTATTAACTATAAGTACACTGTAATGTGCTCAGCGATAAGGCTGATTCCCCCTTCCCCCTTCGAGTTAAGGCCGACAAAAGACGAGAGAAAAGTGCTCTTACTCTGGTAAGTGTGGGATAAATTACACCGTGTCGGTTCTTGCAGGGCCGTCTTCGATTCGATCCGCTGAGCTGACTTTTGGTTCTTCTGCAGCGTCCAACCGGCGATGCTCTTCCACTCGGAAGTTAACGAAGAATGTACATTTCTGTTTAAAAAACGGGGTATTTATGCATGTTCGTTTATCCTGTGTTTGAATTATTCATTTCCTCGTAAATGTAATGAGAACTAGGATTATTTGCCTCATCGGACACCTTCTTAGTTTCGGTTTCGCAATTAAATGGTGTGCCTCAGAGCGGAAAAGCTGGAAATGCGGATGTAAAAACCAAAACGATACGCCGAACACTTGTAACAGCAAAGAAGTTTGGAAATCCCAAGTCTTAAAGGTATGAAGCCATGGTATACAAAGGCGTGAAAATTATTGTGTATATCTGCTTAATACTGCCAGTACAGTGCTTGAAGATAACCATTTCTGAGTGAAAATCGCATCTTAAATTGTGTTTTCATGCATATTTCAAACGGTATCGTTTACCCTTTAGATGTCGCTATGGGAGACACGTTTTACTTTGTGCCCCATTGTTTTGGGAACGTTTGAAAACAGATAAATAGCCTGTACCTCGAAATTTATTTCACTGGTGCCCGCTAAAATAAGTGGCTCCGGCTGAAATAGGCGGGACAGATATCCTTAAACAGAAAACTTTACCCTGAATGAGCACGCGTGAATGCGACTGTTTTACCCACGTGCGTGACATAAAAGTGGATTTTGTTGTCTCCTTACCCAATGGAAACAGTTCCCAGAAAAACAAAAAACTGGCACCACTCATTAAGAAATTGACGGGCGGGATTCCCCCACGGGAAAAGTGGGAAAGGCGAAGTACAAACCGGACGTTTCATAATGCCATGTTCAACTGTCCCTTAGCCGGGCAACCCAGTACAGCGCAATGGCATTTCAAGTTGCATTCTAATTGCGCGTTGTATTTCCCAGGTCACAATTTGATGAGGCTGCCACGTAGCATAAAATGTTTTCCGAGATTAAAAAATCGTGAGGGCGCTGATCATTTGCTTGTTTGGCAAAGTTCGTCATTATAAATGGCTTTGTTAATTAAAAGCACCGCAAGTGGAAAAACTGCAGCTTCGAAGCTGGACACCTCTCAAATGACATGAGTTTTGAAGAAACTGTAATCATTGTACTTGTGTGTACGTCGTTACAGTCACATTCGACAGGGCCCTTTTCCAATACTCAACTCCGGCTAGGCTCCGTCTCAGACTTGAACTGTTTTTTTTACTACCTGACTTTGAAGCTATAAGCGCAGTCACTAGTCTAATAGTGGAACCAAACACCAAATGAGATGCTAGAGAGCCAAAAAGTACAGTAGTCCAATTTAATTTAAACGCTTCAGGCCCACACTCGGGGATTGGTTTCGGGGACGAAACCTGAGGCAGAGACGACGTTTGTTATTGGAAAACGGCGCAGGAATCGTTGGCGCATCGGATCGGAGGAGAGGTGGTTGCCCCATGGGCTTCCGTCTCCTCTCCTGCTCGTTAACGATCAAGGACGCGGCGGGGGCTAATCCGATCTTAATTAACCCTAATCCGAACTTAACCAAACTTTGCATGTTTTCATTTTAGACCCTAATCTACCGTCTCCCAAAATTTTGACATTAAAATTCGGCCTCCTGTCGGTAGTTCGAGCATTAGGGAGACATTGAATTGTCTCCCTAATGACCGATGTCTCCCTAAGGTCGAAGAATTTACCACAAAGTGTCTCCCAAATGACCTATTTGTGATTAAAGTGACAATCCTGGCTAATGTCACTTTTCACTTACTTTCCGTCAATCCAACAAGTTGGAAGAGAGCACATTTAATAAGAGAAGTGCAGCCTCCCTCAAGCCATGCAAGAGAATGTGTCATTTTCTCCTCTGAAGTTTGATCGAGTGTGCTCTCAAAATTTCAATATTTATGGGGATTGCAATTTGGCATTGAGTTTAGCCTAACTCAAGACTGAGTTCTAGTTATATAAGCACACACACCATTTCAATAAGACCAGTCTTCCGACTTTTTTTCTTTCTTTCTATGTTTTATTGATAAAAAAAATAACGCAAAACATACATTAGAAAGAAAAAGCACGAATTATACACAGTTAGGGAGATTGAGAAAAAAGGTGGGGGCCATGAAGAGATGTAGAAAGATGGTCATTGTACATGTCCATTTGAAATAATACCATAGGGTTTACAGAATTAGAATCGAAATTTCCATTTTTTTATTAAAGACTAAGGGTTTGATTTTTGATAGCAATCTTATATTCTGTATGATATTGATTTTGTAAAAATAGTCTTAACCCACTGTCTTCTGACTTTTTATTGCTTGGTTAACCTGCAGCAGATTTAAAATACTCGACATCGTCATGATTTTTTTATTACTCTGCGCTGTTCTGTTTCATTAGGGAAAACAAACTCGCCAAAATATTTTCGAATATCCTTGTAAAGTTGACAGACGGTTTTATACTGGGCTTCCATTTTCAAAATCGAATATTGGACTGTTTGACTAATTTCTCAACAAATCCCGACAATATGTTCATTACTAACGCCTCACCCAGAGACTCTGTATTTTGATTGGCCGAGAGCCAAAAGACTATAGAGGCTTTGCATGACTGCCATCATGCAGGGCAGTTCTTTTGTTCCACAGGGAAATCTCCTTTAGTGCATACCCCGTGTAACAAAAGAACTGCAGGATAGCTACCGCGCAAAGCCTCAATGTAGCGAAGTGTTGTACCAACAGCAACAGCGCACGCGCTTTACGGAGCTGGGTCCAAACATTTCTTGAAGAGGTAGTCTTGAAATGTTGCTACAGTGTAATAAAGTTTTCAACAAAAAATCTTAGTCCGATACCTGCTCTATGTATGTAAATCAAACTGAAATCTTTCAGGCTTAAAGCAATCATACTCTGAGGGAGAGGCGTTATAAAACAAGCTGTTTTGAGTGGTGTAGTAAAACTAACTTCCATCTCGAGGGGAAGTTTCAACTAACTTCCGTCCCGAGGGGAAGTTTTAAAACACCACTCGAAGCAGACAATGTTAAACAGTTGTGGTGCAAGTAGGCTACGTCACCGTGACACTAGTTCAGAGTTCGCCTTGCATGTGTATACTTGCTGCTTGCGTCTCGTATCAGGTTTGTGCACTGAAAAGAGTGGACGTTCCTTCACGGGGAAAACACGAAGTTGACTTGAAAACATTCAAAGAGTACAATGTAAATATTCTTCGAAACTCTTTTCCGATTTTATTTCTTACTGGTGACAAACCTTAGGCCTTGATGAGAATCATCAGTTAGCTCTTTATGTCACAAGTTTCTTCTGAGTAACAATAAATGCCTCCTCTAACATTGGAGCTCACTTTCATGATATGCATTCATATCGAAGAGCTGTCCCGTCTACGGATTATTGAATCAGTCATTGCACTGTTTATTGTCCTATGAAGACTGAAGTGTGTTGACCCAACATACTAGTCCATCAACTTCACTGCTCCCCCCAAAACCTAACAATTGGGTACCAAAAAAACCCGCTCTTCCCCACATCTTGACGCTGAAAATCACGTCATTATTGCCGTGTCCATTTTGAACATTTTGACATGAACCCAGACTACAGAAGATGTATCCCTTGCAAAAAAAATCATTTACATCCGGTGTCATTAAAAGCAATTTTTTTAAAAAATCGAGACGTGTGAAGTGATTCGAAGATACTCTGTAGACTTTAAAGATTTCCCTCTACTTAATCTGGGCCGTTTCTTAATTTGCATAAGGCCTAAGCTGGACCAAGAGAGGGCGCAATGTATCAGCAACGCAGGCTCCTTTGGTCGGAACTGCACTTCGCTGGCTCACAAACGATATATGAAATTTGCAAGAGTTACAGTAGCGTCGCTACGAGAAAAATGAATGCTCCCAACCAGGCTGGCACTTTTCAATCGATGAGGGGTGTTTTTGCTCAAGACTGCTATTGGATCAGGAGTCACTAGCTATAAGCGACTGAAGCCATTTCCCTAAGACGTGCGGGTTATTGCCGGCCGTAGCTAAGTTCGAACACAGCAACATTAGTAATTTCCTGTATACGCCTAATAGATGCCCACAAGTCTAGTACTCTCATCATGTCGTGGCTGTTGTTTGTGCTGGACTTGGTGCAGAAAACAGTTTTCCAGTTTGTCCCACAGTGCGCTGTCCTCTTCTTCCTAGAGCTTGATACACGACTGTCGACTAAACAAGCCTTGTTTGTTGCTTTCTCGCTCATGCCATTCCCTGCATGAAATGGAATGATTACAGAATGTCTATCTGAATCAAGGGTTAGCAAATAAAGCTCATCAGATTGCGAGAAGTTTTAATCATTGCAATGCTGGTAATGCTTCAGACTAATTTCCCCCTTTTTCCATGTGGCACATGCACACACAACATCTTTCCACCACATTCGACATCTTGTGGTTTTTCTGAACTCTCACCTCTGATGTAGATCTCCATAGATCTTGTCATAAGACAGCTTTCACCATTTTGGTTTCACCTCTAGCATGGCCTTGCCAGTGCAAATCTGCAAAATAAAAACTCAAACAGAAAAGGTGACGCCACGCGCTCCCTGCTCTACACGACACGCGCTTGCGCAGACGCAGCGGCGTTATGCTCTGTGAGATGTTTTGACCTCGACTGTCCCTGAGCAAACCCAGGCCATCGGCGGGGTACGGGTACTCACGGTCGGAGATGAAGCACTCCAACTTGCCCAGCGTGAAGTAACCTTCCTCGCTGCCAGCTCCGCCAGCGGTGTCGCCGAAGCGCAGCTGCACCACGGGGAGAGCTTCGTCCCTGAAGTCGACCAGGTAGCCGCTGTCCTGCAGCCAAGAAGCTTGCTCTGCGTCACAGTTGCACTTCTCGCTAGCATCTATAGCAGAGAAACATTCAGAACTGTGATCAAGAACCTCCTTCTGATAATGAACCCAATATTACACACAGTTTCGACAAAATATGCATCAGTATAAACTATTTTTTAAAAAAAATATTTGAATATATACATATTCATACACATATTTTAACCAGGTCGCATGTTGTTCTTCGGAGCGCATGTCTTTGCGACTTACCCTGACATGTGCCGTCCAAACCACAAGCGCAGTATCCATCCTGACCACTGGCCCCGCCCCAATAGGTCTTGGTTGCACCGCTAAAAGACACCCACCAACTGGTCCCGCTCTTCAAAAGCTTCGCATCTGATGAGGAATTATTGCCAAGTGCAGTGTCACGTTAAAGCAAAAACGGAAGCTCGAAATACCTGGGTAATACTACTCGTCACCAGACGGCCTCTGAGCGCATGTGAGGAGGGTTGTTTCACGCAAGCTCTGGGTTGGAATTGCCATATGCTTACACAGTTTTTTATCACTCAGCAATGGATCTTGCAAAGTTGCAAGGAATCACTAGTTGAAGACTTTAACCTGTCTGCCTTGCGGAGCTGCTGTAGCTAAAAATCGTGTATATCCATGTGCTGGGTTCATTTGATAGGCTTGTCGAGATTTCTAGAACGACTGATCGGCGTAAAAAACACATCGCAAGACACTTGGCACAGGTCGTTTTTTTACAGCAATGCAAAGATTTTTGTCTTCGAGCTCTTACTCCCAGCCTGCTCATGGCTTGATTTGGATACTTGGTTAAAATGAAGAACCTTAACTCGAAGGCAGACAGGACCTTGCGCACCTCTTACGACCGACCTCTTGTCGGTATTCAGGATCAGAGATCATTTGGTCGACGCAGGATCGACATTGAAATAATGTAGGAATCTTCCAGCATGAAGCGGCCGACTACGGACTTACCAAAGCACTCGTAGGAAATATGCTGCAAGCACGTCTGAGAGTAGTCGGTGGAAGGAAGAGTAAACTGTGCCGCGAGCTGGTCCACGTCCATGTTTTCGTAAACGATGGATTGAATGAAGGAGCCCGCCGATCCCGCGCCGGCGACGTGCGTGCGGGACTCGCTGTCGTGATTGAAGATGACGCTGGCGTGTGTCGAGTTATAGGTCACGTTACACTCAGCTAGAAAGAACCACAGGTGTATTGGGTCGTGGTTAGCACGAGCACTTGGAGAAACTGGTCTCTTTTGGATTTGGAAAGAGCTCTTCAGTTATCGGAAAATGATACTCTCTGTTTTGTTACCTACAGAATAGAAGAAACGACCTTAGAGATTTTGAAAGGTCCAATCACACGGGCCATCTTTCTCAAAGCACAGAGTCAAGAAGATAGCTAGGTATGTAGCCAGAAGTTTTATTTTACTTCCAGTCTTCAAATCACTAACTACAAGGCTTTGCATCAGTTTTCTTGCATATTTCCGAGCATATTTTTCTGATCAGACTCACCGATGAATGCGTTTGCGGAGCCACTCGCGTCTGCATCAAGGAGGTAGTAACCGTCATCGGTGGCTCCGCCCTGCTTGGCATCATAACACGTCTTGACTTGCGTCCCAACTGTGGGGAAGAACGGAGAAAGGAAGTTTTAATTGTGGTGCCGAAGCTCGCGGATAGTGCAATGGCCATAAGTTTAATCGGAAACTCGTAAAAATAAGGCAGAGTTTTGCACCTCTTTCGTGGCACTTCAATTTGCCCAGCGTAATGATAGCCCTCTGGCTGCTGGAGGTTCTACCAACTCTGATTTGGCTGACTGGGAGTGCACTCGGGTCAGTGATGTAACCCTTATCCTCCAGCCAAGTGGACGAAGAGGTCGCACAGTTGCAGTCCTCTGACGTGGAGTAACAGGAGCCGGTCACACCGCAAGCGCACTTGCCCGCCGTTGTGGTACCGGACCAGTTGTTCATGTCCGTGCCGTCTTGGGCCACCCACCAAGCATTCCAGTTGTTGCTGCTCTGATAAATGTCAAAACCTGAAAAAACAAATTGACTAATTGAGATTCTTATTGATACGCCAACTTTTGACAAGGACACATTTTGGATGAATCTCAATCACTGGTCGTTTCATTTCACTTCGGACTAAAACTTCAATATTTCTCCTGGAATCATGAGTTGCTTTGTTAGAAATAATGAATACAATTCCAGACACTAAACAGAAATTGGATTTCCATTTGCGGATCAATAACAGGAAATCCACTGGTCGCTTTGGAAAGCGTTCATCATCAGCCTTCCAAATAATTTGCGGTCATCCTCGGTGTAAGCTGTGAAAGTCCCGGGTTTATCTTGATTTTTTTGTTTGTTTGTTTGTTTGTTGGTTGGTTTGTTGGGGTGTTTGTTTGTTTGTTTGTTTGACCACCTTGCCTTCCTAAGTTCTTATTTACCGTTATTTACCATTGCATTGGAGTCCCAAGTACTGCGTGCAGGCCGTTGCGCTCCCGACTAGACTGGTAAGCGTGGCGACGCTGGCACCGTCCGAGTAGGCGATGTCTTTGGAGAAACCTCCGCTCTGGGAATACTCTGCGATCTCATTGTCACCTTCAAAGTTGTGCCCAACCTCCATAGTGGGGGCGTTTTTGACCGTGCTGAAATCACATCGAACTGAAAGTAAAAAAAAAACAAACCACTGTCCTCGCTCACTTTTTTTCCCTACTTTTTCTCATACTGAGTGTCCACGTTGTTTCTTATCCTGCGTAGACCATTGCCTTTCCAATCAGGTCTATGTCCGGTTTTTACTCCCCCACTTTCCTGAATACCCTGCAAGTACACCTGGCAGGTACTTCGCCAAGAGATTCTAAAAAGCGCATTTTGGTTGACTCTTCAGCCAGAAAATAGAGAGGAGAGGAAACGGGACAAAACCTTCTCACACTTAGTTGTTTTCCACAATTTGGTGGTATACTTTGTAGAAAGTCGTCTGACTTTTAGGGGGATAGCTGTCGAATATTACCTAGCACAGGTTGTAGGGACCCGCTGCTTCCATCGGGATCTAACAGGTAGTACCCATCGGTTGTGTAGCCGGCTGTTTGGGCATTTCGGCAAGATGTGGGCAGCGTAGTGGCTGTCGGAGTTACATAAACAAGACTCGCACGATTACACAAAAATATCGTCGACAGCAAATCAATTTAATAGCAGTGGTCGATACTGCTAAATCGGATCTGCAGTTCGTCCACACAGGGAACACTGACAATCGGAACAACGAAAAGAAGTTCATGAGATCAAAAGCATTAGGCTGCTGCTTGTACTTACAAGAATCCATGCACACCAGGTTGCCTAATGTGTAAGAGGCTGACTCTGAGGTACTGATTCCGCCGATCTTCAGCGTTTTCACTGGTAGTTTGCTGCAGGAAAACAAGAAGGTGCGATGCACATGGACTTCTAAAGCATACGTTTTAGACGCATTGTGATGCGTCGTCAGAAAGTTCTAAAATTAGATAGGCCTACAACAGGTGTACCTTATCTGCAAGGTGCTTTTAAAATGTGACGTTAAGTTCGTAACAAAAATAGTACAGGTGCTTGTGGAGAACCCTACCTTTTGTCGGTGATGAATCCTCCATCGTACGTACTCTCCCCTGATTTCCCATTGCTGTCAGCGTTACACTTGTCTTTGTTTGAAAGGCAATTCCCCAGCTGACCACACAGACAGCCACTTGCACCAGCCGGGTCAGCCCCGGCCCAGTACGTCATCTGCTCGTCACTGTTGGATTCCCACCAGACCAGCTGCTGGCCGTTGCTGGCCCAGATCTTTGCACCCGAGCTGACGTAGTAGAGTGACTGGTGGCAGAAGTGTGACGCGGCAGCGACAGTGGCGATCTCGGCTGAGAGCAGACGGAATCAGTAATTCAAAATCTGTTATCACTGCATGATCTCTTGTCTTGACTACTACTCCAAGATAGCGCACAAATTATTTGGTGGATCATTTATCTGCTTCTCGGTGCGTTATTGATCAACAAAAGCAAGTTTTACATAGGCCTACTTTCTTACACTGGTTTTCTTCAAAAGCACCCACATTGTTCCCTGCAAAAGGAGTCTATTGGTATGATAAAATTTATCTCGGTCTGGACATCAGAAACCATTCCTTTGTTGCCCGTTGCGAACCCCACTGGTCACTTGGTTTTGATTTAAAACCAAGTGGTGAGTAGACCTTTCAGAGGACTGGTGTTCAGGCCCAGTTTTCGTCTCGCTTAATACCGCGGCGGGCTATCCAGTTATCAGTTTTCCCTTGGCTTACGATCATAACTTCGTCAAGCGACACTTACCAATGTCAACGTTGTTTGAGTAGGTAAAGGAATGGACATTTGATCCAGCACTTGAGTAGGGCTGAGACAGAGTGGCAGTACTCAAGATCACTTCCTCTTGTGTGTCGTGAGATATCTGCAATGACGACAGAGTCAGTAACAGTCATAGTTATAGTTATGGTTATAGTGGTATCTAGTGATAGTTGTAATTAATGTCATAGTTATAACAGTTATTCTTATTATCGGAGGTTATCATTATAATCATTTTCACGGTCATGTATAGTTACCACGGTGTATGCGCCATCATTCTGAATCATGCTGAAGTAACAATACACGGGAAATCCGTTACCAGCTCCTGCTGCGTAGATCCAATGGTAACCATCCACCGTGTTGCCTGCTGTCTTATAGTCTAAGCAACTGGTGTACGCTGTGTGGCAAAAGCATTACAGAAATCAAAGTCTGTCGACAGACAGAAACGCGGCAAAGTCCACCGAAACACTTGAACCCCAGTATCATAGCAATAGATCGATTTTTTTTCTGAGTGGGAGCGATCTTTGTTTGAATTTTACATCACAGACCGTTAGAAAGACACCAAAGGCAATATGTGGAAATAACGAAGACACAACAGGTCACTAGTTTCACCTGTTTTATCCTGAGAAGTTGATTGGAAAGTTTTTACCACGAAACAGCGGAAACGTAATGAAAAAGATTTGTTTACCGTTGCTGAAACCACAGTAGACACCATCGTACGTGACTGGATTGGATGTAACGTTAACTACGTAAAACGCTGGCGTGGTTTTACCAACGTTGTACCAGAAGTCACAGTTGTCGCCGACTGTAATTAACATTAAAACAATAAAATGCATCTCTTTTGATATCTTACTGAGGTCTGAATCTTGTCTTGCTTTGCTTTGTTTACTAGTGAAAAATACCTTACAATTTGGGAACCATGAATTAAGATCATCGGGATCGAGTCACAGTTGATCACCCGTTCAAACTTTTTATGGGTTAACCTCTGTAAATACAGATTACATGAATGGTTACCTTGGCGATATTTCATATCAACGTTTAATCTATCAACACTTTCGTCCTGGCGGATTACTATTTCGGCAGGGCGGATAACTGTCAAATATAAGTGTAATCCTTCTAATCCACCCAGGCGAAATATTAATCCGCCTGAAATAGTAATCCACCGTGGCAAAAACTAATTCGCCCGGGCGAAAGTCAAATTTGTTCAGTCATGTCTTCAATACGCTTCCGTAAGTAATATAATTATGATGAAATTCGTGTCATCCATGCGACTGAATCTTGAAATGAGACCTGCCTATTCTCTCTCCGTAAAGCTCAACACGCAGTGAGGGTTTGGAACCAGTCCAGGTCTGCGGATTGATCTTGAGGAAACGCGTGAAGAGGGCAACGGGGAGAAATTCCGTCACACCGGTATTGCCGTCTCCGCTATTACCGGTAAACACCTAGGGAGAAAGTAAAGAAATAAGAATTGGGTCATATGGGATACTATTAAATTGTCCAAATTTGACTAGAAATATGCACCCAGATTCCAGTGAAAAAACTAACGATAAATGAACAAGAATCTTGTTTTGTAAATGTGCACTAACTTCTGCCTTTAGTTTGGTTTTTTTTTTGCCCAAAGCAGTCAATTATGATGTCTATATTTCATTTCAACCTCATACCTTCTGTGAACTCTCATAGTTATAGGCAGTGTAAGTCAAACCGTCCGGACTGCTCTCCAGATAGTAAGTCTCCGTAAACGAGGATGATGATGCCCCTTGAACTTGAATCTATGGGATTGCAAACATTAAGAAGGTGACACGACGGTCGATTCGAGTGGGAGTTGAAGCTTACTGTAGGAGTGCGTTCATTATTTAAGTAGGTATTTTTAGGTAAATACATTATATCTAACCAACCCAGAGGATTTTGTGAGGGTTTTCCTTGTAGGGGGAAAGCGGACACTCGATAATTTACAGAAAGTGCAGAAAATTTCATACGATCAAAATTCAAGAAAACACTGGCGATTCACAATAGTGCGCCTCCAAGAGTTTGCAACGCGTTGGCCAATCACATCCCGCAAAATCTGTCAAAACCCTTTCCAAACGCGGATTTCGCACCCTGTGATTGTTCAACGCGTTGCAAACTCTTGGAGGCGCACTATTGTGAAACGCACCTATCTGGGTGAACCTACCTTGGAGATGAACGTGTTTCCTTTCAAATCAATGATGAGATACTGGTTCGTGTCGGCAGTGTCTGCTGTCCATCCACCTATAGCAACAAAAGGCCAGGCAAAATGTTCCAGATATAGCATCAAAGCTTTCTTCTTTTTTGGATCGAGGGCGCGTGCGCCTGACTTTCTTTACCTTTTAAATTAATGCGAAGCTTTGTGGTCATGAGGGTTGCACATTGCAAGAGACTCACTTAAACCGTTCAGCCTCGCGTTGGTAGGATCTGAACCAGTCTCGGTGCTAGATGCAGTGATGTCACCGTCTGGTATGGTAGAATCCTCCATGCCCAGCGGAGACTCCAACACAATTCGATCACTGAAGACTGGAAGGCGACAGATAAATGACACACCGAATGTTTAGTCTTGTCATCATTGAAGAAACGGGACATAGTGCTAGAGATGTAAAAACAAATATCTTACTTCATATAAAGTTCTAGTCATGCACTTCATAATTCGTCCGGTCGGTGCTAAAAAGTCATTACAGCAAAAATAAAATTGTTGAAAGTCTGAGGGCCTTACTCTCAGCATGAAGACAGTTGTAAGGAAATGTTGAAACAGGCTACATTAATTTTATTTCTTAAACTCACTTTCTAGGGCCAACGTATCCAAATTTCAACCAATTATCTCTTGCCTGATTTCATTTTTAAAATGGAATTTTTCAGTAAGGTTTTTGTTAGGACTGACACGACGAAGTTGTAAAGACCCAACTATGTTCTGAAGGGACAATTCAGGGGTCCTTTGCTCTGTGACCACGCAGAAATTGTAATCCGAGATTCAGAAATGAAGTCTGGAAACGTGGCATCCTAACCTGTCAGCTAGTGTGAATTCATTTGCTAACACTGCAACAACTTTAATAAGACTGTATTCATATGTCGGCCATCTTGAACTGAAAGTGAGCTAAAACTTTCATTCTGAGAACATGAGAAAGCAGTAATGAGATAAGTTCAACACAGATACATGCCAGTTTTGTTTAAAATAATGTAAATTACATTTAAATATTTTAAGTAACATTAAAATAGGTAAGTGAGGCATGGAGCCCAAAGTAGTCAAGCACCACCCTATTTGATAGGTCACACTGAACAAGATAGATGCAGGGAAAAATAAGAGAGTCCCTTCCTTACAAATAGGGTCAATTCTTCAACTTACTATCAACCATGTAACGGATGGTGGCGCTACCTCCGCTTGTATCGTAGTACCAACCCTCAACAAGATTGGCATCGAGGAGCGCTTGCTCATCGCTTGCAATAGCTTCAAGAGACAAGAAGAAACATACGGCAAGGGTTAAAACTATAAGCGCCATCTATCGCCAGCTCTCGTCATCAATTGTCCAAAAAATGTCAGTGTCGTTGTCAGCATGGCTGCCGCATAAGATGGCATTGATTTGGTTTAACAGTTGCGCAAATTGCAAGATGTGAGGAGACTCTAAGAAAATTCAGCAAAAGGGAAATGATCTCAAAATTCATCTTTTTTTAAAAGAAACTTTTTTTAATGAGATGGTCCTTTCTCCCCAACCGATGTACTTGTGTATACTCACTGTGTTTACATCCATACAGTTCTGCTCTCATCGCGATCTGAGCGTTCCACGTCTGTGGGAGAATCTTGATGTAACGAGCCAGAACAGGATTGCTCAAGTCGTTATGGATGACGCTGTAAGGAATGTCATTTGCGGCAAACGTCTGCAAAATACAGAAATGATGCAGTGCATCAACAAGAATATCAAAAATTTGTCATGAGGACGTTGGAAGGACGGATAGCAAAGAGTCAAAGCCCGATTAAATAATGGTGTTCGGTAATTAAGGCCTATTAATTGATTTCTTGATGGATCATCACACAAAATCAAAATAAGTTAAATAACACTATACAGTGGCATTTTAATCTGAAAACTATGAAAACAGTGCCGCCTGAGCATTAGAATTCGAATGTGGGAAAGGGGCACCGTGTGTGCAGGGGCAAAATTTTGTCTCTAAATACTGAATAAGTACGACGAATTGAAGAAGGATGCCTTCCTCACTGGCGAAGCCAGTATCAACCAGATCGGAGGTGGCATGTTGCAGGTGAACCTGTTACATTTTGAGAGGAGCATAACTTTTTTCCCCTGTACTTGCATGGGTTATTATTTTTCCCTTTAAGGGTCTTTGAATTAGCCTTTAAAAGCAGAGGGCAAATAGAAATCGAGATAAAGTACATCTCCCTTTAAAAAAATAAGAAAGTATTAAAGAAAGGGGAAAGGAAGGAAAAAATAAAGGGAAGCTTGTTCAACCCCCCTCCTAATTGGCCATACCCGCTTTGAGTGGAAGCACACCCTCATCGTTTTAAAAGAGCCATGTTGGTGTGGAGTGCTTAGTTTGTTGATAGAGATGCTTGCATAAGGCATGCATTTTAAAGACGTTTGTGAACCAGCAAAGTGCAGTTTCCCGCTACATGAGACTATGTTGTTAAGAAAATTGCGCCCTCTTGTAGTCCGGCTCTGGGCTCATATTGCACTTTTGGAGCATGTGGCGGGTCACAGTCAAACTCAAGCTATCGTCTATGCAGTCAAGAAACTAAAGTAATATACTCAGTTAACACTAGCTACGCTGTGCTACTTTAATCACATTGCCGGACCAACCTGAGCAGTAAAAATGTACGTCTTTGGTTCAGGTTTGAACTCACCACTACAGAGCCACTTTCTTCATACGCAGTGTAGGTAACGTCGTCTATGCTGTATTCAATTGTATACGATGTAACATAATTAGTTTCTCCTCTCCATCCGCGAGTCTGCGTGGTAACCTGTCGGAAACGGCCAATAATCGATAGGAATGAAGCAAATAAATAATAACAAAGTGATATCAAAGACATATAATAAATATGTCTTTGGCAGTGGCGTAACTAAGGGGGGTAGGCGTGCGTGGATACACCCCCTCGACTTCTCGGGAAAATGAGAGAAAAATATCTGCTTACTACGGTTATTGTTTTAATGATGACCGTGCCCCCTCCAGATAACGAGGTCTCCAAGATTTAGTGCTCCATATGATACAAAAATGTACCCGAGCCCCCATAATATCCGAGTGATTAGGAGTCAACGAATCGCCCTTTTAAAGTTTTGGGCATGGTCAGGGAAAATATGTTCGAGTTCTCGTCCAAAGCTTTGTTTTTCACTTTTGTTTATCAATTTATTCTACGAATCATCATGTCCAAAATGGTGGCCCTAATAACCCCCCCCCAAATAAAACGAATTTGCTGAATTACTTACCCGAGCGACAACACTGAGAAACCCGATGTCTATCTTAAACCATTGGTTAGTATCGCTGACACCGGCCACCCAGCCCGTTCCCGCCGTGCGAGCATCGCCGACGCGGCCGTACGCTGCTCCGTACTCTGGGTCGTTATTGTACATGCTGGACGCGCTGAGTTGATCGTCGGGGATTTCGCGGGACTGCATGCCTAGAGCATCAATGCAGTTCTCGTAGTCTGGAGACAAAAAACATGAGCGGCTAAACAAAACTTTTAACTGTTCACACTCAGTCATATTAAATTAGCATCATGCATGGCGCAGTTAATTTTTAATTAATTTTTGGAATATAATGACAGGAGCATCTTTTATTTTCAAAAAATGAATGAAAATACTACATGTCCGGGGTTCAAAATCAACTCCCTCTTTTGCTTGAATAAATTCTTTTGACTAATTAAGACGGAGTGAATGTGATTTCACTCCCGATGCAGGTTTTTTAGACTCCTCATTTACGACAGATCATGTCTGATTTAAAAAGAAGAAGAGATTTTGACTTACTATTGAGAGGAACGCTGGGGGCACAGTAGTCACCGGAGCTCCATCCTGGCGTTCGGTCCACATATGGGTCCAGACTCGAACACGATTGCCTTGCTGTTGTTTCAAACACAATTATAGGCTACAAATGACATGTCGGCGGGGAAGGGGCGGAGCTTGGGCGAGAGGATGCCCAGATAAAGATTCATACCGGTGAGGGTGTTTAGCATTAGACTGCGTTTCTTTAAAAAAACACTGTACTGTTGACGACATTTCTGTAAGGATGATTTATGAATCTAACGAGGCTCCTACATGCCCTTCAAGTGCTTGTGGATTCAGAGGAAATATTTTTAACAAAGGGATGAAAAGCATGAAGCACTGCAGTGCATGATCGCCGAAACCCTCTCCCTCAAAACTCGTTTGGAAATACATGTAATTTGCGTTTACGGGAGGGTTTTATAACCACCAAGTTCAAGTTTTGTCCTTGACGGTACATGTAAGCGTCCGATGATAGCATTTATTACCATAAGTAAAACCACCCACGTTTGAATATGTGTGATGATTACCGACTATAAAAATATATAGACTGCTGAGTGATTGTGCCTGTAACTCACCGAGTTGGATTGATTCTGCAAGCAACAGTAACGTTAGCCAACTTCGGAACTTCATGGTACCTGCAAGCGGGAACATCGACAAATGAAGGGTTTTCATTACGGTATGTTGTAAACTATACTGTAAAATTACAGAGGAATTTGTAGAACTTAGAACAGTCAGACTTTTGTCGAAATTAGACTTTCAAAGTGTTAAGCATTATCATTAAAAAAACATGAATAATGTACCCCACAGTGAGGTTTTTTTTTTCAAGAAAAAGGTTAAACAGTGGAGACACTCGGCATCACATTCGGGAGCGGCTCCCAAAGGTTTATCTCCTGACGTGCCCACAATGAATCTGCCGGCAGCGCAGCTGTGCGCGCCCAGGGAATTGCTCAAATTGAACTTATCAAAACTAAACTTCTTTTTTGCTCAGAATGTGTGAATCTTACCTCCTCGTCAAAGTGAGCTACGTGCGAATCAAGCCTTCCTCGGGAAAACAAGCATGATGTTGGAAAGAGAAAGAAAACCCTTCACAGTTAAGGAGTAATTCCGAACCCGGTAACCGGTTGCCTCTGGTGTAAGTGCTGACTGAGGTAGACGTTTGCAGCCTAAAGTTACAGCGTGGCACTTGTAATCGATTTGAAGTAGGCCTAGTTCCCTTTGTTACAAAATTTCTTCGGCAACTTTTCTCATCGTCGTCCTTAGGCTCTCTGCTGCTTTGAAGCCCAGACTGATCGATACACTGGAGTCACAAAATCGATTAAATCGAAGAAAATCAACAGTGCCTGGATTATAATTCAACAAAAAATCCGATACTCTACATAGCAGCGTGTTGTTTCCAAGGAAACGGTCTTGGGGTAGCCCGCCAATGCGTTCAATGTACACATCGACTTTGGAGTCGAGTTCCGCCTTATTCCCAGGGTAATAGTGACAGATTAGATGAAATGTATCAGAATGAATTCAGTCTCTTCAACCTTTTGGAAACTTAATCAGTGAAGATTATTATTTTGAAAAAAGTCTGCTATACATAAGGAAGATTTTAATAATATTTTCCCCCAAATTAAAACCTGAAATCAATGACCCCAGACACTTATTCCTAGAATGTATGATTCACGATGGATGGAAACAGTGACATTGAACTTTTGAGAATGCAGGAAAATGATTATTACTTTGCCTCAAAATTTGTCACTCATCACCAGTTTTGTCTGGGAGCGTCGTTGTTACACGAACTTGGGGCACTAGGCTAGGTGCACACGCGGTTGGTACGTGGGACGGGCCTTAAGCCTCCTGGCGTCATCGCTGAGTGCTATAAATAGCCCTAAAAGTGACATCATTATGCCTTGTGACGATACGTCACTCTTACACTGGTACCTTGCCACCTTGTTCACACACACCTGCAAATAGGAAATTTGGATCTGTACACCAGTGAAGGAATTGGGTAGAAAATAAACACGTCGGATCGGATGGTACATTGCATATTGTTCAGAGTCACGGGACCAAACTTGATTTTGGAAAACTGCGAACTGGTTTATCATCTGTATTAGTAGTACTACTTGCATCGCTTGGTTAACTGTAGTCAGATTGACGGCTTGAAGATCTGTAAGTAGTAGAATTACTAAGTTTTTAAATAATTCTTGCCGTGCAGCGCGCATGAAACATGTGAAACACGTTTAATCATCATCCTTGTTAAGCATGTTAAGGATGTTCATGTTAGGATGTTCATGTTAGGATGTTCGTGTTAGGATGTTCGTGTTCATGTTGTTATTATTGTTAATTTAATGGTTCAAGTTTATATCCAATTGCTTTATTTGATGCCACTTACCAACGTTATACTCGCTGTGAATTTGAAGCCTGTTGATGTCAAGCATCCGTATTCATGTACAAACGGTATGGAAATCATACATTTGTACAGCATTTGTAATCGTATACCTATGAACATGTATACGTAAGCCTATACTATAGCCTAGCATCTGTCATACATCATGTCAACCGACTTGCCTAAAACTAAAACGTACAGTCTTGACAATTTGTAACCCATACCTAAATGAGCATGATGACATGGATGAGTGTAAATTTAATGCCTGTTATGTTTTTCAGTCCATGCATGGTCCATGTAACCCTAAACATGTTAAGCAAATGCGTGCTCATAAATGTACCTGTATATTGTATGCATTGTAAATGAAATTTGGCGAGGCAGTTTTAGGAATTAGAAAAAAGTGTTATAGGCCTAGGCCTGTATTATTTGCATTTTTTATCTTTGTGCATGCATTTAGACTTGTCAGACATGTACTTGTGACATCATTCAGATTTTGATTCGTCTCATTTCATTAGGGGCCTATGTTTTACAAACACCTACATAAATTCCAATGTACCCAAGAGGTGTCGAAACTTCTCTGTGCCAGGCCTGCAACTTTTCCTGGACCAGCTGATTTCCTCGTTTTTCACTTCACGCTCATGCTATTGAAAATTGAAACACACTGTACAAAGTCTTGCAAAGATTGGAATGTCCTCGTTTTATGTCAAAGTCCGTGTTGTGTGCCTGTGTACAGGGAATGACGAGCTAGTGCCCAATTCCCCCCCTCCCCCCACAGGTAAATATTGCTCTATGATCAGACGTTGGACTATCATGCATCAGCTTGGTATCACGATCACCATAATTTTTTTAATGTTGTGTGCGATACAACCCTAGCATTTTCAAAGGGGCAACCTGTTGATTTTTTATGTGATTGGGTGGTTGACAGGTAGTAAGGCACGGGCATTCATTAACTAGGAGGTAGAAGAGCTAGAAAAGTAAGGGCAACTTATGCATTTGTATAACACTAAAAAATTTGATGGTCCAGATGGTAAACCCAGTAAATGCAGTGTTACGCACGTATGCTTCACAACTTGAATCCTACTTGTGCTAAGATACCATAGAGAGTTGCCATTGCTTAGGTCGCGCAAGAATAAGATTTTGTGCAAAATCACTGGCCTAGCCAGTTTTTGTGGTACGCAAAATGCCGAGGAAAGAATGGCTGCATTCAAAACAGGCCGAAGTCTTTCAACACTTGGCTGCTGGTTCAGCGCTTATCAGGGACATGTTCAGGTATAATGCGTATCCTACTTTTTCTTAGACCTGAATCATTTTCATGTGATATAAAAAATTGGGATGGCATTGATGCCCATAACTGTGGTACGCTGATGGCATTAATGCCCTCACGTTCGGCATTACTGCCCTTTATTTCAGCCAGTCCACCAATACCAAATGGCACTGCCCTAAAAAAAAAAAGAAATTCAAGGCCTGTATTAGAACATTCAGTTTTTGAGATGTTCACAGCATCAGCATTTCCCCTTTCACCGCGTGAAGTAAAATGTTCCAGAAGTTCTTTTGTGAAGTAACTTCATTACACACAAACTTGGAACCAATTTCTGTGTCTTTTTGTACAGGACTTGCCTGTGTGTTTGAGTTAAGAATTCTGTACGTTGTGAGAGTATATCCGTACATGTACATGCATGTGTTTTGATAGCCTTGTTCCTGTTTACATGTATATATTCAAGTGACTTTGGTGCATATGCAATCCTTGGTGCAGTTTTTCATGGGCTTTTAATCTATTCATTCTGTCTGTTGATCTTCCTTTGCTGGCAGGTTTTACGTTTTGAGGTGAAATTACAGCAACACAACCAACCAAAATGTCTCTCTACCCATCCCTGGAAGACATGAAGGTAGACCAGATGGCCAAGGTACGTCGGTTGATAATGTTTGTGAGTTAGTTAGGTTTGTGAGTTAGTTAGGTTTGTGAGTGAGTTAGGTTTGTGAGTGAGTTAGGTTTGTGAGTGAGTTAGGTTTGTGAGTGAGTTGGGTTTGTGAGTGAGTTAGGTTTGTGAGTGAGTTAGGTTTGTGAGTTAGTTAGGTTTGTGAGTTAGTTAGGTTTGTGAGTTAGTTAGGTTTGTGTTTGTGGAATGAAAGATGATATGATGTTGTCACATAGGTTTCAGCATACTTTTATGTTTTGTTCTTAGCCTGTTGGGTTCCCGGAGTCAACGCTACACACTCGGGTAATTAACACTGGCTGCGCCTAATTCCACATCGCATTTTGTAGCCAGGCGCATGTGTCATGCTTGCATGTAGGCCTGTCAGACTTTTTTGGACATAAAGCCAAGCTTTGGTTGACAGACCATTCTTGAGGTCGGCATGTCTACGCATCAGCCTAAGTAACTTACAGCCCTCTGACATGAAAGTTCAAGACCCCTTCATCCTGCATGCAGAAGTGTAGATAAGATCCTGAATGTCCAACCCGGAGAATGAAGTTTGGGCTTAATAGGCCACTCCATTGCACTAATCAGGGTTTGGGATTTTCTTTTCTCCTTATTGTCAGGCCCAGGTCCAGCACCAACAAGTTGCCCAGCACCAGTACCCGCAGCCACCAGCAGCTGCGATAGCCCCCGCTGCCCCTGCAGCACCAGCACCAACACCAACCAGCTCTCTCTACCCGTCTCTGGAGGAGTACATGGGGCTGAATCTCTCCCCCGAGGTGGTGGCAGCTCACATGCCTAATGTACAGCAGGTGAGTCCAGCAAGGCTTTCTGGTGAATCTTCCTGTCTGGCCTGTACGATTCCTGCTTCACTCATTCCTATTTTTTTTCATGAGGACAGACAAGATCAGGGTCTCTACTTAATGTGCATGGTGTATGCTTCAAAGAAAAACACCCAGAGACGTATATGTGTAGGCCTATCTGATTCATATTTATATTGCCAAAAAAATCTAACTTTTACGTTGTCCGACCCTAATACTTAGTGCCACTTTCTGTATTTTTTGTCACATCTCATAGTCGCATTGGACCACTTTCTGAAGTGTTTTAGAACGACGACAAGGGAGAAGATGTAAATTTTCACTAACTGATTTTTCAGAAATATTAATATTTTGAACCATAATAAATGTCTCTGAGTATATTCCATTGAAGCACACACTGTGAACCTTAATTTGCCCCAACTGTATGTATTCAAAGGTTACATGTTCTTGATGACATTGTACAAAACTTCTGTTCTTCAAACAGTTGTTTCAAAACTATAAAATTCTTTATCTGATCCACATTTTGTTCGTCCATTTTCTGGTTCGCGTGTCTTGCTCCCCTAGATCTTTTTATTTCTCACTTCCCCTCCCAAGCCCACAAGAATAATGCCACTTCCTGCACCTTTTCGAAGACAGTTTGCCAACCCACTCATCAAGGTAGATTTGTGCCTCTTTCTCCCATACAGGCTATTGTTCCGAGACCAGCCGGAACCGTCGCCGTGGGAACAACCGACATGGTCGCCCCGGTCACAGGATCCCAGAATGTCGGCCTGAGGAGGGCCAATGTTACCAATGGCGTGCGGGAGGTGTTGTTGTGCAAGGACCAGAAGGGAAAAATTGGACTGCGGGTCCGAGCCATCAGCAAGGTCTGGTCGCCAGTTGTCTTTCGTTCTTCCGACTCACCTCAATAAAACACTCGGGCCAAATTGCCCGGCTGTGGCTAACAGTAATACACCTGTCTGTGGGAAGCCACAGCAGGAGCTGCTAGCCAGTAACTTCCCGTAGGCACAGTTGTAATTTTCAGCTGATTCAGACACGGCCTCGTATTCCTGGAGATTATGCCAGCATAACCAGTGTCCACACCACAATACACCTGCCAGTGGTTAATAATTAGGGAAAGGTTACAAAAGACGTCGACCTGAATGGAACTCCAGACATGGTGATTGTGGGTGCATGACTTTTGCTGTTAAAACTGGCATGCTGTAAATCAGCTGTCTTTCAAATGCTCAACTATTGTGACCCAGCCTAACAAAATGAGTCCGAAGTGCCAAAGCCAATTTTGAGTGAAAGGCCTTGGAAAGAGTTATTAAGCCTTGAAAAGAGTCTAGCACAATGGAAATCACTAGCCACGGTGTCTGTTTTCATCAGGACACCAGACTGAGTGATTACATCAAAAGAAAGAGCTTGGTTGACTCATTCACACTGGAATAAAATTAGCAGAACAATGGCCTTATGACTCATTTTGTCGAATTCAGTTACATTTTTTTACTGTGATATATGTCCATTGCTGGTAAATCTGTAACACTTTAAATGTTGCATTTCTAGGGGTGAAATTTGATTAAAAAGATGCAGAAAAAGCAAGGAAGTTGCAGTCAACTGTCCAAGTTAACGTCCTGAGGTACTTTTGCACACGTCACTTACATTGGTTCTCGTTGTAGGTGATCTGTTTACTGTTGTTTTGTTTCTGTTTGTGTTACAAAAGAAGTGTTGTTTATTTTATTGTTCAGGGTGTCTTTGTTTCCTTTGTCCACGATGGATCGCCAGCGGCCATGGGTGGTGTGAGGTTTGGCGACCAGGTCCTGCAGATCAATGGCGAGAATTGTGCGGGCATGACATCCGACAAGGCCATGAGTAAACTGCGGAAGGCAGCAGCCGAAAGGATTGTCCTGGCTCTCCGGGACAGGTGAGGGTGTTGAATGATAGAAAAGACTCCAATTTGAACCACTTCGCGCCGGGGGCATTTATGAATGTTGATGATGCTGGGTTGGGATAATTATCTTTTTTTTTCTGTTTTCAAGCATCTTTAATAATTCATATCTTCATTTACTGGACACTTACACCCACACAAAGGACTGCCTGGTTCCTACCTACTCTAATCTGACAGGCAACATCTATTGACACTGGAGTATTTCAGCCAGGCCTGCTGCCTTGTAAAAAGAGCCCAGATTGCGCGGTGTTACATAATTTTCTTTTGTTCACAAACCTTGCATAGTGGGCTGCTGACCTCTTTTAGGGACCAGATTAGCTTGTAGAGGTGGTGGGGCGTTTTTGTCCCCGGTGGTAATCCGCTCGTGCTAAAAATTAATTTTATTGTATATGAAAACCGTGGGGAAAAAAATAGTTCCTACAATAAAATATTGCATGTTGCTTATGATTTTGACACTTTACCACAGGCCATTCGAGAGGACTATTACCCTGCAGAAGGACAGCACCAACCACGTTGGCTTTGTGTTCAAGAACGGCAAGGTCACAGCCATTGCCAAGGACACGTCGGCCGCCAGGAACGGCCTCCTGATTGACCACGCCCTGCTGGAGGTCCAGGGCCAGAACGTCATCGGCTTGAAGGTAGGCTGGTTCCCAGGTTCCCAGACACCCTGGCCTTGTTCGTGTTTGTGACGAATTGGGGGAAGGTCAATCCATGGCCTTGAAGTTAACAGGAGATCAGATTGGGAGGTTTGCTGATGGGATAGTTTCGTGGACACTCTCATACAGAAATTTACTCATCAAAACTATTTACTCTTCCCAAGCTGGTTACCGACCAATACATCATGTTCTTTGTGTGACTCGGGGGCCGGTTCCCTGCTCACATTTGCTTACCCCAGTAAATAGGCTAAGCATTGTGTCCTGCCTTAGGAGCCATGATTTCATCCCTTGGAGTCATGGTTGGCATGGCTTGGGATTCGTGTGCTTGTCGTCATTGCTTATGTCTCTGAAGTTTTGAGAGGTTGCCTGAGACACAGATCACAGGCTCAGGCTCTCTTCCAGGTGCTCCATAGTCAAAAAATTGGTCAGTTTACATTGGCAGGGGTCTGTGAAGTGAGTATTACAAAAGATATAAATTCATTTGTTTGATTTCTCTTTTTGGCACCTTTTTTTTTTTTTCAGGACAAGGAAATCTTGGAGATCATGGCCCATGCAGGAAAGACAGTCACCCTGACCATCATGCCCAACTTCGTCTTTGATCACATGATGAAGAAGTAAGACATTGTAGTGCTTATCACCCTAATAACTGAGTCCATGGCCCAGACAGCAAGCTTTCGCTGGGAGTATTGCACATGTCTATGGAAACTAGCCGCAGCCACTAGCTACATTGTAGTGGCTTCCATAAGCATGCACGTTATATCTAGTGACAGCCCCAACACTAGACTCGGCCCAACTGTTGTTCTGAGACTTGTCTTGGAAGGAAGTAGTTATTGTGTCGTGATGTTGAATTGAAGGGGCCTTCACAAGGTACCTCTGGGCAGGACTTTGTTAATTTCCTCTTGAGCATTCAAGGGTCTATTTAGGTATTGTAACTACACTTCTCAAAACAGTGCATCACGTTTGTTTATTTCTCCTTTTGTCTTTCATTCCAGCATGGCCTCTTCTCTCGTGAAGGGATCAATGGACCACAGCATACCAGAAGTCTAAGCAGCTGCAGTCCATCGTGGGATTGGAATGGAGCATAAGATCCTTGGAAATCTTAGAAATACAAAATACGTTTGTCGTATCTGTATAGAACTGAATGCAAATTGACAGGAAGCCATCATATTAGGAAGTCAGTGATTATTCCAAAAATAACTTCCCACTCTAAACACTCTTAACCTCTCTTAAGGTGAATTTCTTATCTTACAAGTATGCCATTACTAGCAATTGTATGTTAATTGGTCAGTAGAAAGGAATGTATGTGTTTTATTTTTTGCTGCAGCTTGAGATGATTTTTTTTAAGCAGTCCTACAGTAAGTTACAGATTGTGTTTTAGCTTTTGGCTCCGCTAAAACGTTAAGTCCATTTCTAGAGCAAGAAACATGATCACGCTGTGCTATTGCCTTTTCTGCGAGAAAATATGCTATTTTGTAAACTGTGTAAACGTGTGGTTGGGATGAAGAGTAAAATGAGAAAGGAGGTTGTTTTGTTTTAGGTGGGAGGGAATTTTGAAAAAAAAGGTATTTTGGAGAAGAAATGAGAATTTGAATGTACATTGAGATATGTAGATATTGAGTAAATAAAATATGCGGGGAAACTGGGCTGGGAGTTCACTGTCAAGAGTCACAACAAATTGATGTCACGTTTCTTCTGCCAGCTTTGGAAGCCTTGTAAAGGATGGAGTTTTTTTTTCAACTGATGTCACCAAATTTAAGATTTATTAACCAATGGATATTAACATTGTATGTGTACTAATAGAATGTGTGTGTCAGTGGCGCTTTAAGATTTGTATCAACTCGGAGTATTTTGATTAAGCTGGCATGCCTTAGAAAGTTGCTTGTAGTTTTGCATTGAAATTGTACAATGAAAAATTTGCCATATTTTAACATTTTATTAAGTGGAAGAGTGGTAAAGGCTTCTGCAAAACTCATTCTGCCTTGACGTTGGGCACCCTGAAGACGATAGATTTTCAAAACCGAAGTAGAAAGCTTTTGTTACAGTTGATTAATACCTTTGTATGTGTAAAGTTTTCACCTATTTACCTCCCACAACATTTTTCCAGGATAGTATATCTTTAGAAGTGGTTGTCTTTGGTTGCATTTAATATCCAGAAATTTTTAAATTCATTTTATGGTATTGCTGTTGGATTCAGACTAGACTTGAAATAAATTAACCCTTAAAATCACTGTGGAATGTACATGTATAGGAACTTGGAAAAATGTACTTATTTTCTGATTGATCTTCCCTACAAAGAAAATGTGTCGATGGATTACATGAAAACGTACAGGTTGTGTTATTTTTATTTGTCCTATCAAAGCAGGCGAACAACTTGTAAATATTTACAATATATAAAAATGAGAGATTGATGATCTACGACTTAAGTAATGCATTGAAAATAAAGGTACAAAAATACTACTCGAAAGATGTTGTCTCTTTGATGTTTACCAAGAAGAAACTTGCGCCCAAAATAAAATCTTCATACTTAAAATCAGGCACAAATATACGGCAAGCGCAAAAAAATAGGTATTCAGAGTGTAACCAAATTTTTTTTTGAGGGGAAAAAGCATTGTCTTGTAAGCCGTGTCGGTCTCGTGACAATTTGCATATTCAACTTGCTAAAAAAGGCTGGTATCCTGCGTGTAAGTGTAATTTAAATAGCGTTGAGGGAACCAAGTGAAAATACTATGCAGCCTTTGACCTCATCCATTGACGTCACATGTGTTTTGAGCTAGAAATTCACATCGCCAGCTGTGATTGTTTTTGAGCCATTTGTTGCAATTCCGCCACCAAATGAACGCCAAACTCTCCCAGTTTAGGTGACAGCAAACTGAAAAATGGAAGGCACCGAGATCCAGCCGCTTTTCGTCTACATTCCTGTCTGTGTCGTCGTCGTTTTCGTCGTTCTTGTCTTCACTTTTGGCTTCCGAAGTCCGACACAACCTCCAAGTTCCATGTTCGAAGATGAGAACGAAAGGCGAAATAGACGTGGCAAGCGCGTCAAGGTTGGTAAAATGCAAAAAATCTCGCTGTCTAAACAAGTCTAAAACGATGGAATATTCTTTGCTAGCTAAGTCAGTGTGCCCAATAACCTTCTGAACCTTACATTCCAGATGCTAAATACCAAAGCCGTCCATAAATGCTGAAAATTAAGTTTGTTTACGTCAGTGATAACGTTGAATTTAACACTAGTCTTTCGTTGGCCGCGGCATGGTACGCAGTGGTACATGTTCGTCGTTCATGTGCGATGTGTTATGTGGGCTGACACCGCGTCGTGCTGTCCGATTAGCGACTGGGCGTCTCGCATGGCGGTGCGTCGTGGCATAATTTTTCACGAACCATATGGTGGATGTCTGCAAGCAAATTATGACCTTCAGAAGGCCACTTTTACGCACGAATGATTTAGAACTAAGAAGTTGGCACATTTCAGAAGAGGCTCAAATTAAAGGACATGATGGTCGTAAAAGTGGATGTTTATTTTCATTTATAATTTATCCATAATAAAAAAAGGGCATGACTAGTTATTTTATTTTCAACATCATGACATATCATGAGATTATTTTGCATAAAGTGAACTAATTTTGAGATTCAGCTCTGTCTTATCATGGAGGAATGTGTTCTTATTCCTCCATGGTCTTATTGACATCATAAGCTACCCTTGTGTGATTTTTATCATTTGAGAAGCTAGGAAAGAGTTTCATACATGGACATCACTTCACACCCTGTGCACAAACCCTAAGCTTATGAGCCTGGTCTGAAAAATTTCTACGTATTTTCAAAGTAAAAGTTTTGATTGGACTCTTCTGGACGTGTTGTCTCTTCGGAAGGCTGACCTTGCAGTACTGGTAACTCAGTCCTAATAGGCAGCCCAGTTTAATGTAGATGAAATATATTTATGTATAGTAAGCATTCATTCTTTAGTACAGGCATCCTAATTATATGAGTCAATGGAGGACATTTATTTGAGTGATAGTTGGGTATTTTAACTTTTTTGGGGGCATCAATTATTGAAAATTTTTTTCTCCTCTCATTTTGGATATTTTCTTTTGATGTATACTGGGACTTGTACCAGACTCAGTCCTTCCAAACTGAGGTGTATCTCAGCAATACTTTTCTCTTTTGAGGGGCAGGAATTTTAACCCCAACGGACTCTCCTTCCTTTGCACATTAAAGCCTGTTAAGCTAAGAATGTGGGTCTCAGGGTGCCGATGTCAAATATCAAAATACAGTAACCGATGAAAATTTTCAAGTTCAGAAATGAAAGTTTGTGTCTATTTGCGATGCTTTGGTGAGGTGCACATTTAGGATTTTGTTGTGTCTGCAGAAATTATCCGGGTCAGATTCCAAGCCCAGCACCAATGGCCACGCCAAACTGCTGTTGGACAGCCCTAGTGAGGACAAGCAGGTCAAAGGTCACAGGGTGGAAGAGGGGCCTGCCAAGGAAACCCCTCCCAAAGTCTCGCCCAAGAAGGACAAGCCAGTCAAGAATAAGGCCAGCGAAGGGAGCATTGAGAAGGGGGGTGAAGCTCCCAAGAAAGTGGCCGCCATCAAAGAGGATGAAGACAGTAGAGGTAAAGATGAAGGTGTGTTCATTTCTGTTTAGTGTTAATCCTTGCTGTGCTCGGCTGTGAATATATGATAAATGAAAAAGCCATTAGATATAAAGTACAGCGTAAAAGTTATGATTTCACCTTTGTATAAGCTCTCACAAGCACACCACACAATGCCCATGACATTTTCACTTTGAGCCCAATTAAAGTAAGTTGTCTCTTTCCTGACCAGGTGAGGCCTGGATCACAGTAACTGGCACATCGCGCAAAGAGAAGAAACAGAACAAGCAGGCCTCAGTGAAGAATGGCGAAGCACCGGCCAAGCCAGCCAGCAAGTCCCCCAGGGAGTCCCCCAGAGGAGCCAGGGATGACCAGAAGGGGTCCCAGAAGGGGCCGAGAGAGGGGGTTGGGAAGGAGGAAGGGGAACGGAAAACGGAGATATCGCAAAAGCCCAAAGGCTCTCCAAAAAAGGTAGTTAGGAACCCAGGCCTTGAATGAATCATGTTGTACTGTATAATCCAAAGGTGCATTTCAGGTGAAAATTGGTGGGTGACAAAATTTGAGTGCATGAAAATGGGGTTTGGTTATACGTGTGGTCTTTGAAAACTTCATTTACCTGTAATTCATTTTGTTTTGAACATGAGGTTGTTGAAAACCAAATCAAGGCTTCCAGTGTCCAAACTACCCGGTCAGCCCCCATCCCAGAACCCTCCCCTGATCAAGGCAAGAAGAGAAAGAAGAAGGGGCAATCGGAGCAGCAGGAAACAGCCAATCAGACCACGGAGTCCACCGGCCTGACCAACGGGGTCGCAGCAGATGCTGACCCGGCCAATCAGAAGGATGCCGGAGCCGACGAAGATGGTTTCACTCCCAGCAAGTCTCGCAGGAATCGCAAAAAGTTGAAAGTATGTTGTCAAAATGTTGCATCAAAGAAAACCATAATGATTCAAAGATTTTCCTTAAAGCATTGAGATGGATTTAAACACGAAGCTTTTTTGACAGATTTCATTGAATAAACTTTTTATTTTATCAGAAAGAATCCTTGTTCTCATGTATTAGCTGAAATGCAGCCTTTTACTGTGTTTAGCCAGGTTGCCTGAAGCATTTGAGAAATTCTTGCTTCTTAGTTCTGCACAAATTAATATAAAGATTTATAATGAGAAAAAGACAAACCACCATTTTCATTTGTAAAAACAGACCACACAGGAAGACACCCCTAAACTGGTGCCGCCACCTGCTGACAACAAGCAGGAGTCTCCTCCTCCTTCGAGCCCTCAGCAGAGTCCAGCCAAGAAGTCCGGCAAGAAATCTGCTGATAAGATCTCCCCAGCCAAGGCTAAGCCAGATGCAGAGTCCTCAAAGGCCCCCGCTGCGCCAACACCAGAGGGCTCCAAGAAACCAGAGGGGAAAGGGTCTTCGCCCTCCAAGAACAAGAAGACAGCAAAAACAGAGGAGACGAGTCCCATAAAAACTGGTAAGAATAACGTGAATCTCATATTCTGTGCCAAATGCTGGACAGACGTTTTTCTATCTCATAGTCTTGTGGCTGAATTTGCAAAAGGACTTATGAAGGGACTTATGATGGTCCACGGAAATACTGGTGACTGTAACTGAAAGAAATGTACAGTCTGGAAACATTCTCAGTAAGATTTGCCCGAGCTGGACCGTACTGCCGTTGACTGTTTTCTTGTTATAGAATGAATTGAATTATTAACTACCTTTTTTCAGCTATCTAGCCATTTGTTGTTTATTCACATTTTCTTTGTTAATGCCTTCTCTTGCTCAACTTCACCAGCTTCAATAGCCGACAGTGTGTCTTGCTATCCACGTTGGTTTAGAATATCTTAATTGAAGCAAATCAAGCTTGATGGCTATTTTTTTTGTTCCTTTTCTCATCACCAGATGCCAAGCCGTCCAAGGAAAAGAAGTCCGGCCAGAAAGTTAACAACTCAGCCCCATCCAGTGCAGACGCCAGCCCAGCCAAGTCTAAGTCGTCCTCTGAAGGCAGCCCGGCCAAGTCTGGGAAGAAAGCCGGGGCTGGTAAACAGTCTTCGCAGACTAAGAAGGACGAGAAACAACTCCAGGACACTCAAACCCAGTCAAGTACTGCCCCTGTGGCCAGTACCAAGAGTAAATCCAAGAAGGTAGGGCCTTAACTTGAGGTCATGGGGGGGGGACCCACTGTCATTCTGCTCTCGTCCATCATTTTCTCATTTCAAGTTAAATGTCTGTTGCTTTCTTTGCTTCAGAAACCGAAAAAAGAATCTACTTCCCCGACACCGGAGCCGACTTCAAAGCAGTCAGCCTCCCCTAAAAGCGAAGTGGTTCAGTCCACTGAGCCCAAGGTTGACAGTGAAACCAGTAAGAGTAGCAGAAAGAAGAATAAAAGGAAAGAGGGGAACGAAAACAAAGGCAAGTCATCGGAGGCGATTAATGGCGGTGAGTTGACATGAATTCCCACAGGGAGGTATACGTATGACACCGCACGTGTTGTTCAAGGAAGGGATCATTTAACATTTGGAAGGAAAAGTATCGGGTTCTTTTCACTTTGATAGAATATGCAACTGTGCAGGTAATGTCAAAAAGTCTGCTGTGATGGGCATTTATTTCCTGTAATTTTCACATCATTGTTGACACTAGACATCACGGTCAACTACATGTAACTGAAACGTAGTTATACTGAGGTGTTTTGAATCCAGGGATGGTTTTCGTTCAGGGGGTTCCCCTATGCTTTGTGTATTTTTGCTCATTTTTGCTCAAGTGAATCAGAGTTTCCACTCGATACTTTCGGTGCAGAATCTTCACATTCCTTGCCGCTCTTGAAGGCCGAAGGAGTTCCCAGTGCCAAATCCCCCGACACAAGCAGTGATAAACTGCCGTCAGGATCCCCAACGCCCAAGCCGACCCCGGTAACCCCAGTACAAGCAACAGTGCCTGAAGTCCCAGAAAACGGTGAGAAGGGAAATGAATTACAAAGTCCCAATTTAAACGTCTTAGAGTTTCTTTTGTTCCTTTCTCATCAAAGTCAACATTTATGGAACACGTGGCAAAACGGGAAACCAGAGAGCTTTAAGTTGTTTCTTTTGAATCCCAACAGATAATTGGGTTGAAGCAAAACCAAAGAAGGTCCGCAAAAAGGTACGGCGGGACCTCTGATGGCTCCCTGCAAGCTGATTGGGCGTTTCTGTTAAGCTATCCAAGTCATGTGAGCTCCATCATTCCCCAGATTGGTGCTGGCTGACCACGGCAAGTGGAGGTCTAAGTTACACTGTGTTTCAGGTAACATTGTCATTTGCATCAAAGGGTCTCGTGTAAAGGTTTCACAGAATTTGATTGGATGGGACGGGTCGTAATGACTGTGATTTTATCTGATTGGCACCCCAAAAGCAATAAATTGGCTATTGTTCTTTTGGGTGGATGTAGAAAAAAGGCTTGTTTGGTAAGCAAATATGACCAAAAATACAAAGTAATTGATTGGCTCCTTCTGATTGATGCCCTACGAGAGCTTCCTTGTGATTGGTGAGATAAATGTCAGGAGACATGCTGAAACGAATATCATCCACCTGATTGGCTGACTGGTGAGTCTGTCTCCTTCTTGTGATGCAGACAACCTTTGATAGGTTGAATTGTGAAATGTTGATGGATGCAGAATGTTAGATTTGTTAGGGTTTCCTGTCATCTTCCAAAAAGGTTTCGGAAGAGAAATATAGCTCAGAGAAAGCAAACCGATATATTTGATAAGCTCATTGATGCCTTTTGTACAGTCAGTGTAAATAGCCATGGTGCTTTTTTTTTTTGGACTTTGAAAATTTGATCGGGAATGAAAAAGAAACTTGTTATTTTGTGTAAAATATATTTCCGACAAACCCATGAAGACATTCCACTGTCAATCTTGTGCAGAAATCGTGACAAAAAAAGAAGTTGTAGACTTTGCAGTAGAGATGTGTCAAACAACCTCCCACTAACCGGGGGGGGGAATATTCAGGTTACTCAAAAGTTGATTTCTGAAAGACGTGCATTGACTTGAAAAGAAAAGTAGATACGTGTAAGTGGGATTTTTGCAACTGGACGCTCAAAACACTTGTGCATTGGGAGATGGAATACCAGGATCCTTTCGATCAACTAAGAGAAATGAGAAACCAGTCTTTGCCAAATGTTCGTTGCTGTGAAGGGAAAAAGGGGTGAAATAAATCTTTATTTTTGTATTTTCAGGTTTTTGGTGGGATCATTTAATAAGGAATTGGTTTGATCAATTGATGGCAAATGCCGAACCATGTACTTGTTTCCGTTTTTTTTGTTTTTTAAGAATTAAGCGCGTAGAACTGCTGATGGAGTTATAAAAAACTGCTGTTGTATTGTTTACATTATGTATGTGATATTTTCACCATGAAATGAAAGTGAAACTTCGAAGAAAATGTAAGGCCAGAAATGACAAATCGCAAAAGTAAATTTAGTGAAAAAAAAAAGTGGCCGTAATATTCCATTTTTTTTAATGGAGAGTTTGTGGTACTGCTTGATACTGCAGTTGTTTGTGAACAAATTCTTTGTTAAGTTTGTTGGAGTTGTGTGCAGTATTGTATATGTGAATTCTGTTGTAGCCAGTTGGCCCTGCTGGGCACGTGTAAAATTATTTTGCTGTTCTGGAGAAAAGCAGGAGGAAAAAAAATTGTCAATTTGTATTCTTGACAAAAGAGCGAGCGTTGTCTTGAATACCGGAGGTGAAAAGAAATGATAGGTGCTGGCAGAAACTGTTAGACACCGTGAACATCTGCGAACAGGATCAATTGTTCTGACTGGCAAACTTCAGATTATGTTGACTGCAATAACGTCTGCCTGTATACCGCAGCTTGCCTGTATACATGTCAAGACAACATAGTATTGCTCATCTTTATCAACTTTGAAACTTTTAAGCTTCTCTTCTAAAAATGTTTTCAAAAATGTCATCATATGCTTTATTGCGACAGAATTGTTTATCTACATGTATGATGTTTTTTAATAGGCCGTGTTTAATAGTGAAAAACAGATGGAATCGTAAATTTGCTATAAATTTTGAATTTTTGCTCTTATTTTTCTTGCCTTGTTCTCTTGTAAAGACATTTTTGTCCTTTTAAAATCGGAAAAGGGTGGTAATTTGTTTTAATTAGAAATATGAAGACATTTTTTCAGCTTTATGGATTTGTAATTTTTCCTTTTTTTTTCTGTGTACTGAGACTTTTTTTTTTATACAAATTCGCATTACTGTGAGAAGACTTTTGCAGTTATTTGCAGATGTCTTGTCTGAGAAGTGCACTGGCATTATTAGGGAACAATCGACCCAAGTATTACTTTGAGCAAACTATACATAATGGATAATTTTTTTTTATCTGACTTAAAAATGTGAGAATTGTAAATGAGGTAACAAAAGTGGTTGACACAAGATAAAACAGGTTAAAACCTTTAAATTAAAGATTACCACCAACTTTACAGAATTGTATATGTGTGTTTGCCGGTCCTCCTTCATTGATTTCCTTTTTTCTGTTTTCTCCCAAGATCAAAGAGCAGTGCTACAGTCATGTAATCATGAATGGTTTAGCCTTCGTCACATGAAGATAGTTCATGTATTGTGCGTACGTTCCCTTTTTTTTTTTCAGAGAAGCAGGCACGAGCTTGAAGGTCACAGAACTGATTTGTTGTGTTTCTGGCAGTGAACACTGGACATTGGTTCTTATTTCTGTGAATTTGTTCTTGCTGTCATGTAGTTAGTGCCAGGCCTGTTGAGGCGAGGAATGGAAACGAAAGCTGAGGAGTCCTTTGCCTATTTTCTCTTTTAATGCGTGTACGCTTTTTAAAAGTCAAACTAATTTGATAAGTGGTCACTGTGTGAATTGAAGCCTTGGTATTTTCAGGGCATTAGCTTGTTTCTTTTTGTCTTTTTTTCTCTCAAATGAGACCACAGTCTTGATGTGTTATAAAATGATTGAAAAAAATTGTTCAGATTGGAAAAAAAAATGAATGAGCAACTCGCCCTCCACACAGCTTGTTACAATTTTCAGTTACAGATACTGTGCTCGACACTTTTGATAGCTGTGTGCTTATGTATGTAATACATGTACTTGTGGATGGAGTGTGGTTAGAATTTGGCTTCATGAAAGAAGCAATTAAAATGTAGGAACAATTCAAGAATGCTGGCAAATACCACTTAAGTAGCAAGAAATTTTTATTTTATCCACTACATTTAAGTTGACAAGCAAGGTATTTAAATAAAATGAAACAGGTTTTACTTCCATAAGCTTACCGATAATCATTGTCAATGAAATGTTGCCATAACATATATTTTTGAAAGATTTTGAGCTAATTCCACATGTATTCCATTAAACAAAAAGAAAAAAGGGACATCAGTTTAAAGCTTTATTTTTTCCTTTTGTTCACCTGAAAATTGTGCTTCTAGGTTGAGGGAAAATAAATTTATAATGATGTAATGAAAAATATGTGCTCTGGTACAAATTATTTCTGATGTGTTAGACCTACTGCTTCTGAGATCTGTCACCTGTTCTTCAACAGCATAAATTCTGTTAAAATGTCTTCATAATATGAATCTTAGAAACTGCTAGTACATGGCGTGAAATGGCACTTGTCATGCACAATTTCACATCCCGAGTAATAGGAAAAAAAGCCAAAGTCAGTCGTGGTCGCGCTAGCCTTGATTTCCTCGTAAAAAGGACAAGAGATTGACCACCGTGACCGCGATAACTCGCTAGCAGACGAACCGAGCGAGTGATAGGGTGCCCCCATCAGTGAGTGCAAAGCAAATACATGCAGCGCTTCAATTTCTGCTGAACATCCATTGTTTAGCTTGCTGGTCCTGTTCACGTTCTTTCCCACTTGGCAATCAGCCACTGGCTTTAGTTGGCCACTTGAGGCACCGCGGAGGGGTCCACCCCACGGCTGATGAAGCGCAGCCTCAGTTGCCACGCCGGTCGTAAACTCTTGATGACGCGGTCAGTGTCTGCCTTGATACCGTCGCCGGCAAACATGTACTTGATGTGGTAGCTGGCAGTGAGGAGTTAACGAACCATGATATTCATTTATACCCTGCAAATATATTTTTTACCAACGTTTTTCGTGGCTTATCAATTTTTGGCAAATCACTTTCACTTGTGGTGCTTTTATTGTAAAGAAAATCCACTTTTTCAAACTTCCAAACTATCAGTCCCTTTTTTTTTGTTTGTGCTAAACGACAGCAAAGTTGCAATCTTTGACCCTCTGAGTCAGACCTCAACCATACACTGATGAACCTTTTGTGGCAATGAAGCTGATTATAATTCAGAAAGATACACCCAACTCCTGGCTTAACTCAGAAGTTTTACATCAAAAATGACAGCTTGATCTGATCAAGAGTTCAAGAGTACATTTCTCGACTCAAAAGGATACAGGAAGTCGCAGATGACATCCATGTGTATGATCTGGTTACAATGCTGATCCACCACCAGTAGCATGTCATACAGATTCTTGGTAATCTGCAAACGGAATGAGACGGGGAACCAGACTAGTCCATGAAAGTCAACATTCACACCTGATTAAAATTATGGCATCATAAGTGTTAAGAATGAACACTTTGCAGTTGGAGAGAAATACCGCAAGTCTATGAGGTCACTGGCAAATGAAGCCAATATCTGGTACTCTCCATGCAACTCATGAGCAAAAACAAAATAAAAGGATATCAGATCAATGAGTTGTCATGAGTCAGTCATGAGTTGGAGGTTTGGATCTCTTGAGGAAAGAATTTCTTCCTCAATTTTATCACCTATTTTCTACCTGGTTTTTTTTTCACCAGCAAAAAGGTTGTGTTTGAGCTTCAATTTGATTAACTGAATACACGTATTTGGTAAACGCTGACAGTGGATTCAGTTTAATGGTCTCAATAGCTAGACTAATAAAAGTCCTTTTACAAACCTCAAACAGCAGTCGTGTCCGCTCCTCGTGAAATCTCTGGAGGAAAGGGCCCACCAAGTGACAAACAAACAAATACTGCTCTTCAGTTTTCACTATTGGTTTGACCTGATCCCGAATAAACCTAATTGAAAAAAAAAGAAAACACATGAATGCATATTGCATCCACAGTATCAAACATTCATTTAAAATCTCAAAGCACCACTTTATTTTTTTTCAGACCCTGTTCATGAAAAAGGTATTGTACGGTCTCGCTGTATTTCTTGGCACATTTCTCAGAGGGATTTAAAACATTCCTGGATTTCCTCTTGTCTTTTATGTCAAAAATATCACAATGTCAGTTTTAACTATCGTAACTCGCCGCATGTAGCCCAAAATTTACAGTCTAGAAGTTTCATCCACATTCAAGACTTACTGTTGCAATGGTGTCAGCTGCCCGATGTTGGAATGGTGCCAGACTGCGTGCGTCATGGCCAGCACGTAGGCACATATCATTTCGGTGTGCGACGAGTGGGTGCCGCGGAAGTCAAAGACGGCAAAGGCAATGTTCAGAATGCCGGCGCCCGGCGTGACACTCTTGCTGAGCAGCAGGTCGCTGCTGAGAACTTCCACAATGCGGTCTTGAATCACGTCACAATAGCAAGACTTGCCAATGGGACAGACATAAAAAAAAACATTAACTGACCTACTTCTGTTGGAGTCGTATGTTTGAAGTGTACACTTTGTTTCAAACATGTCCTTGCGTTAGCAAGCATGTTATGGTAAAGTTGACTTCAATTTCTTCACTATTTTTCTTGTAAACGGTACTTCAGGCAACGCTTGAAAAATTGCAAGATGAAATGGAAACTGATTGTGATTCATTATTGTCAAGCTTAAACCAGAATTTTGAATTCTGGAAGAAACTCACTTACAGGTAGAGAGGTCAATACCAGAGCAATGGTGTTAATCCAAGCCATGACATCATCTCTGGGGACACTAGAAGGGCTACAAACAAGGAAAAGAAAAGAAAACTGGAGTAAAAATGGTCTGAAGACAAAACCACTGATAGGTCGGGGAACCCAGCCCTATAAACTTCTCTATACGCTCTTCTTTTTATTTTGGAAAATTTCTTGAAGTGTCCATGACCAAAAAAGTTGATCCGGAAAACACAGATCTCTAGGATTACTTACAAACATGTATCTTGTTTTTCTGCTAATCAAGAACTAATCCATTAAATCAGTGTTTTATTCATGCAGTCTTGAATTTTGTATTATGCTATTTTATTGAAATAATTTTTCACCAATACAGTGAGAAGTTTGACAAAAATTAAAGGCTGGCTGAAGCAAAGTGTTTCCCCACTTCTTGAAGATGACTTCTAGCAGGGCATTCCCGACTTGCTTCCCTTGACCGGGTAACGCCATCAGTTCCACGCAGGTCACGTGAAGGGCATGGGCCGCCAGGTTGGGGAACTCGTTGAAGCGCCAGTCCATGTTCTGGAACAAGGGCTGGGTCTTGCCAGAGACAGGTGCGGGGGGGGGGGGGATAGGTAAGTTAAGGAGCCCTGGAACGAGGTATGCTTTAACGTAAACTCATCTGGTTTGATCTAATTTGTGTAACAATTGGTCTTGTAGGCACATGGCATACCTTGACGACAGCTCTCCCTCCCAAGAGGCACTCTGCTCTGATTGTCAGACAGTGAGTATCGATGGCCATCAATCAAATCACCTAATGAGTTTTTAGATACTAACCTCGACAGAACTCGCTGATATTTTTCTATACTTATCATATCTATTAAATGCTTACATCTGGCCTGACATAAATTGGCACGAAGCCAGGTATCGCACAACTATTATGTAAATGAAAGGATATTGTCCACCAATCGGCCAATCAGCTTGCAGTAGTAATCATGGTCGGGTTCCCATGTCACTTCTTCACCTGGTTTATTGATGTACTCCAGGTACTGAGGAGTCAAGCACCTGAGGGGGACAAGAAACAGTCTCATGAATATTCAATTATTTCTCGACTTCAAACTATCAAGGAATCAGTCATCTGTTCAAATAACTGGTATGCAATTATTCATGGAATAAATGAATATTTCATGCATGCATTGAAATATATCTTTGGCAGTAATATTCATTAGGAAAATTCAAATACAGACGTGTATTTCACAAAATTAACAATACTTGCTGTAAAGAAATACACTGCTATAAAAGAATACGACACTCTTTATGAAACTCTGGGTATTTATATCTGAACGTCAGACATAAAAGAACGACAATGCACTTTGTCATACCATCCAGCTGGCTTGACTGACTTCTGGGCCAAGATGATCGCGCCAACGAGTTTGCGCTTCAACAGAGGGCGGTCTCGCAACTTCTTCTCGTAGTAGTGGAGCGTGTTGAAAAGGTACGTGACAGGATGATCTGCAAGAAGGCAGGAACAAGACATGTATGGTAATTCGAATCCTATGTTCTAACGTCCTATGAACTAGAAGCGCCGTCGTATGTTGCTGGCCTCCCGAGCTGCTAATGTTGCTGTGGAATGACTTCACATTGCAAGCAATTTACTATTAGGAGCAGCATGGTACTTTGTGTCTTCGCTGCGCCCAGCAAGCTGCTTTCAGTCTCTTCAGTTGACATGGGTGTGGATCCTCACCATGGAATTTGTAGAGTCCTCCCAGGTGATCTAGGAGAACCTCCAAGGATTTGGAAGAGGGAGGCAGCTCGAGGAAACGATGGATGAGGATGTCAAACACCTAGAGAGGAAGAAATGTGATATAGATGTCATCCTATGGAATAGAATGATTTGAAAAGATAAGAAATTAAATCACTGAAAACCACCATGAACTAGATTATCTGCTTCAAACAGGAATAAATGAAGGAATCAATTGGCATAGCAACGACTGTCCACTGGTGAGAATTTATCACGAGCCCACGCAAATTAAAGCATATTTGGCACAGAACACACTGAGCATGCTCGACAAATCTTTGCAGGTTGAAAAACTTCCCACAAGCCAGTCTCTGTTTTTGCCAGTGAGGGTGCACTTCAACTCAGGAAAGACACTGGAGTAAACTGCTTCACTACCTCCAACAGCAGACAGACTGGCATTACCAAATAACAAACCAGATTCGACTGGACCAAACCGGTTCTTACCGGTATAAAACGAAGGCATACATTGCTGAAGTAGACTGGTAGATTCTGGCAAGGGGAGCTCATGGTCGCACCAGTGAGTTCCAGCATGCCTTCGTAGTAATACATCTCGGGATACTTCTGTAGATCGCAAATGAGAAATTGAACATTCAGCCTTCTTGATTCGTTTAATACGGGCGATTCACAATAGTGCGCCACCAAGAGTTTGCAACGCGTTGGCCAATCACAATGCTCGAAATCTGTTGACCCAGAAAGGGACAACAAATTTCATGCGTTGTGATTGGCCAACGTGTTGTAGACTGTTGGTGGCGCACTACTGTGCATTGCCCATATTGGTCGATCCAAGCTGTAAGCCAAAGACTCGCCAATAAAAATCATTTGGCCCGGGCTGTAGGGTGAGTTTTGCAGTATGATCAGACTGGTGGCTTCGGGGTTCCTGACAAGGTTTCTTGACACCATACTATCACTCTCATGTTAACTGAATGGCGATAGATAGGCAGCGGATAGACGGGTACCCACCCTGTGGTAATTCATGTGCTTGGTGTGCCAGTCCGACTGCAGCCAGTGCTCCGGCGAGTTCTCCTTGATGAAGTCATTAACGCGGTTACGGAACTCGACAGGTTTAAGGAGGAGCAGCTGAATGATGAAGAAACAAACCTGAGCCTCGCTTCCCTCGTGGTTACGAAGTGCCTGACAGAGACAAAGGAAAAACCCAAGATGCTTGCCCTCATCTGTCAACTTTTAAAAAGTGGTCTTAGCAGAGCTTCCGTGTTAAATATTTGGATATAATCAGGGCTAGAAGTGAAGTGACGCAAAGAAGAAAATGGTGCTTCTTACCAAGTTAAGTATGAGTCTGTCCAAGCTGACAATGTTGAGCTTCCACACCATGTCATTCAATGTCTCAACACACTGTGGATTGATCAGCAAGTCAACAGAGTATATCAACATGTCAACAAAGTATCCACCAACTGTATTAGATGATCTAAGCTGATGGGTTTTTTATCAGCTAATGCGTGCACAAGTTCCAAGTGGTTAACTTAAATACTTCACAAAGATGAAAGAGATTTTTGGTTCCACGAGAGGGGAAATCAAATATTCATTGCTGACCTTGTTGACGTGTTGGCCGCCAGCTGAGGTTGAGAACTCAAACACCAGGAAATCTGCGAAGGTCCGGATGTGGCTGGAAAGCGCCCTCGGGCCAATGCGCTCGATGACCTTAACAGCGACGGGATTGATGTGGTTAGGCTCATTCTCCAGAAGCATCTTCCAGATCAAGCTGACAAGAGGTAAAATAAAAAAATAAAAGAAAATCCTCGGCGAGAACGTAACTCTGGTCACACCGAAATCTCCCATCTAGAACAACGGATATTACGAGAACTTCACTGGTCACAAATAAATTGACATTTGCTGACAAAAGACTTAGCAACAGCTCTGAAAGCCTGTTACAGAGCTGGTTTCACTCTTCTCAGCAAGTCTTCTTCCTGACGATCCTCCCAACTTTGCAAGTGATACCATATTTACTGGTCCATCTTACCACAGAAACAGATGTTGATTGCCTTGGCTAGGTCCACGGGTCGACCCTCCGGGCTGGGTACCCTGCACCGCAAACCGATTCAGGATCTCAGCTTCGTTGGTCATGGCTATACGTCAAAAGAATGAAAGACGAAAACGAAATACACAATCGATCAAAAACAGTTCTACACTGTGGAGCATTCGGATATTATCTTCATTCCAGACTGTCCTCATCGGAAAGTTGTGAAAGTTTGCCCATTTGTGGGAGATTACCTTTCCACTTGCGATGCTCTTCCTCTACAATCTTCTTGAGCAGGGAGCGGTCCTCCTGAGGGGCAGGGTTTGCCTCGAAGAACTCCTGCAGGGCGGTGGGGAAGCACTTGAGGGTGTGTGAAGCCCAGTTGTGAGGGGTGTTGGCAAACAGGGTGGCAAGAATATCCTTACACCAGGAACCGGACAACGTCTCTGATCCTTAAGATTTCGCACAAAAAAAGGATCATGATTAACAACATTGGACGGCACGGGAATTTTTTGCAGGCTGATCTGGCTCCTACTTACAGAAGATGCTACGTGTACAGTGAATGGTCTAGCGCTCACCGGTGACATGCATGGCCCTTGCTAACGTGAGCACCAGCGCTCGGTTCAGCTCCTCTGAGTCAGCAGACAATAGGTTGTTGGGCTCGTTTAGGAAGCGGGACAGTTGAGGTTGGACGTCGGCACTACCCAAGCCAGTGATGATGCGCAAGGCTGTACTCTCAATGCTGTGGGATAAGAAAAACTTTGTTTCCTATTTTCATGTTTTTCATCTCGTCAGTAGTGCATAGCTAATAAAGCTAGAGTCTACGGCAACATATACTCTGACATGACCCAACCCCTTGAAGTATCTCTTTTCTGTGAACACTGACCTTTGACCTTTACCACAAGCAAAATGGTCCCCTCGGGCCAAATGAATACTACCCACTTTATGCGAAGCTGTTGCTGAACACCGACCTTTGACCTTAGTTATGGTTATATGTAATTCTGATTGGTTAATGCATACTTGCCAAAAGTGCCTTGCCAACATCGGGCTTCGGTACTGGATGGTGACCTTTGACCCTTACCATTGGTAAAGCTGATTCTGATTGGCCAGCGGGATCTTGCTGAGAGAGTGGAGGTTACAGAGCAGCTGTACAATGTACTGGGGCTGGATGTGCTGGAGTCTGAAGCTAAACAACTCCAGGAGAGTGTGGAGCATACCCCAGGCGCTGGCCTCGCACACCGTCGGCAGGACCTTGGCTGATTTGAGAGGATGATTTGAGAGAGATAATGGCAGTTCTTATTTCTTTAAAGCTTACTTTCTGACTGTCTTTATGGGCAAAGATACCATCCAGTGTGTGCTGGAAGGTACACTTGTCAGAGGAAGTTCTGAAATGAAGTGAGTTGGGCAGGTCATCAAGTTCATATGGGGGGCACTCCTCAGAGTGTGGTTACTGTCTTGGGCTCTTGTTGGAGTGCATCAGATCAACCGTGGAAGACTGTCGCAGATTCTGGTGGTCTATGCAATCGGCTAAAGTTATTCATCGATAATTCTCGGAGACCTTGGAATGTCTTCCTGTTGGGAAATCATCCCATTTGATATTCTAAATTTAAATTGGCCACTCAGGTCACTCGGGGCTGCACCTTTTTTTTTCCAGTATGTGGAAACTTTAAAGATTTTTTGGAAGGCCAAGTTGATGAAGAGTTGCGCCGATGGTACTGTATCAGATTTGGGAGACGGGACAAGTTTTGTAGAGGGGTGTTCAGGCATGGGTTTAAGGAGGGATGTCACTTACTGATAAATCCCTTGATTCCTAGTGACTCAATCTCCATGTAGACCAGCAAACGACTGTAAGTCTCAATCAGAGCTGGCGACAGAGCAATGGACGACTGCTTGTGGTGAATGGCAGGGATGATGTTCTTGCCAACTATGTGATGTATTAAACTTTAAAGTAACCAACCAAAAGAAGAGAAGTGTTCAGGTTTATGCCGAAGAAATGTCTGTCTCATTGATCTGTGTTTATTGATCCGATGTTTTATACAGAAAACTTTACAACTCAACAACCGCACTGTCATCCTTACCTCATTTTGGCGTGGACAGTGAGCGAATCCAGCAGACTCATAGAAAGGGGAGTGGTAGGACCAGACGCCACGCAAATGTTGGGGCCAGGCATGGGGACGGTCGTCTGGCCAGAGCTGTAGATGCTGTCGACCAAGACGCCCATTGGCCAGGAGAACATGTCGGTGCTCGTGCTGTCTGTTTAGTAATATGGACAAATAAAGCAATTTGAGAACATGCTGATAGCATTTTCTACTCGGTGCAACTTTCCGAGAGCAGTCAACAAGCTGGTCTTTTACTTCTAGTGGGATTATGGCATGGATACTTACATGCGTTGCACAGCATAGCTATCCTGTAGTCTGTCAAAGGAAGATTGGAACAGTTGTAGCTCTGTTGCAAAAATCTACAAAGGAAAAAGCACAGCATGATAGAGAGATTTAGTGGTTAAGATGAGTGGTTAAGTAGTAGGCATGAGATCTGGATGTCCAACCAGCGCAATGAATCAATGACTTTTTTCTCACACACTATTTGTACAAGTACTGTCAAGCAGGAGATATTCTTGACTGATTCACACTGACTAGCAATCGACGACGTGCTCCCATTTTATAAATCTCAGGTCCACCGGACGCAGCGAGTACTCACTCCAGGTGCAGCTTGAGTGAGGGCGGGGCAGGCCTCTGCAGAGAGACCTTGTCACTCTGTGCCTTGCGGCTCAGATGGATCCAGATGCAGGCCATGGCCAGTCGGTGGGTGCACTGGGGGTGGCTGACGTCTGGTACGGGCAGAGGCTGAGAGAAACAGAAGGGGAAAAAAATGAGACCTTGGAAGACAACCAGAGGTGAGATTTTACCTGAAGCAACATTTTGGGACAGGGGCCCGGGAAAGTTTTTTTAGCAATATTTGTGGGGTTGCTGGTAAACCAAATACCAGCCGATGTAATAATTTTTATATATTGCAGAATCTTTTAGCCAGTAATCTATTTTCTGTGTAAAAAGAAGCTTAAGAGCCGTGTGACATCCATGAGATGATGCTTAGATGAAAACTGAATCTGTGTGGCGCACTGGTAATCGAAGCAGGGTCACTGCTTAGCGGCATTATAACAACTATAATCAGACACTCTTGAGACTGTCAAATGTGCCAACATTCTCAATGCTATAGTTACAACAAATCTAGACCCTGAAGAACATCTCCGCACCTCTTTCTCAGGGAAGAAGATGTCAAACAGCTTCAAGATGGGGAAAAAGTCGCTGAGCGGATTCTTCTTGATGCTACCCGAGATGTACTGAAGCAAGACCCAACTCAGATGGTCTCGTCCCTTGGTAAGGCTGCGATTGCTCAGCTGTTACGAGCAGACAATTCAGGGACGAAAGTCAAAGCGATGCACAAAAAGGAACAGTATCATGCTGCAATATTTGAAGTCCTATACTTACACAACGCGTGCAAGCAAGGATGCTTTCAGATGGTGAATGAGATTATTCACAAGTTAGAAAATATTATATTTTTGCAGTGGTACAGTTTGATATAACGTTACTCCGAAAACCAAATTCTGAATGCAATCACAAACTATCAGTCTGGTAAGAAAATGACTCCTGCCAAATAGACATGATACAGATTACGACAACTGTCCAAAAAAGGGATCTACCCAAAAAAGGGTTTTCTTCTTTGATGAATGTTACTTTTTTTCTGGAAGTATCTGAGACAAAAAAGGGTAAATCTCCACTTTACTGTTGCCAAATTAATGTGGATCGGGCTCTGCAAAAAGTGGTTGATTTTACGTTACCTTTTTGTTGAGTGACATGACCATGTGGGGGAAGCTGGCAAAGTTGAAGAGCACAAAGAAGATGAGCTGGCTGGACAGGTGTTGCCACAGCGCGTCCGTGGGGCTGCCCAGCTCGATGGTCCCCTCCGTCTGCTCTGTGCGCTCCATGGCGACGGACACCAGGTCCACCAGCATCTCCTCCAGGACCAGACATCGCTGCTTTTGCTTGAACAGCATTACACAAGGGAAAAATGCCACGATAATTAGTGAACAGTAAACGGGAAACTGCCAACTTTTCCTCGTGTACTCAGAGAGACGGGTGGCAATTTGCAAGAGCCTCCCTCACCTGAATGTTGAGTCCTAGTATGGTTCGCACCATGTCCCGCGAATAAGGCTGCTCAAGGACGTAGCGCAGCAAGTTGGTCTGTCGCTGTGTCTGCTCCTGTGGAAAGAATAAGACAGAAAGATCTTTGATTACAACAGGTGACGAGTTGATCTCTGCCTTGTTGAAACTATATAAAGCACATAGGTGTAGGCTCTTAATGCCTTGTGCCGATAGGTGTGCATCGCTGTAGAGATTTTTGGACAATCACAGGTTAGCAGACTGGCCAGCTGTCATAGCTTAACTTGAATTACACTCTGATGCAGTCGTTATCTTACTTTGTGGTGTAACATTTGCAGGTGTTTGTTGGAAAGAGGTTTCAGGGTAGTCTGGTACCTTGTCATAGGGCAGCAATCCCTTCAAGGGAAACATGAGCGTGACGGGGTCCAGCTTCCAGGAGTTGTGAGTGGCGTTGAAGTGACCAACGACGGGAAGCAGGCTGGGCCGGCCCGTGATGGACACCATGCGGGCAGTAGGCCGGAATGTATCAATGAAGTTGGTCACTAGCTCTCCGACCGCCTGGAAAAAAAATAAAAAACAGAGAAAGGACATGCAATAACATTGTTTGCAGACTGCCACCTTGTCTTCAAAAGCTTCATCCAGTGGGAACAATCTGAAAAAACCTATCTTTGTGATGCCCGTTGATGTCTCCATACTTTGAAAGAGTCTGCAGTAACAGGTTTTCCTAAATTGGAATGTCTACACAAATGGGAATGTATTCCTGAATGGGAATGTATGCTAAGATGGGTGCAGTCCTAGTTGAGAATACAATTCTTCCCAAAAGGGAATAGGCCCTCCTCTCAATGGGACAGTTTGGGAAGAACAAAAACCCTTCCAGCCCAATGAGTGCTTTCAATATATTTGTGTAACAAAGTGTCGCTGTTGGGAAAGATGCAATTCTCCTAGCAATAGGAGGCCAAAAGAGAGATCAAGAGGTTGTCGTTTTACCCAGTGAGTGTTTGGCTTGTCGTCTGGGAACAGTTTCTTGAGTTCATTGACTGCGAAGTAGCTGGGGAGAAGACAGGTATTCCTGTCTAGGATCTTGGCCAGGACTCTGACCGCTGCATCCAGCTGCTTGCTGGCCGAGACGTTGACAGAGATCGGGATGAGCTCAATCTTCTCCAAGATGACCTTGAGAAGGTCCCGACATCCCTGTACCCAAAGAAAAAAAAATTGTTTCACAAGAGACAAATCAGCAGACAGAAATCTTCGAAGAAATACTCTATGAAGCCCACTGATGGAAACTATAAACTTGATGGACTTCTCAGCCAAGCCAGGATTTCAACCCATGTCATGAACCAAACTGCAAGGTTTACATCACGTGTCATACCTTGTAGTCTACGTTGCCGATGATTCTGTCCACCATCTGAAACGTCTTACACCACAGCTCCGAGGACTTGTAGTCCAGACTCGGGGAGGATAAGAGAGCCTCGCAGAGAGATCTAAGGAGACAGACGAACAGGTGTGGATATAATATGAAGATGAGATGCCAGTTACTTCCCATCTCGTTAAGTACTCAGATCTTTAGAACACAGTGTGCTTTCATATGAGCTTCACGGTTGAGGAAGGAGGTATTCTTGTCGAAAGATGTGATCTATCTTCAGCAAACACACTCTGTGTGAGGTACGAGGTTGGAGAGATGTTCAATGTTACCGGACATTCTCTCAACCAGTTAACGCACAGCACCTGTACGACTATGAGGATCGTGTATGAGGCTGACTCTAAGCTTTAGAGGTGAGGTTAAAATTTCGCACTGACCTGGCTGGGATGCCAACCTTCTCTGCTGCCATCAGCAGCATGTCGCACAGAAGCTTAATCCTCTGGTAAGACTTCTGACGGTGAAGGTAGGCGACGTAAGACTCCAAGACATGCTCGTGCGATTCCTGCAACATGAGAGAATTGTAGCGAAGTATATTCCAAAAACATCTTAAAGAGGTTCTCAAATACTGAGACACTCTGTCAAAGTGAGGCTTCTAGGCTCTTTAAAAACACCAACACCGCATAACCCATGCTGCCTTCAGAGAAAGTGCTCCAAGCCAAATTTCTCAGGCGTTGCTTAGATTTTTGACTCTTTCCAAATGGATCCACATTTAGGTAAAACAATGGCTTGCAGATGCAAGCATTTTGGAAAACAAACAAAACCTAAACTACTGGATGAGGATGTATTCATGTTGACCTTACCGAGGGCAGGGACTTCCAGAAGCGATTGAAGGAATCAATGCAGCAAAGGACTTTATTCCGGTCATCCTCCGGGGAATGCAGGATAAAACTTGAAAACAACAGTCGGAGACAAGAGGACAAGCGTTAATGAATACACAGTGTTTCGTTTGAAGTCTTTTTGTCATCAGATGTGAAATGCATTTGTGCGATAAGCTTGCAAGGAAAACAAGAATTTTTTCTTGATTGTTTTCCGATCAAAAATACTTAGAAATCAAAATCTATCTTACCCACAGAAAGCTTCTTCAATTGATGTGGTTCTCTGAAAATGAAGAAAATAACCAGGTAAGTGTACATATCCACATGTTAATTGTGCAGCAGGTATGTTCTTCAGTTTGTCAGATCATTGAAGGTTAGAAAACTTGACAAAAATAAATTACAAATGTGGCAAACAATCGATCAAGCGATTAGCAAAACAAAACATGTACATACTTCCACTAGACACCACCAAATGATTAATTTTGCCAATTGAACATTATCTTACCAAAGCATCATTGAGGATCTCCTGCACTTGATTCTCCAAGGTTGAGGTGGTCATTATTGTACAGGACATTGACCTGACACTCCGTTCTCGGATGCAGAGGCACCACAGATAAGGGTCTCACATCACATTCAATGTACAGGCATTTGCATTTATATCTTGGGGTGAAACAACGAGGCCATGAATTGGAAATAAGAAGGTCAACTTTGGACATGATGAAATTGGGCTAGGCCCATGGGGAAACATATGGTCATTACATTTATTACAATCTTACTGCACAATTGTCAATAATTCCACCATCAGCCAACTGCCTTTTCTAATTCACCACTGTGAAAGATTGTGACATAAACAACTGACATAACTGATAAAGGGAAGTTTAAGTCAGAGATTTCTTGCAGAACTAACCAATAAATCAGAGCGATCGTGCAGATCGGCCGAATGCACCCAACAAATATGCTTAAAATGAATTTAGACTCACGAAAATTGCATCGCTCATCTTGTTCGGTGGCTATATTGGGGTTATTGCTGGCCCCCTCTTGCCAATCATAAATGCATCCATACAAATATATATTTTGGACACTGACATTTGAGTCTACTCTAGAAAGAAGGCCAACTTGTATCATCCGTCTTGTTCCTCTGATAAACGATGACATTCAGTGATAGTGATGCATAAGCACTGCATTAAATCACGATTGCATTCATGTACGGCAACCAAAAAGCACTAGGCCTAAGTAAGACCTAGTCCTACCGTCATACACGCACGATTCGTCGTGACAGAACCGGTCCCGTAATGACCATGACGAGACGCGTGAGTGAGTGACGCGTGAACGGGGACGAAGACAACGGCTTACTTGCCCCTCTGCACAAGATCGGGGCCACTTATCCCCGTACAGGTCAAAAGTTTACCTGAATTTAGAATTAGATTCGTAACAAAGCCATTTTGTCCTGAAAATTTGTTTCCCAACCTACCTCGATCATGCCTCCATCAACACATCCACATTGTATTGTTTATCGACATGTGGAGAGCGCCCTCCTTTGACGCTCTGCGATAATGTGATACGATGTTCACTCAGGTAGGGGCGTGGTCTAATTTGTAGGGTGTTACGCTGTTAGTATGAATATCTGGGACAAGATTTGAAAACTTTTTGGAGAGGGGGGGACAATAAAATATGTCTGCCCATAGAAAAGAAAAAATATCTCTACCCATTAGTAATTATCATTTCATTATAACTGAGGGCTTTGGATAAAAGCAATTGTACATATGTTTCAGAATAGACTCGGATAATTTTTACTAGTGGAACTAGAAAAAATTATAATTATATTTACCTTCAGTAGCTGGATATTTTGTCACGTGAATTCTTTTGCCCAGGTGGTAGTTAATAGCTCCATGGTTATACCATCATTTTGTTTTTGTGGTGTAAAATGAGTCGCCTTTTCACATCAACATTAAGTCAAGGGTTTGGTAGACGTCTGAAAAGTGTTGCTGGTGGGGGTGCGTCTATACCTGCTAGTGTCTCTGTGAGCGTGGCCGGCTGCAGTTTTTTTCCCTCCTGAGTCGTTGCAACGGTCGGAGGAGAGCGCTGTCATCGAGGTCGCGTGTTTGCTCACCGTATCATCATAAGTAATGATTGATCGTTTAACACATGGAAGCTCACTGCTTTTTTATTAGAGGTTTGATGTCTGAAGCTTAAACCAAAAAGAAACTTTTCGATGGTCACGACGATGATGAACAGACTATGTAGCGAGTAAATCCTTCACTGCTTATTTCTTTTTAGGCCTACTTCATTGCATTTGTTTCATAATTGGACACTGCCAGTGATAATAAATAAGAAATGCATACTTCAGGGGTTTATTTCCAACAGAAATGGATCAATAATAGATCAAGAAATGAATCAAACGAATTTAAATCAATGCCCCATTCGTGGAAGAGATGCAATAAAGATGGTGTCCGCACACGTACACATCGGGAACATCTTACATCTTGTTCTCACAGATTGATACAAAATGGTTTGTAGTGAATTTGTGGGAATATTCATGCGCCTCACTTTGATTGATTATCCAGCATTGAACTTTATTAGCCGTGCGAATGCTGCCTCCGCACCGCCCGGCATGCTCACAAAGGACAAGAGAGAGCCCATAATCCTTGAAAATACCACTTCCACTTCTGGCCTCACCACGAACTTCTGGTCTGTGTGTGTTAATTCCCAGACGGCCGCATTGTGCATTTAAACGGATTATCAAGCCATACCGTGTATGGGTTACCAGGATTACACCTAACATATTTTATTGCAGTTTCCATTCATCCACACTTAATCTCGTAAAGCGCAGTTAAAAATTGGATTTCTGATTCTCACTTTTGGCGGTAACCGAAAAACTGTCGCGGTTTTGGCTGTAGTGTCATTTTGTAGAGTGTTTGAAACACGTTCTTTACACGCATGCGGGCTTGTTAGTAAAAAAATAAGGAGACGAGTTTTGTTTGAGGTCAGGGTAATTTACAAAAAAATACTTTAGCCAAAATTAACATTACTGTCTCTTGTTCGACTCTCCATGAAACATTCAGACAAGAGTTTCATACAAACAAAGCAAACTTCTCAAAATAAAAAACACGTAATTTCAAATCCAAACCAGTAACAATTTTAAACTGGTAATGGATGGCATGTATTGACAGTGCAGATTCGCTCCAGGAGATTTCGAGGAAGAACATGGAGATTTGTTGATATTATTCTCCGTTTGTGTTAGCTCGAGCTGTCATTTTGGGCACTGACTAGTCATATAAATCTTACCACGGGCGGCTGGCGTTGCGATCGGCTTGGTCTCTCGACCAAGACCGCCGTGGTCATCTTTTCATATTTGCTCAGAGATGAAGCTAAAAACATATGCCGGTATATAACCGAACGAGTCACTCACAATGTCAGTTTATTATTTTTTTTATACTGGTTCGTTTTAACCGCCGAGGATCATGCTGTTTTTCCAATTTGAACAATTAAGTTCGGATGCACTCCACGAGACGTATGGACGTACAAAATGATTCCCCCAGACACTTACCTTTGTTAAATACACAGTATCTAATTTAACGGGAACATATGGCACAGGAGTACATGCAATGTCCACAACATTCACTCGACATTATGGGCAAACAAGACAGCAGCCGGAATGCAGTGATAGAGGCTCATGTAATGTACGCCGCTCAAGACAGTGTGGCACTATTCGCTCAATACTAAACATTTAGGGAATCTTAGCGAAGTATTCTCCAAAGTACTGAATATAATTCAAGAGCTGCAATAATATCAAACAAAAACAGGGGTTTTCCAGAGCCAAAATAGGAGTTGGCGAGTTGCTTGAAAACATGCCTGTCGAACTCCGATCCTTTCTTTAAATTTCCCCCGGAAGCCATCGAAAAATTTCACGAATCTGGGCATGCGGGAAAAAAAGCAAAAACGCACCTGCACCAGGAATTACAACTTTATTCTAAAATTGACTAATTGAACGACGAGACTTCATCAGTCACGTAAAAGCAAAGAAGCAGATCAAGAGATACTGCAGTACATGTGTCACATATCCTCAGATTTGACATTCACTGAAGAATTTGAACTTTAAATTTAGACAACAGTGGTAAATATTATTCCTTGAGAATACACATTGGGCGCCAACGGTTTTTATTTCACAGGCCATCAAAAACCGCCGAAAAAAATTGCCCCGAAATTTATATCGTTCGTTGCAATACGGCACTGGTCCTCGGCAAACTATGGCAGTCATCTCATTCAAGAGATCTGACAAGGAGTGACCTCTCTCCGGACAATTTGGCCGCATCTTTGGCATTCTTCCTGTTTCCGATTGTCCCTAGAGTTGGCCCATCTGTGGCTCGTAAGCGGTGTAGCCTCATGGGACTGTCTCCACGTATTCAGCTGTCAGCTGCTTATAGCTGTGAGAATCAATGTCAAGTGTCGGTAAAACGATCTTTTCGAAAAAGGTTTCTACCACCTAAATAGTTTCAAGCTGTGAAATAAATCCTTTCAGTATATATTTTTTTGTCTTCCATCAACCTCCTTCTGTCCTTGAATAGGCTGTAGATTTGAGTCATTTTGCTTGCCATGAGTCGCTTGTCATCTTTTCTTTGAGTGATTTGCATGACTGTAATTGTGTTCAAAATAACTAACATATTTTAGCTTTACTCTCTGATTTTTTAATTCTGCGCTGCGATTGAAACCTATATGCTGTTGAATTGAACCGTCACAATCTATTGAAATGCACTGAAATGAATATCATTGGACAGTATAGGCCCACATGTAAATGCATGTCTCAACGAAAGCTGTCAAATTGTCCAAAAATGGGTAGAACATTCCTGACAGTTTTGTCAGAGCAATCTGAGGGTTATTAGTGTTCTTGACATTTATAAATGATCCCAAAGCGATGTTTTCTCGTACTTTTATTATCACAAGGAGCTGAACGATCTTGTTCGACAAGCGTAGTCCATGAGACACCACGCGACTCGAGTCTGGCGAACCACGCGCGTCCATTAATTTAGGGGAATACAAACATAATACACACAATCTTCACGCATGCCTAGAACTTATCCGCGGAACGAGTTTATGATACGCGCGGACAGGGTGCCCATATGGGGAACAGATTGGCGGGGATTTGGCGTGGTCCGTGAGAAGTTGAGACAAGACCGAAGGAGACTGACGCTTCGAGTGAGCCGAGGATTTCCCCCTTTGAAGGAATTTAATCGTCTAGGGCGGGAAACGTGTATCAATGTTGTGTTCGTCACTGACTGCACTGTATATAATTATCGACTTAGGTCAGATTTACTCGGTGAGTGGACAAGACTGAGCTTGCGGAGTGTGGATCGTGATATCATTTTGACCGAAAGTGCTTTGACTATCACTTCCTGGCATCATCGTGTCAAACTTCCAAGACGGGCAAAGAAACACGGGAAATGATACCATGGGTTTTTTTTAAAACACACTCAGCGCTGGACCCTATTTGTGACGAGGATAAAGTTTCTACAACTGCCGAATAATGAAGTGGATTTCAAGTCTAGAACTGCGTTTTCTGTCTACTTACTTTCATGGCCATTAAAATACAGGGACTGTTTGTCAGACAGGAGTATAACTGAACTTTCCAAGGACCCCGTTAACTTTAATTTGACCCTGGCTGCTCATCTCCGGTCAGCACTTTAGATAAAGAGATACCGTCATTCGATTATGATTTACAACTGCGGATGAATGCCACGAAAAACTGACTTTTGTTTGCAGGGAAAACTAACCCTGATGCGCTCAATGAGCGATATCATCGCGCGTTTGATGCCACGCCGCGAGAGCCGAGGAATGTTAATGAGAAAAATGTAAAGAGCCTGGTAGGGAGTTTTGAAGGTGCGTTGATAAAACGTGCCAGAAAGGTATACCAGCAGCGAGAAAGAAAAACAATTTGGTGAAATTTCCTGGTATGAGTGTCAGCGCTGGACAGCACTGTAGATGGACGCGGGGCTGCAATCTTCAAGGATGCTTCGGACCGTACGGACGAGTATGTTTCCGCATTCGTAAGATTGTTTTCGATGCGACAAGATCTACATTTTCTCCACGGGTGATTGTCGAATTACGTCACTGCACTGTGGATATCTTTTGTGGTCCCTGGTACACGAACATCCACCGCTGACAGCCTGTATGAATAGCTTCACGTACGACACTTCATTCAGCTTTTTAATTACTGATATTTCACCAGACGTCACATCTGACTTGCAAACTGTACGACTGTGCGATTGCAGCGCGATTAAGACGGCATAGCAGCGAACGTAAGTACCTGAGGTTGGTGTGGATTTTTTTAAAGATTGTGTTTCGAGGAATTAAAGTACTCAAACACGATTGCCCGCTGATTAAATCCCCTCTAGAGGCCGTATTTGAAATTGATTTCAATTGGTTTTATCACCGAACAGATGGACAATGATGTTAAGCACTCGAACTTGAAGCGGACTCGGCATGGCACCGCCTCTTGCAGACCATTTCATCCAGGGAAATTAATTCACATCACGGTAGGGGACCACCCGACTGACTGCTTGCAACAAGAGCATGTCGGTGAACCTCAGAGTTGGTCAAGATGAATATGAGTGTGAACAGACGGTTCCATGTAAATGTTTAACATCCTCTTCCCTCATTACACTTCTAGGCAGTGGCTGGGGATTTGGGATGATGAACTCTCAAGCTTTGCAAAACTGATGTTTGTGGCAGATGAATGTGAAATTTTTGCCATGTGACTCATTCGCAGTATTCCCGACAGACCTCTGAGCTCTTCTGGCCGATTCCTTTGAAGACTATTTCACGATGGAGGCAGATTTTGATCTTCGAAACTTGAAATTCGCGTGTGTGTTAATCATTTGCCGATATCTGGCCGTCGCATACGCCATCCGCGCGTTGCGTCTTCCCGCCAGCATCACCGCGATCGAAGGAGGACGGGCCGAGTTTAACTGCACCACAGCCAATAAAGTGACCGACGAGGAGCTTTACTGGGCTATCAAGTGGGACGACGGATCCTTACTGATGTGGTACTACCTCCCGGCTGAAGTTAACAAGACTCACGAGGACTTTCTTCGCGGTACAGCTCTCTTGCCCATCCGGGCTGCTGCATTAGGCGACCACGGCCGGTACAGCACGGTGCACCGCGAGGTGCGTTACAGCGACGGCCAAAGTCTGGATTTCTGCTTGCTGCAGGTAGACGACATACACGACGAGGACCAAGGAAGATTCCACTGCGTTTACAGGAGGGACGGATCCTTTAGGAACCTCTATGCTTCCGAGCAGAGCGGCAGAGCTGAGCTGACGGTGGTAGTGCCGCCGGATGGAGACGCACCGTCTTGCGGAGTTTCCCAGGTTGCTTCGGCAGATCCAACTCTTGGAGGTGCACTCGTAGAACTCTCCTGTATCTCCTCAATGATTGCGGTCGACCCTTTACCGACTATAACCTGGAAGACAGCGGACAAGGAGTTGTCATCCTCCACTGGTAATGCCAACTTATACCGGTATACGCTACAGGAAAAAGATAACGGGCGGGTATTTACTTGTATTGTTACTCATCCGAGCTTGACAGATGCGAGTTCTTGCTCAGTTTTGCCATTAAATGAACCGCCGAATGTTGTCATCACCCCGGAAACATTGGTGGCAGCGGTGGGATCGGACGCCGTGTTCAAATGTATAGGTAGTGGGATTCCATACATAGTGAAGTACACCTGGTTTGTCGGGGACAGCTCTTTCAGTCACCCCAACACGGACGGAGTAATCACACCAGAGATATCGTTTGTTGGCTCGAAAGGCTGGGTTTTGAGTTTGCCGAACTTAAAAAACACCTCAAACAATACGAGAGTTACTTGCAAGGTCAGCCTCCCTTCGGGGCTGTCCAGCAACGCCTCCGCAGTGCTTCTCCTGAGAGACAGCCTACCCCTTGGTGTCAGCCTTTCGCCTAAACGAGCGCGCGCATTCAAAGACTTAAGTATCACGTTCAGCTGTTTTGCTGAAACTAACACCAAGCATCTCACCTTTAAATGGTACGTAAATGACTCCATTATTTTGCTAAATGAGACGGCTGACAGGCGATCTTTCAAAATACAGACTATTGGACAAACAGGTTCAATGTTAATGATTTCAAACGAGAAGGCTGCTGCATTTGTTGATGACGTGAGCATATCTTGCGAGGCTATCGTGCCAACTGGAACCACAGCACGCGATTCTGGAGTTTTAATAAGCCAGAAAAATACAAAGATACAGATTGATATTTCTCCAAAAGTAACTGAGGTGCCTGTGGGTGCAAAAGCCACGATTACTTGCATCACTCAGCCGAGTGTCCTTCCCAACTCTACTTTTCTATGGCTTGTGCGCTGCGATCCAGACCTTCCAACCGGCCAAACGAGCACCAGTGGCTTCAACAGCAAGACCTTAACCTTGGACAACCTGGATTACGAGACCCGGTGCGCCGTTACCTGCTCCGTGAGCGTTCCTTCAGGCCTGTCTGCATCCGGGACAGGTCTAGTGGTCGTCCAAACCTTGGCCACGGCAGACATCGGGGAGGTCCAGCAACCAGAGACACAGTCCACATCCTGGCGGCTCCCTGGTGCCTTAGGGGCTGGAGGGATAGGCATCTTCTTGGGCGTCTGCTTCTGTACCATGCTGTTACTCCTCTATACCTGCTCCAAGAGCTTCTTCGGGAACAACAAGGCCAGGGCTACCACCTCTCGAAGCCAGGTCAGCACCCCAATTTACGAGACCATTAACCCTCAAAACGGAAGTCGGGACCACGTTGGTCCTGATGTGCCCATGGTGCGGACGGGACCGTGCCAGCAACAGTCCAACGCCACCTACAATCGACCTCCATTGACGTTACCCAAAGTGCAAGTGGCCCTACCTGCGCACTCGCAGAGGGCCAGGGGCGGGCTCCAGCGAATTCCAAGTTCAGAGAACGAGGAGGCGGAGGGATCGGTGGCGAGTTCCATCTCCAAAGATTCCCTGGACACGGAGCTTGGGATGAACTCCAGTCCGTCTACGGCTACGTTCGTCGGGCCCTCAGACTCGGACGAACACGAATATGAGAGCTGCGAGATCACAACGTGCGTCTGATCCTGAGCAGCAGCGTTGTAACACCCTTGGCGATTTGGAAATTGGCACATCATTGCTGTGGCTGCATCCAGATCTGTTGTCTAGAGCTAGGTCTAGGTCTTCACTCCATTGGGAATGCGTGGAGACACGCAGACAGTAGACCTAGCCGTAGCTCTGGAATCCCGTTTCGGACACGGCCTGGGTTTCCAATTACGGCGATTCACAATAGAGCGCCTCCAAGAGTGTGCAACTCATTGGCCAATCACAACGCTCGAACTTTGTCGACCCTTTCTAAACAGGCATTGGGTCGACAACTTTCGCGCATTGTGATTAGCCAACGCGTTGCAAACTCTTGGTTTCGCACTATTGTGAAACGGCCATATTGGATTGCGACATTTCCAACAGCACCGTTAACCAATAGATCAGTGTAATACCAGATACTGTAAATGATTTTGACCTTTTTTTTCGCTTTTTGGATTTGCGCAGAAATCACATAAGTTCGTTTTACTGAGAAGATTTTGCGATGCTTAGGCACTGAGTAAGTAAGTGCTTACCATGTGCATACAAACACTTGTCTTTTGCCTGGTTCTCATATGCTACTATATTGCTGTAAGTAGTCAATGCGTGGCTTTTCCTTGAGCAGAATGTCCCGGGCTTCCGTACAAGCGACAGATGAATTACAGGGTCTGATCACGAACATCGAAGAGTCAATGACCGATGAACGTATCGAAAAAAGGTCGCTATCTCTTGTGCCCGACAAAATTACCAGTGCCTGTAGTCAATGTAAATTACAAACGTCCAACCTGTGGTAACAAGTTCAAATTGCTTTTACCCCCTTTTTAATAGTGATTCGCTACAAAATGAGCCAAAATCCGGGATTCCTGATTCGTTGGAATTGATTGCTCAGCGTTTTCGCTGTGCATATTTTCAAGTTTTTACAGGCGCGCAATAACTTCCTTTTATTCGTGCACTCCAGTAAACATTGTGAGTGATACTGTCGATTGTGTACCGTACATGTGAGTTTTTACGTCATGTTATGTTACACTGGTTATTGTGCTGTTTCAATCACGATTTAACGAATGAATTAACATAGGGATTCACAGGTTTTTAAAACGCTGAATTTATAATTTGATTGTGACTTTATTTTACGCCATGATTTTAAGTGGACGAAGACCATGTCGTATGACGATATAATTATATTCCAACATTTTGAAATTGTGTAGATTAATTTGCAGGTTGTATTCAAAGTCAAGAACTGTGTACTTTAGCAATATTTTTAGCATTAATGTACAATGCCCATAACCACGTGCTGTAAGATATAATTTTGTATCTTCATATTTATACAGATCTTAACTTTTTGACAGGGATTCAGTGTTTAGATTGAATAAGACATGTTGAGATAGTTCATGGGATCGTACCTATGAGCACAAGGTACTGTAGGAGGTGATCCAAACTCTATCAGTGTATATAATCCAGGGAATGAGTATTCGGAAAAGCATGATGACGTGACCAGGCAGCAATCTCCGTTTGTTTGAATTATGATTGGGTACTTTTTCATTCGTTCGAATCAGAAGTTCCATACAAGGATGTCTGCACTCTAAACAGTAGAACGATGATAACTCACAACAATCCACCCTCTCTCATGGTAGGTCCCGCCCCTCCTTTTGTTTCAAACAATCAACTCGTTTATCTATTCTAGTACGTATAATTATACTCGGGACAAGATACGCAGGCCCATAAGCTTTACAAAGTGCACTTTTTTGACTGAAAAAGTGTTTGCTTTTGAAATCGCGGAGTATTTTTCCGGCCACCTGTCTCCCACATTTCAACGATGAGTAAGCACTGGCCGGGTATTGTCGTACACGTCAAACTCTTCAGCTGCTCCGATCAAGCATATCCTTCTACCTGTCCGCTGTGTCATCTAATCTTGTAGCATTAAGGGGGGAAAAATAATGCAATCTGATATTCCGATTCTCCAATTTAGCCCATACTTGCCGGCATAAATTATATTAGCCGTGTTGGTTTTAAGTGCTGAGATCTTAACGAGATTCGATACCTTGTTTGGCTACATCGGGCCGAACGTCGTAATGTGGTTAGGCAGCTGCGGCCATTGGCTCGCCGTGGTCACGTGACACTGGTACTCATAACCAAATTTAATAATTAACTTCTTTACGTGGAGACCGCTTAAAAATTTTAAGCCGTGGTGGGAGCAAAGAGAAGATCGGTATCATGATTACAAAAATTCTGATTCTCTGAAGAGGAAAATACATTTCGATGATTTGGACGGTACATGTATATTGTACGACTTCTCTTTTTAGTATATTGTATTGCATACTGTTTGTATGGTACAGAATATGTAACACAAGACTTCCTGCGTTATTTCATTTCCATGGTTGTAAAGAAAAGGGTGTTCTGTCCAAAGTTGCACCATCTTACTGTGATGGAATTGTGCGCATTCATTTGCGTCATTTTGTTTTATATTAATGGACGGTAATAGTTAATTTTGCAGACACTTATTCTCGATCAACGACGATAAAACTAGCAAAGTGTGACACAGTCTTTAGTTACTCCAGAAAACAATTAATTTAAGCTGTATCGCCAAAAAGAAAGAAAAAACTCGTAAGAGAGAGAGGAAGGGTGAAACTGAAGGATGACAGTCTGTAGAGTAGCCAGGTTACTTCCAAGTATTTCGTCTCAGTCTTCGAAAGAAAAAAATAATTTGCAAAGGGAACTGCTGCAACTGATGTGCATGTAAGAGTCGTCGGGTGTTTATATTTGTGACTGTGGAACGGCAGATGGCGTCCTCTAAAAATGTGAGTCCTTGTCGAAGATTTGAAGCTGAAATAATCATTTGGTTATGATACAAAACGATGCAGTTCTTAGAATAGTCAGAAAGATCAGGGGTCAGTCACTCGGTGAGTCACCCTGTCGTCAGAATATGAATAATTTTATTTATGTTAAATCAGCATAGTCGATAGCAATTCAGAGGTTGTTGAACGTCGAGTATAATGTAAATTTACGAAATCTTGTATTTATAAACAGATCGATCTAAGCCAATTAAAGCTATTGATGGCAAAAAATGTTCCTGTCATGAAAAGTACACCAGTTGAAAGGATAATTTTTATGCGACGATCAGGCAAACACTGCTGCTTGAATGTTTAGTTGTATGTCTACTGCAGCTAAAGTGCTTGAACTCACTCAACAATCGTCCACCTTGTCAAAACTGTCATAAAACTATTACGATAAGAGTGCACAGCACAGCTTTTAAGCAAAGTAGTGTAAATTTATATTGGAAGCTAATATTGCACAGCTGTATCTTTGACAAGTGTCTAGTCCATTTTACAGCATTTTTTTCGATGCTTATCAAAACTAGCAAACTTTGATCAGGAGTCGGTGTCGTTGCGCGGCAATAACGTAACAAACGACGTGCGGGTCGTGAGGTGCGAAGGGCCGTGCACTCTTTAAAGAAAAAAATCCAACCATTACAGAGCCTTTAATGAGAAAAAAATAAGTGTCTAGCGTATTTGCTGCACCTGACTCTGTTTATAAAAAGAGAACTTTGTGGAGTTGCAAATAGAATACAGCATTGTGGCCACTTCAACGTTACAGACTGTATCCCCTGCAAAAATAAGTGTTTGGCTGTTTAGGGATGTGATTTGACATTGATGTTCACAATGACTTGTTTATAAACTGAATGTTAGGAGGGAATGCTTATCTGTCCCCTGCCACTGCCCATTCGTAGTGCGACCGCCCGAGCCGACACACCTTTACTGGCCATTCCGTCCGACATGAAGTTCCCCACGGTCAGAGTTGATCGCACAAAGGGATGCGCGTTTCTCAAGGGTAGCATCATATCTCTCCGCAGGGGACTGATCCCCGCATTCCATGAAACCCTTTGCATACTGGGCATCGTCTCGGGGCTGGTTTGCGATCCGTTCAGACGTTCCCGGTGAGTGATCCACGCGTGGACTTTCCCTGTGGCTTGTTCGTATTCGGACGGCGTGGGATCCGACGCATCCGAGGCCGGCGGGGGTGGATTGTTAGCGGTCGCTACGCGCTCAATCGGTTTGCTCAGGTCTTCCTTGGAGATGTGGTAGCGTTGGAGCCTGGCTTGTTTGGCGGATGGGACAGGGGACGTTTCGTGGGCAAGTTCTGAAGCGGGTCTAGTGTAGTTCGGCACTGCTCGGAATGACTGGTCTGCCGATCTAGACACTAGTGATACTCTGTGGGCCATGATAGTTCCTTTCCTAGCCGGTGGCAGTCTGGGAGTTGAGTTGGACCGTCGACGTCCCTCATCTGTCCTTAATCTGGCAGAGTGTATACCTGTCCCCCGCACTGCATGTCGTGAGTAGGTCACACGCTCTTCGCTTCGTCCAACCCCCTCAGTCTGTCGACGAGCGGACGGCCAGAAATTCACTTCATTTTTAACGACGAACTGGGCAGAGGACAGATTTGGTAGATAATTTCCGAGGGTAAGTCGTCGCGTTAGCCCTGCTGCTGACGCTGGCTTGAGACACTCAGGGTGAGAGTTATGAGATGTGATCTGCAGTCTCATCAGTCGGTCCTCCTTGCTTAGTTTGCTGCGATACTCCGCCGTCCATGCCACGGGAGGTGCTTCATCTTTTCGTGTATGCTTCCCGATCACCTTTGAAATCTTCCCTGAGTTTGGCAACGGGTTGCCTGGGCGAGGGGAAAGTTTGCAGGAGGTTTCCAACGGCTTGTTGGTGTCTCTCGAAATCGTACCAGTGCGACCCGAGGCTCTCTCGCCGTTAAGCGTCTGTTCGTCGATAGCCCCCGAGTGTCGTTCGTGACTTTTACGGCGTCTGTTGGTGTTTCTTGTTTTCAGCCCCGAGCGTGGAGTTATCGACACCCTCGGAGGCAGAATGGGCGGCTCTTCGTCACTAGATATACCGGTCACGTCCGCAGTGTCTGTCGCTTCTGCTGTGTCATCACCAACAACATTTTGATGGGATTGGGAACTTTGGGGATCATGTCCAGAACCTGAATCCGTCTTTGGCAAATCAGCATCATCAGATGAAGCCTTCGGGGGGTCGTATTGAGTTCCCTTGTTGTTGACAGACGACATATCGATTTTCGAATTGTGTCTGATGATTTACATTTCTGGTGGTTGTCACAAATCACACATCTTTGCTTGTTTTTAGCGGTAACGCCGTTGATTTCTCTTGCGGTCAGAACCTTGTTTCTGTATAAATCGCTGTCATTTCCAGATCCTCAAGTCCACACTCCGCTTTAACCCAAACTGTCCAAGAGCTGCAATTTCACTCTTACAAACTAATACCTCGGGAAAATCGACAAAAGACTGTTCATCGAATATACCTGGCATTCTTTCAGGAACAGCAGTCGGCGAACCAGTCTTGGCTGTTTACACACCATCGGCTACTGCACCCGTTTTACCTGTGTTAAAACGAGATGAGTTTAAATAAGAGTTGGCCTCAAACAAAATCATTTACATCAACGAACAAAGAGTTCAATATCAAATTCCTCCAACTACCTCCGCGCCCAGTCGATGAAACATAAACACTACACTTCGTAAACTTATTCATCGAGCGTGCAGTTGCTATGATCAACAGAATTCTCTCAGGGGGACATGTCTTTTTATTGACCAAGAGCTTGAAAACCTGATGGCTATCAGGGTAACTTTTCTCTCTTATCAGCGGCACTTGTGTTTACAAAAGCTCGGCTCTTCACGACATTGTTGGCAACAAAGGGGTTTTGAATCGAGGCTAAGCTTCCCGTAAAAGAGTCGGTATAACTTAATGGCATAATTATCTAGGAGCAAATACGATTTATTTCCTGTTAACAAAACATGAAAGGCACGATTTAGCCAACTCGATTTTATCACAGAATCAGAATTAAATGGTTGAGGTTCTTACCTGTGTCGCCCTTTCCCTCTACAGACATTATTGAAGTCGAGATCACGTGATTTTCCATTATGAGCAAAGCCGAAACTAGATTAATCAAAACCGAGCATCATCAAACTTTGTACTGGTTCGTTTTTTTTTTAAACAAATTCCTACATAGTCTCGACACCGTTAGCGTTTAGTGCATTTCAGATTCTGCTGTCGAGTCACCGTGGTAATAACTGCAAGTCCAGCAATCAACATAATGATCGTTTCCGCCTCTCGGTGATTCTTCCATCTCGACTTCCCAAAGCTCCGTACAGCAGTTGGGGACTCCTCAAGTGAAGTTCCAAGCGTATGATGGGAGTTGAAACAGGTTCTGTTCTGGAGCGTAATAGTTGTACTGATCCCCAAACTTCTCCGATGAGGGCAAGAAACTGCGTGACTCAGCTGTGCATTTCACTAAATGTTCTTGATAGTCTGTCTATGAAGCGAGCTCAGAAGTGTCCCTCAGTTGCTGCAAAGGGAGCAATCAAATGACGACTTTATTTCTTTCAACTCGTAAGCAAATTCTCCGCCATGCTTGTTTCCAGCAGTGCGCGCTCAGCGTCCTGTACTTAGTCGAATTTGGGACTTTCAGTAGCATCCTCGCTGGGTTATTTAGCCTCGTGAATCCCGATAAGCGCTCGTTTCTGTGCCCCTCTCACGGACGATCGACCGGGTGCGACAAAAGTTGCGAGGCAATTTCCACGCTGGAGCGGGCACGGCACAATGGACAGAGTGCCTCGCCGTCAACAACCAGCTCTTGACAATTGCGGAGTTTGGGGATCAGACACAATGGCTCTTGTCATACTGCCAATTGTTGTTGGGGGTGAACCAATCGAATGTTTGCACTCAGACCAGTCGAGTGCGGTCATGGCCCATTAAATTGCAGGATTGTAATTTGTTGTCGAGAAGGGGGGTCCACAAAAAGTCTAGAGTCAAGTATTTGTCCACTGGTTGGTGGTGGTAAGGTGAAACGTGCCACTTGTCCTTTTTATTCTTCGCGGGTACCAGTGACACCTTTTCGAGTCAGGTACCTTCAGGGTTTCAGTATGTGAGGTGTACGTTTGGGTATAAAGCAGAGTACATGTATAAGGCGGGAATGGGTGACATTGGTCAGGTCACGTGCTGTGAACAAGCGTCTCATTGAAAATGTCAATATGCACTGAGCATCTCCACAGAGGATGAGACGCCTGTTAAGTTTCAGTGACGTGGACAACTGGAAGAATGGCATTTTAAAAGTACCCTATCATGTCCGTCCTTACTTTGAATCCTACCATTCAACGAAAATAAGTCCCTCTTCAAATTTCCATCACAAAATGCACTCGTGCTTCAGCATTTCTGTCTGTATAGAAACCTCAGTTGTTAATTGATCTTATTTTGAACTTAAACTTTTGGCAATAATTGTGTAGTTTATTTAGAGTTTTTGAATCGTTACAGAATTCAACTTTTCATACAGTACCGAAGGTATAAACCGTCCATGTAGGCCCTACATGTATTTTCCAGTTTGTGCTATACTCTGTAAACTTTCAGGAGACATCTAGTGTTCTATCGCTTGTATCTATTTATTATTCATGATGAAACTGACCCAATATCAATAACATGTCGTGTCCCACACTGATCATTGACACCCCCCCCCCATTTAATAATGTATATGCAAAACAGTTACGTATGTGTTTTGGAAGCCTCCGATTGGTCCAAACTTCCCCAGTCGACCGCCAAAACGCACCATTAACAAATCATGAGCGAAGCGCCACTGGAGCGATCGATCGCCAACTTTGCGCCATATATCACAACGCCCCAGACTGATCAGAAATTCAGCGCGGGTCAGTTTCAAATCATTTATTCATGCTGCCGTAACTACGGCAAAAACTTGGCATAGCAACGCAATAGCTTGCCTGCTTGCAGTGACCACACAATTCAAGATTTCATGGTACGGACACAATCATGTGAGCAAAATGGCACCAGAAAACAGCTTTTTTTACCTAAAACAACTGAACTTGTTACAGGCGGTCTTGGCCATTTTGCGTTCCATCACTCTTCGACCTATTTTGAGGTATTCTATGGTTTGCAGCACAAAGTAAGATAGTGTTCCCGGCCTTTCACTTTGCACTGATGTGAACTTAACACCTTGCGGCGACATGCAAGTTTCAACATGGAAAGTTTGCGCATGAGACATCACCAAGGTAAAGTTGAAGCACATGCCATCATTCTTATGAAACTGTACAACAACTTGTTTGATCATTGTCAAGAACATTTGAATTATCCATGAACTGTGGACACTAGGAAAGATTACATGCATAATTTCCAACGAACAAGTCATCGGTGTTATCGGCAAGAACGACTATTTTGGACGGTATTCGAATAGGTCGTTCCAACATTAAGTTACTCTCAAGGGTGCAACGATGTGAACATCTTTTTCTAGCGCTTAATATAGCTTCTTAACACATACTTAGAACTGCAACACAGATGTTGAAACGTCTCCGTCAACTTTCTTTGGATCCGGATCTGGTCAGTCCGTCAACCATGGCAGCGCTAGTAGATCTCTCCCAAAAGATTGACCACGGTATCAAGTTTGACGACATCCGAAACCGCATCGTGATCACCGAGGATCTCATGAGAGATCTGCGTATCTCCGGTGTGCCGCAGGAACGTACTCCCCGAGAGCCGTCCCCGCCGATCGACACGTCAAGAGCTCCCGCAGCTGCCAACGCCTGGCACCGGCGCTCACATGCCACCTCGGCGGCCGTCTTGTACCGACAGTCTCGGAGGCACATGTCCAGCAGAGCAACCTTCCCGCCGGGGAAACCGATCTACAGGCCCACTAAGAACAGCCGAGAGCTGCCTCTTTTCCCTGAGCTCAGCGCCAACCAGTGCCAGCTTTTTGCGAAGCACAAGTACAGAAATGAGCGAGGCACCGGCCGCAGGAGACCGAGGACTGAACCAAGCTATAACACCCAGTGTTATCAGCACATCCTGGGCGATGAGGAGGTGCGGAGGTTCCAACAAGAGCAGCATGATTTGAGGAGAGAGGCAGCCGGTACGCCGACGAAATCGACGACTGACATCAAGCTTCCAGAGATCCAAACTCCCACGCCAAGTGTTCGAGAGAAGTACATTGTCAAGTGGCTGTATGGAGACCCTAACGGAAGAAGCCCTTACATCACACCCAAGGACATGAGATTCAGACTGAGCAAAAAGAAGGGTACACCGATGGAGAATTTAATTAATAAGAAACTTAATAATACACCTGTTACACCGTTTGCGAATGAAATGAAGAGTTCACTATCTTGACGTGCTTGTACATGTATTTAACAGATCAAAAGTGATAAATGTTATTTTCTTATTTAATCAATTTTTTCAAGTTCCTGTTGAAGTTGTGGAGAATCTGAACTGAGGTGGAGGGAATCCTTTGATATCTCAATCACGTACTCTGTCTGCTGATGAGCTTTTGAAGAAATCATTATTAAATAGGACAGACCTCAATAAATTCGAAAACAATTCTTCTTTACTTGCCGCGCGATCTGTGATCACCACTTACACCAGAAGAGTAATGTTCTAAATTTGAGCAGGTTCAAGTTTCCAATTCCCACTTTCCAGTTTATGTGCACTACGCCCTCTGCTGGCGCATTATGTTTATGCTTTATGGCATTTACTGGCCTGGAAATGAACTGATTTGACTCAGTTATGAGTTTTTTAGTGACCATAAACACAAACTACTTTATGCATAAGTAGAATTTTCAGACTCTGTTAGAAGTGCTAGAAGTATATAAACAAAATTGCAAGACAATCAATAATAGATGTAGTTAAGCTTGCTAAGTCAAACGAGAACCGTTGAATTTTTTACTGTAAACTAAAACTATTGGCTTAATGAACAAGTGAGAATTGATCCTTCAAAAGTTCGTTTACCCTTTCACTGTCAAAAAGAGTGGTTGTATATAAGGATGCATCTATCCTATGACAGTCATACAAAATGAATGTACGACTTCTCCGAGTCATGCTTAATTATCATTTTAATACAATTAGGGGCTAACAGTTTACAGGTTGCTTTCTTTTCTGTTTGCATACATTACGGGGGATTCACAATAGTGTGCCACCAAGAGTTTGCAACACGTTGGCCAATCATGACGCGCGAAATTTGTCGACCCTTTCTAAACGCGCATTGGGTCGACAAATTTCGCACACTGTGATTGGCCAACCCATTGCAAACTCTTGGTGGCGCACTATTGTGAAACGGCCGTATTTCAGTGAGTGGTAGCAACTTTTTATGCTATGGATGACTGCATGGAAAAGCCGTTAACTAAGCCCCAAGGCCTAAATTATCACTTGTGTGTTCAATGTGGGCAGATGCAGAGTCCTCCTATCATGCATATCTCCTCTTCCTCGACACTGATCCGGAAAGCATAATATAAACTACGTTAAACGGTCAAGACAGCAGTTGGCCTCATAATAATTTATTCATAAAACCTTTTCAAGAACCTCTGCTCGCCAACATGAATAAAACATACATATCGAACGCGTGTTGCTACGGAATCTTATGCTGTTGCATTTATACAGATGAAAGTGGCTTTACACAGAATACATTTTTACATCAAGACTTTTTAAAATAATACATAAAACTTACACAATACATTTTCATTGTTTCATTGAAAATATGAACAGTCAGAGCGGAGACTTAACCCAAACAAATGCAACTAAAAATAGACAATCTGGGGCAACTGAATGTAGAGAATAATGACCTCAGGGGTCGTCGTATGTTCAGGTCAAGTGTTCAACAGGAAGGGTTTTGTGGCGGTGGTGTTTATCCTGGGCGTCTATTTTGTGTCCCGAAGAGTGAAAACAGGACAATACGCCTAAGGAAACAAACTTCGCCGTCTGTTTTCCAAATAAGTACGTGTTCACACCAAGCTGCATGTATTGCGCAACATGCATGAACTTGACGAGGTTACCTGCCATAAAAACCTCTTCTTTTAATTTTTAGGGGAATACCCAGATTTACATTTATAAACTGCAGGGGTAGTCCCTTGACAACTTTTTTCTTTGGTAATCTCTTCACGTTGTTTGTGAAGCAGGCGGTTCTGTATTTATTCATGTCTGGGTCTATACGGTGAATCATGGAGAAATAATAAAGCTTATTGTGCGGCCCAGCAGGAGAGGATGCAGGGGGTCTGAGAACTGCATTTATTCTTTTTACAGGCAATGTTTGTCACAAGATCAGGACCTGTCGCTTAATGGTTCACAAACTTCACACAATCAGGTGTATATAATTTTCATGTGCTCCACTTTTACCGCAGCAGCCATTACTGTTGCCTGGTACATGCATGTTGATGACGGGGGGTATACGGAGTGCAGTGACAAACATATCAACCTGATGATAACTGTGGTGAGGGTTGGGGGCGTAAATCCCAGCGGAGAAGGGGGGGGGTAGGGGGAAAGATATCCCTGCACTATGTTGACCAGGGGATGGGTTATCGAATCATTGTCCCACTTTTTCATAATGAGAAAGAATTAAGGGGGATTTGGCGGGAATTCCTCACACTTCCCAACAACCAAAATGTATTTATCAGTACTGAATGATGGGTGAAAAATGAAAAGAAAAAATCAATAAATACGCTGAGGTAAAGCTCCTGCAGGGGCGTTAGTGTAATGCATCATGAACAGCTCCCCAAAGAAGTGTCACATTGTATCCTCCCCCCCTCCCTTTTTCAAATTTCCATGGCCGGACAATTTTTTTATTTACGTCATCTCTTTCTCCTCCCCGACCCCCCCCCGTCCCATGCACAAATTTATACCACTGGTGAGGATTAAGATAATTATAATAATAAGACAAGTTATAAGGATAACGAGAAAAAGATGGTGATAGCACCAGTGATGACAATCACGATGACGAGAAACAGCCTTCAGTGACAATTATGATGGCTGTTTTACAACTTATTACAATGTCTGTAGAACTTGGCACCCCTTTCTACCTTGTCACTGCCGTTTCACTGTCTTATATCTACGCCACAATGAACATCAATAACGTCAGTGTATCTTCTAACAACACTGGAGAGTGTTTGTATAAGTTGGGCATAAATAAGGATCTAAAATATATATGTAAATACGGATTCATAAATATTTAAATAATGAACATTGAGAAAACTTAAAGGATGTGAAGTATTTCAGCACAAGTAACCAATGTTTCAATTTCTTTTCATGTTTTGAATAACATTAAGACAAATGCCAAATAAACTAGCATTAACTAAAAAGGAATGCTTCTCTTCGAGGGTATAAGACTCTTTCAATTCAAGGACACTTTTCCTCAACTACGTTTCAGGAAGGAATACGAATATTTTCAAATCCTTATCATGAGGATATCTGTTCATCAACTAAACAGAAGTAGAACTGATTAAAAGTAAAAGGATTTTTTGGATTCACTTCCCTCATCTGTGTGCCAGGAAAATCACTGATATTTCCTGTTTCATTGTTGAGGTTCCAGATTTTTGTAATGGTAAGCCTTGTGTGAACATATCACCCAAAAAGTTAATTTATGCAGATCACGGATGTTTCTACCTGTGTAAAAACTACTTGGTAATATGTGCTGACGAGTGCTTTCAGTAGCTTGCAAATAGCTGGAATCCTGCTCAAAAATCAGATTAAAAACAAACGAAAAAAATCTGAAAAAATGTTACACTGAATCGACTTTTATCCATCAAACCTAGTTTGCATCACTTGAAAATGTCTCCTTTTCTCCAGTGTGTGAACTTTTGCTGAATTGAATCCCCTTGCTTGAGTTAGCATGTGACCATGATCTCTTACAAACATCAAAGGCATACTTGAAAAGCAAAATAATACAAACGTTCATAAATGTTACTCTTTTGAAAGGAAATCCCTTGAGTATCTGGTGACTGTAAGTCTTCCTGAATTCTCTGATGCCACTCAGAGATAGATGGTTAAAACAATGAGCTCCTCTAACCTGAACACAACATGGATTCTGCATGCAATGATGGTAACGCTCTGAGTGCATTTGTGTGGCAATTGGTGAAGTATGAAGCCCTAATGTGTCCAAACTTGAGGTGCCAATTTTGTGAATGTTCAGGTTGTCTACCTGGAGTTCAGATGCCATAAAATGCAAATGTTATCAAACCCTTCTGTGCCATTTCAGCACTCCTAATTTTACTCACCCAAGCTTGACAACACAGACCATTACTCTTCGTGCCCTGTGTTAGGGCTTGGCCTTGTATTTTGGCAGGGCAGATGGTTGATATGATGGAGATGACTGACTCGCTGTCTCCTGGACAGACCAAGTCTTCTCTTTCGATTACAAGCAGGCAGTGGTGATGGTCTCCACTCCAAGTCGGGAACTGTCTGCTGGTCTGATGATACAAACACAGAGGCAGGTCACTGGCAAAGAACATGTGGGCTTAAATAGAGGCTTTGCGCAGCGGCCATCTTGCAGGGCAGTTCTTTTGGTCCGCAGGGAAACTTCCTTTGTGCTTACCCTGTGGACCAAAAGCACTGGCCTGCAAGATGGCAACCATGCAAACCCTCTACTGGAATTCTTAATGAGATAAAAAGGTGCCCATTAAAACCTCGGGAAATATTTTACCAGTTCTAATAAAATACTCTAAACTAACCCATGAAGCAACCAATTAATACATCTTTAAAAAGACAGCACACCAGACTGGAAGCCAACAACAATGTAAAGGCAAAAATGGAACCAAAAATTCTTCATTGAAAGTACAATAAAAACTAATCTACTGTGGCCTATACAAGACCCATACAAACAAAAAAGACATTAATTTTTCTGATGAACCTACCGAGTGAGCCTAGAGGTGACCTGCTACTGGCTGGCTGTTGATTTTCATAAGAAATTCCATGTCTCCACTGAAAAATCCCAGTTGACGTTTGTGGTACAAGCTGATTTCCAATTGGCACTGGACAAGGTGTAGCAAAAAATAGCACTTTGAAATACCCTCCTTGGGTGTAATGTCATTATTTGCTGAACTTAGCTTGATTGGTATTACGTCAAAGAATTACAAAACTGAAAATTTATCCAACAATTATATTCTCCGCAACATGATCTCAATTGCATAAATTTGTTATGTGCCCAGAAGCAGTAAATAACTCTTATTTCTTAACCTCACCTGCATTGCTCCTGTCTTTAGTTCCACCTGACACCTCTTCATTTAATTGCTCTTCATTTACTTCATTAAGAGTTGAGCTTGGTGTGGGAGATAATGAAGTCCCTGTAACGTCAGCCTCCCTGTGTTTCACCTCAATGGAAACTTCTATTAGAAAAAAAGAGCAAAGTAAACTGTTAATGAAAAGCAATCTTTTAGTTCCATTATGAATCAAACTTATTATTTTGCTAGTACATGTGAAAATGTACATTCAATTCTTTCTCTCATAAGCAAATGGAAAATCACAATAAAATTTAATGAACATTTGAGAAGTTGGAAGAAATCAAAAGATCCGTACCCTCATCATCATCAGCATACAGCTCGTGTGCTCTGTCTTCTGGGGTTTTATCCCCATCCTCTTCCAGCAAACTTGGCACCATCTGATCATTGGTGGGTTTAACATTTCCTCTTTTGGGGCCATTTTCAGGCAAAACTTCTTCGGTTATCTGCTCTGATGGACCTTCGAGTTTGATCCAATCTGCATCACTTGCCTGTTTTTTCTCAGCAGCCAAATGCTTATAGTCATCATCAATTGGACGAGTTGGCTCAGGTGGGACGGTTTCATACACAAGTGAAAAATCTATTTTCTTATCCAACTCTGCTGATGGATCAGGTTGTCCAGTGTGCATATCTTCTTCATTCTCCCGGGTGAGCTGTAACTTTTGTCCAACATCTTGGAGTGCCATTCTCGTAGCAGGCATCTCGTAGTCTACCTCACTTGTCTCCTCTTTAATTGATATATCATTAGGTATGTGCTCTCCAGTCTTCTCGTCTCGACATGTGACGTTTTTCTGAGAGATATCAATCACTGAAGAAAGTGCCTGAATTCCTTTGCTGCTTGTATCTTCAAAACATTCATCAGGAACTGGGGTTTCTTCCCTTGCTGCTAAAGTCAAAGGAGTTGAACGCAAAGCTTTGTCTGACTTTCGATCATAGCAACTGTTGAAGTTCTCTGATGACTTTAAAGTTGGCTGGTCCCATTCCCTGTCGGTATCACTTTTGAGGGAAATAATGCTGCAGTTTCTGCAGGACTTCTCATCAAGTTTTAGTATCTTGCAGAGTGGTTCATCTTGACGGGACTGGGCAAGATCTGGAGAGATATCATCCTTTGGAGTAGCCACACTTGAGACAACAAAAGATACTGCAGACCAAGGAGCACTCATTTCTTGACCCTTGAAGCAGTCCAGTGCATCTTTTTGTCCCATAAGAGAGTTGCTCACAGTCTTGGATTTACTGTCTTGTGACACTTCCCTATCATCAACCCTTTTAGTAATGCACTGTCCATTTTTGGACTCTCTGCTATCTTGGAATATTGGCTTCTCACTAACTGTTCTCAAAAACCGCAACTGCTTAAGATCATCTCTTGCCATTTCATTTGGATCTGTTATTTCAGTAGACAGTGGTTTGAATGTTTCCATGGCAACTGAAGTTTCTTCCGTCTGTAGAGATTCTTCACATGACAATCTGGACACACTGTTGAGTTGGAACAAACTTGATGACCAACAGCCTTGTTCGGAAGCTGTTGAGTTACCAACAGCATGTCCATATGATTGGCTAGCATGAGAACTCTTGGCCACTGTGTCTTCTTCAATGTCATTTCTCCATTTGACACCCTTGACAAAAGACTGATCTTCAACCCTCATTTGGGCCCTGGCTGCAACACATGCTTGCCAAAACAAGTTACCAATAACCTCACGGACAGCTACAAGAATCTGTTCTCTTTGACATGGTCGAATAGTGTCATTGAAGAATGCTGTCCCGACATAATTCTGGAATCTGGCAGCTGCAGATGCCTCCTGAAATGATTCTTCAACTACTGCACTCACTGAGCTTAACACTGTCTGGTTTAGTGGGATTTTTTCTTTCGACCCGTTGCTGTTGTCAGTGTGCTTCTTCATCTCTGCTGCCATCTTCTTGGACACGTAAAATATGTCTAACGTTACAGGAACTTCTAAGGCCCCAACAACTTGTTGTCCTAAGTGAAAGTTTGGGCCTGCTCCCTGGCCCTGCTTGGTCAAAGCCAGGACTAAATGAGAAAAAAGTATGAAAAAAATCTGTCGAGATAAGTAGGCTTAGGCCTAAGTATTGCAAAAAGACTTCAGCTTCAGAACTTACTTTAACCATCTGTCTTTTTCTGGTAAAAAAGTGCTGAATGATGTGTCGTCTGCAAAAGTTTTGACAAAAATGACAGCAATTAAACTTGTAAACTTTTTCTCACAGGTATATTTCATTTTTTTTTTAATTTTTGACAAAAATATTTGATTAATAGTAAAATATATTTATTTAGAAAACATTTCTTTCTGTTCTATATTTGTTTTTATGAACATTTTGTAAACGTTTTAATTATGCATGAACAAGGCTTTTAACACGGCACTCTGGGATATCTACTGTTAGTCTATGTATTTTTACACATCCCCCCCCCCGCACTGTCGTCTGTTTTTGGACTCGCAATTTATGCAGAATAAGTTATGGACCCAGACTCATTCCCGCTGTTGCATGGAGTATATCACTCCATTCGCGCTTTCTATCTTCTGCGCGGTCCATACCACGCATGCTGCGCTATATTCAATACATCCTGCATGCATAATGATGCATTTTCGTTTCTGGCGCCGCTGAACTAACCCGGAAATACTACATGAAAAGTGATTTTTAGTCGGTGTACAGTGCAAGTATCCCTTGTAAAAAAAAGTAATTTTTTGAAGTCCTGGTGATATTTATACTTGGTGAAGATTTCTTTGGATACTGGAGCGTCTGGAGACGTGTTTGTTGGACATAAATTGAGGTAATGTGGTTCTAAAAATCGGTTTGAAACACTGAAACGTGCGTGAAGCTGCGCTATGCATACCCCGCTAGTGTTACATTTTATTTTTAGTTAGCCGAGCGAGAGTGCACTGCATGCGGGCTGTAGTCGACAATTTCACAATCCACACAAGGATTGGCAGGGTCCAGGCTAGCTTCAAGTTCTGAAAGAAGGTTGAATCTTCTATACTTTTTTCATAAAAGTCAAGTCCTTGTACAAATTGCTAGAAATACTGAAAAGAAGGAATGACATGAATCGGGGACCGAGAATCGGCTTATTCCCAATTTTGTTAGAAAGTAGGGCCTAGCATATATGCTCAGGGCCTAATTAGAAAATATTCCTGACTCTCCATAGGTGTGTTTTTATGTGACGTACGCAACTGCAGAAGTGGAAGTGATCATTGAGCAGTATGCAGCAGTCTTTCCTCAATGCCATGGGAAAGATTGTCGGGCATTCTGTACTGAAAGTTTGCAATGTTCTTCCATCATGCCTATTGGACATGTTGAATTTCATTGCTTGTGAAGTACATGTACATATGCACACATGTATACATGTACATACCACGGCGGTAGGGCCTAGCTACAGGGCAGGAATTTCACAGAGGCATAGGAGCCAGTTGCCTTGATGCCCCTGATCTTTGCCTCAATGCCCACTGAAATTTCCCTAGTATGATGTTCCAATACCAGTACCCTTTGCAAATGAAAAATTGCCTTGCCCTTTCAAGAACAAAGTTCCTGCCCTGTATGATTTTTACATTTTATTGTGAGGTAAATGGTGTAATGTGATTCTGACATAGGATTCTGCAACACTTCCCAAAAGGCCATGAACCAAAAACTACAATTTACAAACAGAACAACTATAAACAAGGCCACACTCAAACTGTATACTCACCTACATGTAAATTGAAATGCCAAGCATTGGCAAAAGTTCCATATCTGACCACCATGCACTCACCTTCAGACATACATGTACTGCCTCAGTCGCCTTGAAGTTTTATTGAAAACAAGTCTGTCAGCTTGAAAAAAACTGAGGAAAAGTTGGTTAAGGTAAGTTTTCCTTGTTAGAGTTTTAAGAAGCTCAAGAATCTTGATGACCGGATAAGGAATTCTTGGAAAGAGTTCCATATACGTGTACTGACAACGTTAAGTTTCCCTTAAAATGTTATAACAGCCATCAGAAAGTGATAACATGTCCGAAAAAGTGAAATTTTGCTAAGAAAATTCTGAAGCATTTACTTAGAGAACACTTGGGTTTGTTAATACAAATCTCATAGGTTTGTGCATGGGGCCTCAAGTGTTGTCCGTATATGGAACTCTTTCAAAATTCCTTCCCAGTGGTTTAATTAGTCTCAACCACATAGTGGAGGTCTACTTGTACCGGAGTTACATGAAGTACCGGTAGGTGTTTTTAGTGATTGGAAATTACACATTCATGTTGCTTTGAAAGAGTGAAAGCATGTGATCACATTACGGAAACTTAACAAATATAATATTGCAGATGTGAGGTTCACACTGTATATAATTAACAGATTTAACATACACGTAAATGTACAATCGATAGTTATTTAATTCATAATGCAACATTCCAAAACCAGGCTGACGTACGGTACACCTGCTCTTCCCCCGCTTTTTTGTCACTTCCAAGTGATCCAAAGTCTGAATTCTGTCTCTAGCAAGCTTTGGTTATCACAAGCAACTTCCATCAACATGAATGAGGGAAGTTGTAATACTTGGTACATGTACCTGTACCTCAGGGATAAAATGTACTGTACATACAGTGTACAGGTGCATGTACTTATATGTACTTGTACTTCAGCTGGGGCCCAAATTCATGGTCCGTCCAAGCACACAGTTTTACGCTAACAGAGGCTCTGCATATTTCATAGAGACCGTAAGCAATAAGCTCAGGGAAAGGCACACTTACACACGGTTTCTTGGAAGAAAAATTTGCTCATGAGTACTGGTATCAACAAAGGAAATCTCTATGCAATTTCTGTGCTAAGCACAGCAACTGCGAAATGATTCCATGAAGTACGCTTACCATTATTAAGCAAATGTTTGTCCCATGGTTAGCAAAAAAACATTTGTTCAATGGTAAGCAGCACCATGAAACTGGGCCCTGGTTTCCAGATGATGCGTAACCAGTGCTATGGTACAATAGAGCATTTCTTCTTTGGGACTTTTTGTATCATGTGCATTCAAAATGCAGAAATACATGTACATGAGTGACCCCAAATCAATATTTTGCCACGCTGCATTAATAGTGCACAGAAAAGCAATGACACAGTTATTTCTTCTGGTAAAGTCATCAATTTTGTGCAGGCAGGAAGGTCAGTTGGAGCAGTTTCCACATCACAGACTCAGACTGTCCCAGTTGTCTGTGGATGGACGTCGCTGTTGTGGAATCATATCATTGGTTTACTATGCCATCTGTAGATGGCATTCCTGACTAAACTGTCACAATTCGACTACCGGAATCTCTCATTCACCCAGGCCAGTGAAGTAAATCACAGTGAGCTTGTCCTCTCCCGATCCTGGAGTGGATCACCCAGTACTGTATCTTCACTGAATAATTGATGTTTTTGTGAGATCACATTTGGTTGAGCTTTGAAGCTTGTCATGGCGAAGGTGGCAAGTTTTAAAAGTAAAAGGACTGCTGTAGTCTTTCGTGAGTACATGTATGTGTGGGTCTGTAAAGAACCAGAGGGAACTCGACATTTCGGACAGTTATTCTCACAGTATGCTCACATTTCAAGAACAGTTTGCCCAACGGTATACCGGTACATACGTGAAGAACATGCACATAGTACATGTACATTGCTTTGTCGCCTTGCATTGGACTCAGGTCTTCATATTGTTCTTTGCATACATGCAAGAAAAAAATGTTTACTGGTAGTCAATTTTGTGTTTTGTGGACCATGTTTAAAAAACGCTAAAGATTATGACATTAAGTGTCACTGAAACTAAGGACATTTGCAATGCCATTTTCATGTCGTGGTACATGTATCTTGTAAAACCTTGGAAAAACATGTACAGTATTTACATGTACATGTGTGCATAACTGTTGTTACAATTTTATGTAAAAACACTCTAAAATATAGTGTGCGACATTCCAGGGAATTGCCCGAACATGCTGAAAGTCCTTTTCCCTGTTTGCCTGAAAGCAGTACTTGATTCCTAGAAAGTGAACAGGTCTTATGTTACATCAGACCATTGAAAACCACTCTGTTTGTTACCTTTTAAACTTCCTGTTCAGGGCATTTTGATACAATCCTTCAGGGGTGTCCCCTCCATTATTGTTAGCAGGAAGCTTTGTCCAGTGGCCATTGACAAAGGAATTATGCTTCTGCGTTATCACTAGAGCAGGTTGAGAGAGCTCAACAATATTTGTCTGACATTTATTTTATTGTGTTCAGGTTGAAAGTCTAAAAGATACATTGTCAAATCTTCAGATTTCCCTCATCAAAACCTTGCCATGTCTTCTTTAACTCCCCCCTCCCCCTCCTGAAACATGTTAACCTCGGGCAATATTGTGCTTCATTTACAGCTTGGAGTTCTGAATGTTTTTGGAGGAGGTATTCATTTCCTTGTTCTATTCAGGGTGAGGGCTGTACGGTGACATGATTGGTGTCCAGAGCAAAGACTAGACGGGGAACCACAATGGGTACTCAGCCCTCCAGGGCTTGCACACTTGTGTCAATATGGATCCTCTGTTGCTTTGTACCGCTAAAAGAAATTCATTACCAGATGGGTCAGTCTGTAAATTTGAGGTCCCATTTTTTCATGCCCCTATATATATGATTTTGTTTCAAACACATTCTTTGATTTCCATAACTGATTATATTGCTACACATTTAATATGCAACTCACTTGTCTAACAGATAAAAATGGTAAACCTACAATCAATTTCAGTGATGCCGTACATCCGATTCCTTGTGAACCTAAACAGTTGAAGTGTAACAGGGAGCACAAAAAGTCACACATTGGACCCCGTATCATCATATCCGTGTCTCATGCAGTTGTTACACGCACTGGTACATGTAAAACATGAAGAGGGTCTACCAGTGCAGTTAAGACGTCTGCACTCGTAAGCAGGAGGTCGTGGGTTCGAGTCCCACCCGCTTGCGTGAGTACGTTTGTGGATTTTTCACAAGCTTTCGGGGGCAATGGGCATATATGCAGTGTTAAAATACACGTCGGGCAGGGCAAAAATCCAAAACTAATTACATCTTCCCGGCACAAATCCATCCTTGAAAAAGTGAAGAGGGTCTGTTGCAGCTTCAGCAAACCGTTCCAAAGAAAGCTTGAAAATCAAAATGTTATTGATGTTAAATATTACCAAGTTTTCTGCTGTCATTTCAGCCATACAAGTAAAATACATGTACATGTATCGGTACATATACAAGGGTAGTGTGCTATTTCTGTTCATTATATACATGTACACGTACAGTATTTGTGACTTCGATTTTCCCTGCAGCTTGCCTTTAATAGCCTGCCAAATACTGATGCAGACTTCTTTCCCATCCAGAAAAAAAAAAAGGCTTGCCAGGATTGCCGAGTCAGAAATTCTGTTTAGCACTTCAGTACCACTCCCCAAATCATCCCTGTCACTGTGTGTTGGCATGATGGAGTAGGCACTCATAAACGCTCCACTACGTCTGTTATGGAACAAGGATTCCAATCTCCAATTATTTCCTGCGCCGAGTGCACACTTGGGTAATTTATTAATGTTACATTCCGGTGAGCCTGGTTGGCACCGGGGATATTAGAACAGCTCTCTTGTTAAATTAACAAAATAGAAGGCCATGGTTAATATAGCAAATCAGTGCACACTCTACATGTATATGGAATGCACATAAAGTGATGTGCGTAATCGTTGAACATACTCGGTATGCAAATGATTTCCTTAGCCTCAACTGCACATGTAAATAGTTTGACCAACATACATGTACATGTGCATACGAGTGCGCTGTACATATACAT